TTGAGTATATTTTGTTTTAAATATAATCTATAATTATACAATCCTGACTATTTTTTTATTCTAGGGGTTATATCCATATTAAAACTTTTCCTGAACCCTTGAAGATGGTTGAATTAATATGATTTATTATTTCTAAAGGTACAGATTAATTATTAAGTAAACTTTTCTAATTTTAATCCAATTCCATTCAATAGAAAAAATTTAAGTAAAAAGTATCTCTAACGTACTGATAGTATTAGACTAGTTAGGAATTTAGTAAATTTTGAGTTCAATTGGGGCACACCGAGAGATAAGAAGAAAGATCTTATTTGACAATTTTATTTATGTTGTTAATCAATACTTTGTAATTAAATCACATGGCTTATAACTGACTTGTTTTGAAATGAAATGCTTTTAAGTGACAGTCAGATATTTTAAAGCTTTCTCGTAAATAGTAAAAATGGACCGTATATTTCCAAAGGTTTCCTTTAACACTGTAAACTCTTGAACAAAATAATGTAAATATATAACCTCGCGATTTTCTTATAAAGATAAGATATCAACTCGAGTATTTAAAAGTAAATGCAAACAACTGTTTCATTTCTTTCCTTGTTGGATAGTCCGACAAAATTGACACCATATAATAATTTTAAATTCATTTAAAACAACATTCCAATAATCCTTATGACATTTTCTTACTTTTATGAAATTATGGAACCAAAAAACACTGCTTAATGCCCGGATTTACAGCTAGGAAGGGAGTAAATGAGTTGTCAAATTTCGTACGATCAGCCAATATGAATAATGCTATTCACACGATCCGAAAGCCATTTCTTCCCTGATTAAATTTCGTATTGATATACATACATAAAGGAAGACATAATAATAATTCTATATAGAGTTTGTTTTTCCAAATTTGCTTCTCAAAATTTGAAATAGGAGTCAACGCCATCAGGAATCACCTTAATATTTTTTAGACATGTAGTAAAGAGAACCTGGTATGAATACATTGGAAATATAAGCTACTTCAAATTAAAATACCATTCTCATTATACCCTTTCTAAAATAGTGTAATCTACGTATCCTACTATTGCTATTTTGCTGGAAAAGTAATTCATAAATACGAGTCGATTATAAAATAAACGCATAATTTATACTTAATTGGCATATGCCACAATGCCATCGATGTTAAGCATTATACTTTTGTTAAATTTCAATTTGAACTGAATTTTTTAAATTGGAAAATTTTCCGCCCAATAATTATATTACTCGACGTTTTCATATATAGGATACGATCATTGTGATTTTGGATTGTGTAATCTTGACGTTCTTATACCACCACATATAACACATATTGTTATAACTTATTGAAAATTATAGGATTTTTAATATAAATATTCCATTTATCCTTATCTCTTGTAATTAAAGGTTGCATATTAAAACCTATTCACCCATAAACGTTATTTATATACTATCTATATTTGATAGAGTGTTTAGCGGCATTTTAGCGCTATTCACCGCAATTGTAACGTAATATTTAAATTCATTTCTCTTAATTTTTAATCAGCATGCCATTTATCATATCTATTATCTCCAGCTTTTGACAGGTCTTTAAGCTTCCCTATAGAACAGAGGATATTTCAACATATATTGAGAGAATATGTCCAAGAATCTGAAAACACTTCTGTTTAGTTGAATAATTATTTTATTACAACATTTTTTCTCATAAAAGAATCAAGCTCATTCAGTTATTGATCCATTTTTGTAATGGAAGGGAACTTAATTTCAGTTTTACCTCTAATTCAGTTGAAAATTGTAATAATATCATTCATATATGGTCCTGAGTTACTGTGTAGTCTTTTGAAATGTTTCATTCTTTTAATGTAAGAAAATTATGTATTTGATTGAAGGAATTAGCTCTGACAAGTGAAGCGATTGACGATGTTCAATAGTTGATCATATTTATTGTATTCGGGTTTGAAATTTCCTAAAGAACCAGGAATGTTCGTTTCTACATCTATTCCAAACATATCGTCATTTTATCTTATTTGAAAGAAAATCATTAGCGTTATTTGAAGATCCAAATTGTCTCCATAGTGGGATAGCTATTGCTAATTTTATATCATTACCACTGCTGGCTTCCATAGGAATTATTTTATTAAACTTTGATATTAAGTTGTATCGATAGTGTAAAAGGTTACTTTTAATGAAATGCTAGTATTTTAGCTATGTCAAAACCTTATATCGAATGAGTCTAGAAATATTTCAATCTACACTGTATTGATGTATGACTTAGATTTTGTTATTTTATTTAGTTACTGGGAATAGCACCAAAATATCACCAAATTTTCATCCTAAATAAAAAATAGCATGCATACAGTACTGAATATAGTAAAGATGTGTACTATTTCTTGGTTTATTTTTCTATTATATGACACAAACTATTATAACAATTTGACATCTGAGCTTTAGCCTACTATTTTAATAACAAATATTTCTTCACAATGCCTGGCTGGGTCTTTATAATGATTGGAATCCATCCAAAATTGACAATATAAGCTCCCGATTTTTTACTTTTATGGAAAACAATGGGAAAATATTTTCATATCTTTTCAGCAAAAGAATTTTTGAAATTGAACGACAAATCAATATTATTCACTTTTTGTACATTGCTGATCACATACAGCATTCAACGTAAGAGTGAATATTACAGATAGATAAAGTTGCAAACTAATTCAATGCGCTTTAAAGGTATAAAAGTTTGATACTGCGTTGGTACTTCGAATAGTTTACCCTACCTTGATTCACGTGAGACGTTTCACCTGTATGCTTTGTTGTGAATTCTTTGGTTATAGATATCTAGTAATTGTACGTTGAATAAGTGCTTGGCATTGATTTTATTCTATTCGTCTGTTTGGTGGTAGACTAGTACTTGTTAATAAGTATATTTATTATTAAAGAGTTCTATATCTTCTTCTTCCAATGTACAGAGTAAGTAAGTAATATACAATAACATACAATTGTTTCAAATAGCAGTCCCTATTAGTCTTTATAAGTGTGAAACGATGATAGCCCGTATTATCTGGTCTCATAAATTATAAACTAATTTGCCATTAACTATGTTAAAAACGATACACCCTTTTAAACATAAGAACGAAAACTATGAATAAATAGAAACGCACAAATGTAGGTCATAGCCACGTATATAACCATAGTCACACTTACACAATTAAATGATGCTTATGAAAAGAATGACATCCATGATAGTCACTCAGTTACACACTCCGAAATACATATAGAAGGATTATGAAATCTCCAGTCTTCAATCCTTACTCTTAAGACAAAACACCTATGGTTTATAATTTTAACCATATATTAGGAAATAGATTATTAGACGGTTTCACTTTTTAAGAAATCAGTTCGATTACTCATACATATTTGAAATACATTTTACTATTACGAGACTAAAAGGTTTATAACGAATACTTATCGAAGTCCTTAATTTATATTGTTATTCAAGTCTATCTTACAGATAACAAATTTGATGCATGATAACTAAAAGTTAAGAGAGGATAATTTATACACTATATAACCAAGGTGAATAGTATGTAAATCTAAAATTATAAAAGTTAGTTATAGATACGCAATCCTACTTTGAACTGATATCTTGTTTGCTTTGATTCGATGAATGTACTATTAGTTCTTAATACATTCATTATATTGCCTTTGCCTTACAAATAAATATATATATATAAGTTAAAATAAGTTATAATCAAAACAATTAGCAATAAATAGAGAGAAATGAACAATCTTCATTTCTCTCTCAATTTATACCTTTCTAAGTTGCTTTATTAATTGGAGATATCTCCAACCTCTTTTGTGTTATAAAAACAAATGTGATCATTCATTTTTCTGCTACTGTGTAACTCTCATTTATAGCTGCCGTTTATTTCTATTAACTAGGAATTTCATCAGCCACTTTGAGGTACTCTATTGTCCTTATTCTAATGTCTCAGGCTCATCATGTTATACGTTTAAAGGTCCCGTAATTGAAGTACTGTCGGGTAAATACAATTCCTGCTATTGGACCTTTTAACGTATTATATGATAATTATTGTAGACTTGTGTAATGATATAAAATAAAGGCGTTTGCTAGATATTTCCTAGAGTTTTGTAAGTCCTGTTGAGGTAATATGTATTGTTAAAATATATATGAGAAGTCGATCTGGTTTCTCAAAAAAAAAGGAACAAGCTATGAATTCTATAAGCTAATATATAGTTAAAATATAGATTATGATCTTATTACGACGGGAATCAGGATTTATTGAAGGAGATTATATGCTCCTTTTATATTTCGGTTTTGGTATTTAAACGAGTTGTTATCATGAGTGTCATTGTGTACATGAGTATAACTATGGTCATGTACTTATGTGTAGTTTATATTTGCACGCTCACGGTTATTTATGTTTGAATGTGTTAATATTTTGGTAGCGAAATACTTTGCTTAGGCTGAGGTAGGGTAAACTACTGGAAGTACCAACATTATAAGGAAATAACATACTTGAATTAGTCTATCCTGCTCTGCCTGCAATAGTGCTTTGTAAGTTGTCATCTTTTCACAGTTTGTTTGTTACAAGTTAAATTCTTTTAAATAATTGTTAATTTTTTTTTAATGGAATCAGTTTATGACGACATTTTATTAACTGATCGCTCAGGAATAAATTCATACTTTCAAATCTGGAATCGGCTCGGCTCGGCTCGGGTTGATTCGGCTCGGTGAATACATAAATAGTTTTACAATTAGAACTCGACTTGGCTCGGAAAACAATTAAATAAGAAGAGCAATTCCCTCCCATGGTAACGGAATTAAGGATCTAATACTTGGTTTTAAATATATGATTAATTTTATATAAATGGAGACTGCTTTTGACGATATTTTGGAATTCAATACCAGAAGTTAAGATTTTATTATGAAACAAAAGGCCTAAAAAAGTGTCCATTGAATACAATATATAACAAAAATGTCATTGCTTAAGCAGGTTAAATTCGGTAATTCTGGTCTAAAGGTTTCACCAATTATTGTAGGATGTATGCAATATGGTTCAAAAGAATGGAGTGAATGGGTTGAAGATGATAAAACAAAAATTTTTGGTATTTTAAAACATTGTTACGACCGTGGTATGCGGACATTTGATACAGCTAATGTTTATAGTAATGGTTTAAGTGAGACACTTTTAGGTGAATTTTTAAAACATTATAATATTCCTAGAGAAACTGTCGTAATCATGTCGAAATTGAATTTTGCCACTGACGACAAAGTCAGTTTCGAAACTCTTAAAGAGAGATCTGAGGAACTTAACTTACATTTTGTTAATATGTCTGGTTTGTCTCGTAAAAATATTATGGCTTCAGCTAAGGAGTCTGTAAGAAGATTAGGTACGTATATTGATGTGTTACAAATTCATAGAGCTGATCGTGATACTCCATATGAAGAGACTATGAGGGCATTGAATGATTTAGTTGAAAGTGGTATAACTAGATATATTGGTGCGTCATCGATGTTGGCTACTGAATTTGCAGAAATGCAATTTACAGCAGAGAAATATGGTTGGTTTAAGTTTATCAATTCTCAATCATGCTATAATTTATTGTATCGTGAAGATGAAAGAGAATTGATGCCGTTTGCCAAAAGACATAACATTGCGTTGACTCCATGGTCTCCGCTACAACGTGGTCTGTTGACAAGACCTGTTGGAATTAAGACTACTAGATACGATAGTGATAGACAATTGGAAATAAGAAAGATGAAGAACTTGAAAGATTCTGAAATTGAAATTATTAATCGTGTTGAAAAATTAGCCAATGATAAAAACGTTACTATGGCTGTTATCGGTTTAGCTTGGGTTATTGCAAAAGGTTGTACTCCAATCGCTGGATTGAGTTCTATTGCTAGAGTCGATGAAGCTATAAAAGCACTAGATATCAAATTCACAGAAGAAGAACTTCAATATTTAGAAGAACCATATGAATCTAGATCATATATGTACTAAAAAATAGGAGAATAGAAATTCTTGAGGGTTATTTCTTCAATAGAATTTTTTTATCAATATCTTAAACAATTTGACGTAACTACAATGTTATCTGAGCCAACACATGGATACTTAAATACAAATATATTTATAAGCTGTGTAAACCAGGGTATTAAACACTTGGTAATACGAAATGAAGGAAATTCTTATTTTAGAATTTAATTTTTTTATAGAAATGAGCATAATCTTGGAAAAAGTATCAAGTATCAAATAGGGTAGGTATAGATATTCAAAACAAGTCTAAAAAATACATCTGTATAGAAGGAGCAAAGTGAAAACGGTGAATATTTGGTTAAGTTTGAATGGGGAAGATGTCAGACGATGGTAGTATTTTTACAATTTAGTAGAATAACTGATATGAATTATTATAATTTTATCTATTGAAGAGAATGGTATAATTATTTATCATGTAATGGAATTGCTAATTTGGATTGATATATAAATGTATATATATAAAATAAATAAGAATAGTTAAATATTTGAATATGTGAAAGAGTTTTAGGGGGGGGGGGGGACAATAGCTAATAGGTTCTATTGTTTAACATCTTTAAAAAAGGATGAATAAGTGAAATAAAGTCTTGAGAATTAATTAGACAAAACAACAACAACCAAAACAACGTGACACTTTGATTTGATTAATGTAATTCCGTTAATGTAATCTATTTTGTAACAGTTAAGTTATCTAACTCATCCTTTTCCTTAGCAGCTGCTTCAGCTTCTAAAATGTAAGGTAACAAATAAGGAACATCTTCTTCAGCCTTAATCCATTGAGTTTTTGGCAACAAGTGATGAGTCAACTCAGTCTGATGAGCTCTAATAATTCTATAGACTCTAGCATAAGACTCATCTTCTGGTAATCTAGTCAATACTTTTTGCATCAATGGAGATTCTTCAGCTATTAAATCATCGAATTTCAAACCCAATTTTCTGTAACCTGAGTACTTAATAAACTGATTAGCAACTGGAACACAGATCTTAGACAAAGAGGGTGATTTCAAAATGAAATCACCCATTTTAACAATTGAAGTAAATGATTGTGGCATCCCTGTACGTTATATTAAAATTTGTATCTTTTTTAAAAAATCTTATAAGTTAAAACTTTGAAATCCTAGTCTCCAGAACAACTAAAACAAAGTGCTTTCTTTATATATATTCTTCTAAAGAAATTCAAAGCTAGTTACCCTAGAATTCACAAATTATAAACCAATCAATCAAACCACCAAATAATAGATATATCTTTTATAAAAGTTGAACAACTTGCTTGGAAAAGTCTCGATATTTTTTTTCTTCAATCGATATTTTCCTCTGAAAAAATTCAATAGCGATATACAACAAGGAGAAAAAACGATATTGCCGGGTTAGACCCGTCAGTAATAAGAGAGCTAATAATTAGTAGTGAGTTCCTATTGGTTAACAAGTCAAGTCTTTGATGGTGAGATGGTAATGGTGGATACAAGTTTTGTAAATGTTGTATGTATATTGTTTATTATATGTATATATATTGTTTGTTATATTTATGTTAGTATGATTCATTGATCGATCGAATGTCTGTTAGTAGTTGTACTCTGTGGTCTTTTGTCCTGCCGTAGAAGGAAACCCACATTCTAACAACACTTTATTCAGTAGAGATGGATCTTGATTAATTTTCTCGAATACAGATTGTTCTTTGACTAGTACGAATCCTGTGTATCCTGTAGCGTTAAAGCCTATTTGTAATGATTTTGCTTGTGTGCTCGAACGTGGGATTACACATAACCATTCTTGAGTCATAATTACGTTGTAACTTCTTTTGTCAGCGAGTTCAGGTTTCTCTTCTAACCAATCTTGGAAAAATGTCAGTGCTCTTTGCAATAGTGAGAAGTAAGATATGGTTAGTAAATCTTCATCGATTTCAGTGGAGTCTGTTGGTAATGGGATTGCAAAATGTGCAAATGCTACTTTATCATTTTGTAAAGGTTCTTCTCTCGGTGTGGGAATGTAATGATCCCTACCATTACATAACGAATCTTGTAAAGTAGTTAGTCCGTCAGGTATTTTCATAATTTGCAAATGTTTATGATCTTGCGAAGAACCAGATAATGGTCCCGAATTATAGAAAACCATATGTCTATCGCCATTATCATTTATATTTAATTTACTAATAATTTCGTAGCTTGTAATTAAATCCTCTGGCGTCAATGAAGCCATCTGATGCTCAAACGCATTAGTTACCAATAAACTATGCTCTGGAACTACTGGAAATTTATTCAAAACTAATTTGTATCTTCCATTGCCGGTAACGTCTTCTAGAACTGTTAGTTCAGGTTCAAGTTTAGCAAATGGATCTATTTTATCTTTTTCTGCATCTGCTCTCTCCGGTTTGCTCTTTAAACTGGGAGTAAAACTAACGACATATTTCATCCCAGTTTTTTTATCAACCACTTTAGTGGAGTCAGCTTCAACAAATAGAACATCTTTATTCTCTAAGGCGGTAGTATACTTGTTTTTAATCAATTGTCTCAATTGCTCGGTAATTGCCATTTTCAAAGAGGTAACAATACTCAAGTAGTTTAAGTGTTTCACTGGCCATAGATATCAGCTTCAATTGAACAAGGTATCAAGTCATCATTTAAAATAGTTCCTGTCATAAACGTTGCTTAATCCATTTCTTGTCTTGAATAACGTATTACTTGGATATTCCACAGCGTACCAAACGACTCAATTCAGAATCTTAATATTCATAATATCCGGGTAAAGTTTCAACCAATGGAAAATAGAGTTAAGTGATCTTAGATACTTATCCTGTAAGAACCAAAGTCCATAATTGCACTCCAATGAATACAAAGTAGTTTATGGGAAAGTTAATTCTTCCACCATATATCTAATATTTATGTTGCTGTTTTCCATATTACGCTACGTTTTAAACTATCAGCATGTGATCTCAATCATTCCATAAGTAATCTGGTACGAATAAATGAAGAAGGTATGAGTATTAACATTATGGTCAGGTGACAGGAATATCTGTGTATATTCTTTTATGGTTATATATTCTATTCATATTTATTAATGACCATTTACATTTTTGATGTCATTAGATAAACCATATAACAAGGTAACTCTCTTGATAAATTATAATCCAATTAGATAAATAGACTCCAAAAACTTCCTTTTGTGTAAGTCCAAATCACGTGATTCACTTTTATTCTTAAAACTTTTAAAAAATTTTCAATTGAATGCTCATCAAACTCATCGAACAAACCTGAAACTTTTTATTATCAACACATCAATGGATATTACAATCAGATAAGAAGGAGAATATGATCTCATAGGTTTTATAAGTTAATCAATTCTCACAATAACTTGTAAAGTTTGATTTATTCTGTCTCAACTGAGAAAAAGTGGACTTGAATCGATCAGCTTCGACTATTGGACTGGAGATCCAGTACATAAATATTAACTTTACAATATTGATATTGTCGAGGGAATGATTCTGCTAATGTGTAATCAATGGAGTTTCTCATCAGAATCCGCAACCTGGTGTATTGTTGAGTAACAATTTGATTATCCAATATAGCTCATTCATAAAGATAATTTCAAGATTGAAAATTAATATTTATTTCTCTTAGTGATCGATCTGATTTGGATTGCACAACTTAAGTTTGATATGATCTCTTATAGGTTTTATAAGAGCAACTATATCTATCGAATGTGTCAATGTGCAAAGAAGGAAAGGCTAAATATTATTATTTAATAAATTTTTAGATGGGAGATCAGTGATTATTTTCTGTTTCAACTTTGCAAACGTAGGGTTGAAACATTTGAAAAGCTTTTTTTTATTTTAAATGACAGTATATGTTGATAAGAGAGTCGTGTGAAGATTCGAGGGTTTTCCTCTTTTCTAATCGTGTACAATTATGATCATCTTTTGATTGAATCAGTATGAAAGATTAATTACCATGAAGTTTTTTCATGATGATTTCAATATTTTATCATGTATCTATTTAATCAATAATTTGGTTTTCTCTAATCTATTTTATTATTTCATATCTAATGATATAATAAATCATTTACGGTTATTATCAAAATAATTAAACTTATTGATTGATGATTATCCTATCACTGACAGAAACGATCTAAGAAGGAACAATTACCTTGTTTTCCACTTTAATCGTATTCTCTTTAGCAACATATCTATTTTTTCTATTGTGTATGTAGCACTTTATATCATACAATGTGCAAAACGTTCATCTTGTTAAAGTCAAAGTGTAATCAATTGGCTTGCTATGCCTTGTACCAAGAATAAGAAATATAACAATGGTCTATAATAACCTGCCAACATTTATTCGATAAAAATAGTTTCAGAAGTTAGATTCTTAAAATTTAAGAGGGAGCAGTGTTCTGCTAAGAGGAATATAGAGCCTGAAGTGGTTTTAGTTACTTAATATATTTGATAAAATCATAATATGAATCGCAATGAACGTATTACCCGCTCTATTTACTTCTGGAGAATATATTAGTTCTGGAGTTACGTATATTTATGCAAAATTGTTAATGTCTGTACCACTTGAATATTTAAAAACTAACAATGAATTTTCATTAAAATATTCATTTAAATCCATATAGTTTATATCCATTTTAATACGGGGTTCTATTACTACAACTTTCTCTAAACCAAGATGTTTTAGAAAATACCCTTTAATTTTTACTAATTTTAATTGATGATGTATTGTCGGTTCAATAGCATCTGTGAAATACCCATCATACATTAAATAAGAATGGTGTATGCTAACAGCTAAAACCAATTGATAATTATTGAAATGACTAAGATATCCTAAAACAAGATATTTAGAAATGACTTTCTATGAAATAAATAGCCAAAAAGGTTTCTTCACTTAAAATAGCAAATAACAAAAGATTAGAAGGAAGCATTCTTAACAAGACCAGGAATTTTATCTCTATTGTTAGTAACCATACAAGCAAGAGGAGTGTTGTTTAAAACATCTTTCTTACCATGCTCTATCTCTTCCTCTTCGATCCGATAATGAACAACTCCACCTAAAGATTGAAAATCGTTCTACATAATCAAAAAATCTAAATCAATTTTGAACACTTCAACATAAGGTCTATCCTGATTTAATCTATGATATTCTAAAAAACCAGTACCTAATAGACGATCAATATCCATATTATCTTGCGTATCTGGATCATCATCATTTCAGTTTCTGTTAAAAGATTAGGCTACAGTAATACACATTTACATAGAAAAATCCAGGTTTTATCTTCTCATAAATATCTAGCTCATTATTCAAAATACATTAAGGATGAGCGTTACACTTATAAATTGGATTGGTTTTTATTAATTCTACACAACTCTGTATGCTAAGAATATTTTGATGCCAAATACCAATAGAAATATATTTAGAATTTACACCATCTTCTGAATATTTGCTCATAGTAAATCTAGCAGAAGTGCTATTCAAAATAAACTCATTAATAATAAAACTAGACCGTCTTATTCTATATGCAACATGGAAACTAAATCAGCAACCTCAATAAATATAGAATACTACATTACCTTCTGGGTTATTATGTTATTTTATAAAATCAAACTAGAATCATGATAAGCTACAAAGCAGACATTATAGTACTGATTTGATATTATTAAATGAATCTAAATTAACCGTTCTTTTATCATAAGTGAAGATATTTCTATTAATTGAAATATTCCTATAATTCTGGTTAAGAGTTTTAACTGAAGATGGTTCAGTTACGTATAAATTTGGATTACTATATTCGTATTAGGCATGGACGGGCAACTCGGTGCCCGACCGTTTTTTTGTTATCACATGACCTTTTTCGACCTCTTTTGCGGTCCATCAGAAGTTAATTACAGACAAATCCCGCAGCTTCCTTGGTGCACGACCGGGCGGACAACTTTCTCAAAAAGGACATTTACTATGAGGGCATGTTTTTGACCTTGCTGCCCATCCATGCCTAATTCGTATTATAGGCATTTATAAGATAATTACAAGTTCACTGAAGTAGGAATTTTTAAAATGTTCTATTTGGATAAATTTTATGATTTACGAACTGTTGAATTAGATACAACTAAACGATAGGTTAAATTGACAGGCAATTGGTTAAACACTGGAACATTATCAAGAGTTATAACTAAAATGTTTAAATCACGGCAATATGGATGATGTGATAAAGGGTTTAGTAAAGTTAAATCAAAATTCTGCAGCTAAATATTCAATTTGGACTTCACTGATTTATTATCTCAAGTTAAAAAATACATAAAAACCCAACTATACTTCTGTTTCATCTATTACTGAACTAAAAAAATATCTACCAGAGTTTACTTAATAATGTCATGTATAATAGAAATAAAATATATGAGACAATGTCATCTAAAAATATTCCAGTTTGAATAAGAATACTGATTCAAATACTACTATCAAATTGATCCATAATTTGTATTTGAATTTATTGTAGTCTCATCTGTCATAATGGTTTCTTTTAATCGTGGATGTTTGCTTATTACCCAAAGCGCATGTATCAAACCAGGAAAGAAACCAAAAAAAAACAGTAAGAAATTTACTAATAAATCTTTGGATAATAAACCACACTTTAGGGCAACTGCCACAGGTGGAACAAAAATAGCAATAAATGCAAGGAACCAGTCCTTCAAATCCATTTTTGACAAACTTGCAGTTGTAAAAGCTTTTTGATCCAATAATCGAAGACGGTAATACCAAATTGAATCGAACCGAACCGAACCGAATCAAATCAAATCAAATCAAATCGATTGTAAATTACCTTGATAATTCTATTTGTTACTCTTAACTTGATCTAATTATTGGTTGTATGAAGTAAGGTATTAACAACTATCCCCCGCTAAATCTTAAGAAGCGATATTGCTAAATTACACTAAAACTCTTTGAATTTTTTGGCTTTATTTGCCAACTCAGACTTTGTTATAAGTTCAATAGCCAACAACAGCTATGAAAAAAACTTAGTACAATGAATTTTGAGACTCCTGGAAAATCTGGAGGAAAGAAAACTCCAACATACAAAGCAATAAAGAATAATGAAAACTTAAATTGAAGGATAGGTAGAGAGATAAAATCCAAAAAAATATTATTATACAAGAAATAGATAAAATCTATTGTAAATGAAAACAAGAACGGAATATAGACATAATCAAAATATAATGAAATAACGCGTCACAACTGCATGAGTACATGCAACCAAAATGGTGTAGTAGAATTTAATTTCCCAATAGGAGAGGAATCATATTAAATAAAATTTAGAATAAATATTATTCAGGATTTAAGTTAGGCAATTTGTTTACACGATACTTTCCTAATAAATAATTATATTTAGGTTTAAGAGTGTCCTCATCCCCACCCCTATCTAGAAATGAAAATAAAAATAAATATGTCCATAACAAGTAAACCAAATGCAGTATTGCAAAATATCCCACTAAATAAGCTTAATAAAATTATAAATCAGGAAAGCATTTTCCCGTTGCCCTTAATCGAAACATAATTACTATAAATTGACATTTTAACCTAACCTAACGCATGATATTGCTAAAATCAAACGTTGTTGCAACGAAAAAAAAACGATATGTCAGCAATTTTAATTACACTTCCACTGTTTTCTTTTTAGATAGAATATTTGAAAAGAATCAAAAATCAAGATCAAGATCAAAATCAAATAAACATACACTCAGCCTCCAGTAAATATTCTTGAATATCAGCTATTTTTGTTCAAATGATAAATTGTTACTGGGAAATCAGTCTGAAAAAAAAAAGCGAGGAGAAAAGCAAGTATCTATAATTTCTAACCAAATTCCCTCCATTGTTTTTTCTGTCATTTGATTTATTGATTCCCACATTTTTCAACTTACTCCTAATCAGCTATTTCATATAACAAGACAGGGAGGAATTTCAATCAATCTATCAAATTGATCAATCTTAACTAACTGCTAAGATGAACTTGTATTACGATTTATATTTATCAGAAGAGTAAAAAAAGGAAGAGGTTAATTACTACAAGCCATTCATTTATTCATTCATTAAGGATAATAACCATCCACCACATCTCACTCAGTAAAATTCTTAAGTAGACCTTAGTAAAAAAAAGATAGGAAAAATTCCTTTTATATGAAAAATTCTTCTAATAATAGTGTTAGATTGACAAGTAAGAGAGTAACAAGAAAAGCAAGGCAGCAACACAAACCGTCTGCTCGGCCATTACATGCCTTACTAGATGGTGATATCAAACGGAAACAACGATGATGGTATTAAGTTTATCCTCTTAGAATGAGTAAGGTTAATTCAAAACCATTGCCAGAAGTCCACGCAAGTTGAGAAACCTTCACATGGTTTATCATTGTTGATTATTCCGTTAGAGTGACTGATTACACGAACCCAAATATAGCCATTTCTTTACTGTAGGAAAAGAGAGTTCTTTTATCGTCTCCATCTCGTGGTTTTAATGCTTTTGGTAGACACACATCCATGCACAAGAAGATGTAACGGTTAAGGCTCTGTCTACCACGGGTTTCCCTTTTCTAATTCGTTCTACCAGACGAGGTGGGTAATCAAAAAGTTACGAGAAAGGTGTTTGTTTGTTGTCAGACTACTAAGAGTGTCTCAATGGCAAAAGAAGCGTGGATGGAAAAACCAGGCTAATCACGACAATATTTCCATGTTAGTAGAGGTTTTATTAGAAAGTTAAAATATTTACTTATTTACCTTGAGAGAACATAACAGCATAACTTAAGTTCGACCCATTAGAGGAAGGAATGAGTTTACCTCTATTCGTCGTGTTTTCGAATCGATATCCTAAAAGAGTAGAGACTCAGTGTCTAGACCTTTCAGGCGACTTCCCCCCGAAAGAGTTCAATGTTTCGTGGTTCTCCCTCGCCTTCTCACAAGTTAAGATTGAAATAGCTAATGCAGAAGTTTCTACAATAGCTGTACTCAATAGTATCCAGTAACTATCTAAATTTGGCGTACTACACACGCAAAAATTGATTTATAAGTGATATATTGATGACATGACACTAGTTAGGAGAGGGAGCAGGGAGGGTGGTAGTTTGGGAGAAGGGTAAAAGAAAGAGGATCTAGAGACTTATCCATCCCATTCCATCTAAAACAACTCTAGATTTGAACAAGAAAGAATTACGGCAGTACCGGCCAGTGAGGATGGCATACTCACCAATACGAGCAAGTGGACTCAGGTAGCATCAATTAGATTAAATTAAATTAATTAATTAATCAATCTATCAGAAAGTTTCGAAAGCTGGATTGTGTGAGACTTTCTCACTGCTCAAAAATCCTCTGAAAAATTTCATCACCGTTTTTTATTTCTTTTACTTCGAGTGGTTTTGTTGGTTCAGAGTCGTAGTGGCTGACAGGTAAGTATTGGCCGTTCCAGCTCTTTGAAAAGTTTCCTTTGAAGTTTCGAGAAGTACACGAGGATAGCGATGGACACGGTGAATATATTTTTGGTTGCTTTTACTCTTCCTCTTTCTCCCTTCTCTTGAAAAGTTTTCAATATTAATCTCGATTTTAGTTTGGTGTGCTTGTGTGGATGAATAGAATAGGAATAAGAACAAGAGCTACTCTAAATGAGTGGTTGGTGTTGGTGTTGGTGTTGGTGGTGTTGCTCGAAGATGGGTGAGGAGCGAGATAAAGATAGATACAAGCAGTAATAGAGACAGCAGTGGGGGGGGGGAGGATTTCTTTTCACTTTTATTTTTGTTATTATTTTTATTTTTATTTTTATTTTAATTTCCAGATCGAAATCAACTAATTAGCCAATTAATTGGCCCTAGACATACAGAATAGACAGGTCCAAAAGAAAAAAGAAAAATTTTTCTATACAATTTCGTTTCTTTTGAATGTGTAATTTCATTTCTCGATGGTATATAAAAGAGAATACATATTTGGATTAGAATTGTAGATTTTTGTCTTATTCTCAAGTTCTACTATTTGGATTGTTTTATTTTTAGTTGTTTCATTTTTAAATTCTATTATATACAAAAAACCCATCACACATATATACCGATCAAGATGCAATTCAAGACTATTGTTGCTGCTTTCGCCACTTTCGCTGCTGTCCAAGCTGCTAACTCTACCAATGGTACTAACAAGACCAACTCTACTTCCACCACCAGAATTTCTACCGGTGCTGCTGCTTCTAACGCCTTAGGTGCTGGTGTTGTTGGTGCTGCTGTTGCTGCTGGTGTCGCTTTCTTATTCTAAATGGAATAGTGGATAGAAATTAAAAAATATATGTTTTTATTTAATAATTTTAATTAATATATTTTGGACGGTTATTTTTTTACTGAATTTTATACACTTACAATCCTAAGAATTCGAAGGACATTTTTCAATACCGTATATGTAACATTTATAATTAGTCGTTTTATCAAACACATCGAACGTTTCGATGTGTTGTAATTCAATAATTTTATAGTATTATTCTAATTCTAATTAATAAAAAGTGAGTGAATGCTCAGCTTTTGGCTAGATAATATTTAATAATAATATATAATAATAATAATATTAATATATGTAATACGGCCTTTTTTTGTAATGGAAGTAATGTATTCTTGCTTTAGTTAGGTTGAGATCAAGGGCATAATGGCGATTCTGTGGTGTCTATAGAACTTTAATTGTTTGATTAACTATTTTGAATTAATAATACTTAAACTATACATACACATATATACCCAGATACATAGGTGCTTGTACATGTATATATTATCTTAAACTACTTCGATGCTTAATTACGTTCAATGTTAACTAATTCGACATCAAACAATAAATCAGCATTCTCTGGGATAACACCTGGCACCCCTCTTGCTCCATAGCCCATGCTACTTGGAATTTGAATCTTTCTACCTTCACCAATACACATACCAATCAAACCTTGATCCCATCCAGCAATAACCTGGCCAATACCTAATTTAAATGAAATTGGTTGACCTCTATTGTAACTGTTATCAAATTCTTTAGAGGTTTCCCTAACCATACCACTATAATGAACTGAAACAGTATCTCCAGGCATTGCTTGCATCTCACATTGTTCACTTGGTACCTTCTTTGTTATCCCAAGTTCTAAATGTTCCAATGGTTCATAACCAGCAGCTAAAACTGAATTAATTAAAGCTGCTAAAAAGATAACAAAACATTGAACCTTCATTTCTAATGTACTATATTGTTGTCAACTACTTATCAAAGTCAAATAGTTCTATAGTACCCTCAAACTGATATATATCTATCATCTTTTTTTAAAACTCTTCTTCTATCTTTATGTATTACGTTTGATTAATTTGAAATTATTATGGATATTTTCAAAAGTACACCATATTAAAGGTTCGCAAAATAAGTAAAGTTCAAGAAGGAAATTAAAGGATTAACAGATCAACAGTAATTAGTAAATGAGGATTTCTGGATAGGTGTCTATCTATTTGAGTATATATTAGATCATTATAGATAAACATAGATAGACATTCATGTTTGGCTTTAGGATCATTATGATAGAGATGATTCCAAGATCACATGAACGTAAAGAAAGAGTATATATATAAAATATTTAGAAAACGAAGTTTAATAAAAATTGATGTAGAAATTTGAATTTTGCTAGTACAGAAGAGTAAAGATTACAATTCATCATGTTCAATATCATCATTGGATTCATCTTCAGCTTCATTGGCAGCCTTTTCAGCAGCAGCAGCTTTTTCCTTTTCTTCTTCTTCAGCTTTCTTCTCTTCTAATTCTTTCTGGTATTGTTTAGCTAATTTACCGGCATTTAAAGAGTTACCACCGTTCTTTTCCAAGAAGTTTAAGAAATCTTCAATTTCTCTCTTGGTTTGGAAGGTAACTGGTTCAGCGTTCATACCTGATGGGTATAGAATGATAGTTGGGTAACCTTCGATATCGACAGAAGCAACGTCGTTCAAAGTAGCATCAATTTCAGCAATTACGAATTTATCCTTAGTGGATTTATCGTTAGCCAACAAATCAGCTAAATCGACATAAATTGGAGCCAAATTCTTACAGTGACCACACCATGGAGCGTAGTATTTAACTAAGACATCCTTCTTTGGGTCCTTGATAATTTCATCGTGATTGTGAGCGACCAATTTCATGACACTAGAGTCTTGAGATTCTGGGATTGGTTCAGATTTAACAATTGGTTCAGCTTTACCAGCAAGGACATCTTCGACCAATTTTTTAATTTCTTTTTCTTTCAAGACGATTGGAGCGGTTAATTTTTCGAATTCTTCATCAGCCAATTGTTTCAAACCGTATTTGTAGTTTGAGTCCATATCATGAATGACAAACAATGGGAATTGTTCCTTCATGTTTAAGTTGTCAGCATGTCTACCGAATTTTTGAGCATCTAAAGCACCGAAGTTAAGTTTACCTCTATGTTTTTCACCTAATTTAGTTAAGAAATCAGAGTACTTTTCTAATTCTTCTTGGGAGTTGTAGAATAAGTAAGCTAATGGTAATTTACTTTCAAAATAGTTGTTGAAAGTTTCACCGTTAATTTCACCGAAGAAAGGTAAAGATTGTACTTTTAACCATTTAATGAAATCTTCTTCTGAAGTTTTTGATAAATCACCGTCGTATACAATTGGTTCATTGTCCAAATCATCTTCATTTGATAAAATGACGGATAATTTTGGATTTTTCTTTAATGGATAAGAAACGAAAACATAATCTGAGAATAATTTATCAGCCATTTTATGGAAAGTTTCATTAAAGTTTTCTACGTCATTGTTGATGACGACAGGTAAAGTAGCGTTTAATAAGATGGAATCCAATTCATCTTCGGATGCAACGTCCATGACGGTAGGCAAAGATTGCTTAATCATGAAATCTATCATAGCGTCAGCTTTTCTTGCACCTTGGTAATCTTTTGGTTCTTCCAAATTACCATTCTTGAAGATTTTTATAGTTGGATAACCTCTAATTTGGTGTTCCATACATAACTCTTGATTTTCGGTACAATCGACTTGAGCCAAGTAAATATCATGTTCTTTTAATTTTTCAGCAGCTTTGACATATTCTGGAGCCAAATTTTTACAATGACCACACCATGGAGCAAAGAATTCAGCCATGACCAAGTTGTTTTTGCCGATGAAGGATTCGAAATCCTTTCCAGATAGCTTAACGACATCTGAATCTTCTGGGGCGATAGCGTCTTCTTGAGCCAAAGCAGAGGTGGCCAAAGACAATAAGCTTGCCAACTTAAATAGAGTCTTCTTATTCAACAACATAATATTTAAAAGTATATGTGTGACTGAGGTGCTTATTGTAGGAACAGAAAAGGAAAAGCAAAAGAGAAAGGGAAGGAAAGGAAAAGGGACAACAAAAATATATAGAGGAACTAAACAGAGATTAAGATCCAGAACTAAGACAAGGCCAGAATTACAAATATAATCAATTAAATATATATATATATATAACAAACCCAAAATTGAGTTAAACAAGTCAAGTTTTATACCTTTAGAAGTTGCAAGTTCAAGATGTTAGTAATAGATGTTAGTATTAGTATTAGTATTAGTATCAGATTTAGAATAAGCGTAAGCATAAAGTGTAAGTGTTAAGTGTAAGAAGATATCGATAATTCTAACAGCTCAGAGATGTTCGATTGGACTCGATTCGGTTCTGTTCTGTTCTGTTCGGTTCGATTCGAAACGTTGAGCTGAAACGAAATCTCTCTGGGGGAATGACTGAGTGAGTGAGTGAGTGTTCGTTGGCAGTGGGCCAACGTGTCGTTTGACACGTATCAGTTATGCTGCGAGCTGGTCTCGTTTCGTGCAGAATTATACGTCTGTGAATCTGAAACGCCACCTGGTCGGGTAACAGGTGCGTATCGAGCGATCTTTGCTCTGCATTTTCTTATTTATCTTTTCTTTTTGATGTGTCTGGGTTTCGGTGTACACAAAAACAAGCAGACCACCTCCCCCACGCCAATAGATGTGCAGTATGATGCGGTGTAGAGGTGTATGTGATTGCAGGTAATACATACACGCATCACCACATACGTTATAGGCACATGAGAACAGGTCCACCCTCCGAGGTCACAATCACAGTCACATGCTCAAACTCAAAGCAGCAACTGCAACTGCAACTGCAACTGCAACTGCAACTGCAACTGCAACTGCAACTGCAACTGTAACTGTAACTGTAACTGTCATTGGACTTCTAACATTTATATATATATCTATCTATCTATCTATATATTTTAAGACGACCATTCCATACTATATACTACCTTTGGCACCAACTGGCTTCTAAATCACAGATGAATCTCCCTGCCCCCTTCCCCCCAGCAAATACTGGAAGTTGAAGTTGTATGAATTACTTGTTCTCTTGATTCGTATTCTTGATCCTTTGGGCTCCAAGGACACATACACATACACATACACATACATATACACGCTGCTATCCCAACAACGCTCACTTGCTCCCCGTGTTGGCGTCGCCAATTTAACACTACTTTCTCACTTCAGCTTCTCTTTCATCTGGGGAACACCACCTGTCCAGTCCACTCTTGGATTTCCTGCTAACCAAGTCTGAGGGGAATAGAAAAAGGACTCACATTAAAAACTACACTACTATATATGGCATTTCATCACATTCCATTCCATTCCATTTCATTGCAACAATCCAACAAATTAAACGCAATTTCGTATTTCGAACTGTCTCTTACTTACAATCTCTGTCTCTTCGAGTTCGAATCGCAGGCTGGTACGGGGCTTACTAAATCGTCGTTCATTCAATTTCTCGAAATAGCACATAATAGCCAATGTGTTCTTATTCAAAGCAAACTGTACCCACACTCCTCTCACACAGACAGATCATTACTATATCTTTCTTTCTTTGATTAAATTCGTTGGTACTATTGTTTGTCTGTCTCTCTTTTGGTAGACCTCCATAAATCAATCAATCGATCAATCAATCATACTTATTTCTCATCATCACCCCCCAAATAAAGTCTATAAATTCCCTCCCTCCTGCTTACTACTACACACCTGTCGTTCTTGTTAAAGAGATACGTCAACAAACAGTTTTAAGAATTCACTCTTCATGCCTAATCTTATCAATATCACTAAACCTCTCTCCCTCAACCACCCCCTTTATATACAATATATATTCATTCCCAAACTATATAAACCCTGTGTTCAATCACTATCTTTAAGAGAAGAAACACTCAATTCAACCCAATTGATTCATATTTATCCATCCTAGAAAGAATACCACTCAAAACTTCAATTGAGCAACTCACCATACATTCGTAATGTCCTTTAACGAACTTCATAAAGCCACAGAACAAGCATTGACAAAAGCTGTCGATGACATCTGTGATGAATTCTACATCAGTGATGAGAAACTACAAGAATTGACTGATTACTTCATCGAACAGATGGAAGAAGGTTTAAATAAGCAAGATGCTACCAGTTCGAAAGGTTTACCAATGATCCCTTCTTTTGTCACCGGTATGCCAAATGGTACTGAGAGAGGTGTCGTCTTGGCTGCTGATTTAGGTGGTACCAACTTCAGAGTCTGTTCCGTTAAATTAAATGGTGACCATACTTTCCAGTTGGAACAAATGAAGTCAAAAATCCCTGATGAATTGTTAGACGATGAATCCGTTACTTCAAAAGATTTATTCTCATACCTTTCAAGAAGAACAATGGCCTTCATTAAGAAGTATCATCCAGAATATTTGGCTCCAAACTCAGAAAGTTTACCACCTTTGAAATTGGGTTTCACTTTCTCGTATCCAGTTAACCAAACTTCTTTGAATTCCGGTTGCTTAATCAGATGGACTAAAGGTTTCAAGATTGCTGACACTGTCGGTAAAGATATCGTCGAGTTGTATCAAAATGAATTGAATGCTCAAGGTTTACCATTTGTTCACGTCGTTGCAATGACTAATGATACTGTAGGTACTTTGTTATCTCACTGTTACTGTTCCGATAACACTGACTCTCTAACTTCTGGTGATATCACTGAAGTAGCAATCGGTTGTATCTACGGCACTGGTACTAACGGTTGTTACATGGAAGAAATTAAGAATATCAAGAAATTGCCTGAAGAAGACAGAAAGAGACTATTAGATGAAGGTAAGACACATATGGTTATTAACACTGAATGGGGTTCATTCGATAATAACTGTAAACACTTACCAACTACTAAATATGATGTAGAAGTCGATCAAAAATCTTCTGCTAATCCAGGTTTCCATCTATTTGAAAAGCGTGTCTCTGGTATGTACTTGGGTGAAATTTTAAGATGCATCTTGGTTGACTTACATGATCAAGGCGTCATGTTCAACCAATACAGATCTTATGATCAATTGCCTCAAAGATTGAAGTCTCCATTAGAATTGTCTTCTGAAGTTTTATCTCACATTGAAATTGATGATTCTAAAGAATTGGCCGAAACTGAATTGTCCTTATTACAATCTTTAAGATTACCTACTACTTTTGCTGAACGTCACAGTATCCAAAAGTTGGTTCGTGGCATTTCTCACAGATCTGCTTATTTGGCAGCCATTCCAATTGCTGCCATCTTGAAAAAAACCAATGCTTTGAACAAGAGATATCATGGTGAAGTTGAAATTGGTTGTGATGGTTCGGTTGTCGAATACTATCCAGGTTTCAGATCAATGATGAGACATGCCTTGGCTTTGTCTCCAATTGGTGCTGAAGGTGAACGTAAGGTTCATTTACGTATCGCAAAAGATGGTTCTGGTGTCGGTGCCGCCTTATGTGCTTTGGTCGCATAAGCATGATTAATGTTGTATGACGTTGTAGATGTTTTGTTCTTTATAGCTAATGCAACAACAAAATCACAATGATTTTTATTGAATAAGTTTTGTATGACTAATGAATATCCTTTTATAAATTAAGTGTATGAATTTAACTGATTAATCATATAATGTATCTATAATCTTTGTATTTCGTAATTTCAATTAGTATTTATTTGGTATCATTAATATTAAGTAGGTGCTATTTAACAATTTGCCTAGATTTTCAATTTATAACCCCCTTTCTAGTCGGCGATAGGTATCTTCTGTAGGGAACTTGCTTCTTTCTTTCCTCTTTCAACGTCAAGAAGATGAAATATAGGTATAGCCAAAATCAATAAAGCAAATAGTAAGAAGAAAGAATACCTAATATCATGAGTATAATCGGTAATTAAACCTATCAGAAGGGGTCCTAAAATAGATGAGCCTTTGTCAGTAACGTTAAAAATACTAAAAAATGTGGATTCTTGACCTCTTGGAATAATTAAACTAAACACCGATCTTGAGACTGCGGAAAGACCACCAAGAGATATTCCGTACCATATCGCCGTTATAAACATCTCGAATTTATGTTTTAACCCAATATTTTTAAACACAAATCCTAAAATACCATAGAATGGAATAAAGCTGGCCCAAAGAATTATGTAGATCAGTAACTTTTCACCTGGCAGCTGAAACTTTCTTGAAATAAACTGAGGAATTGTAAAGGCACCCAATATTGCATTGATCATTGTCAAAATACTTAGGACAATTAAACTTAAGGTACTCATTTTAAGTTCCGTTTTAGCGAAAAGGATGGCAGTAGAGTTAATAGTTGTCACTGAGTCACTGACAATAAACCAACCAACCAGGAAAATAACAACATCTTTTAATAGTTTTGCATGCTTCAAGGCTTGGAATAGTGAGGACCAACCATGTTTTAAATTTGAAAATTTAAAAATCCATTTTTTAGGTTTATGTATACTTAAATTATCCATATCTTCTGGTGTAACGTCAGCAGAGATTGGTGAATCTTGTAGAAGCCATGACATCGGCAATTGCCATATTAGCCACCATATACCAACAAATAGAGTTGCAACTTGAATATTCTCACTTGATTTGCTTTTTTTAATCAAAAATATAGATATTATTTGAACCACCAGAGCACTAGAGTACCCAATACTAGCACCTCTACCACTGATCAATGTTGTCAATATATCAACATTGTCACGTTCATCCAGTGAGCTTGAGTTATGCTGCAAGTATTCACTAACAAACAAAGGTAACAAAGAATTTCCAACAACATTTACAACACCATAGCATGAGTTGGAAAGAATACAAAGAAATGCTAACATATAATACTGAGTGTTATATATTCTTGAAATTAATATTGTAGAAAGTGCACCAATAATACCAAATAATAATAAAACATTTCTTTTGAACGTCACGGTATTCCAAATATCTACCACTCCTGAGACTGTAATAACCACCAACGTCTGGAAAAACACACTAACAGAAAATGTATATAATGCAAAACTAGATGTATCGATATATATCCTATTACTGAATAGTCCTAATACACATTTATCATGATCTGCAGTACAATGCACAGAATGATCCTCTAAAGTAACACCATTATGTCTTGCAAATTGTTCTAAAAGTAATGGAATATATGTAGCAATCGCTGATACGACAAATGGTTCACTAGAGAATGAATAAAAATACCACCCTACTATATTTTGCTTTGTTCTTTTAATTGTCTGTAAAGTTTCAAACTCATCAGTTACCTCGGTTGTATTAATCTCTTCTCCCAACGTACCATATCTCATCACGGATCAAAATATATACCAGATACACAAACAAGCAATACTAATACCCAATCACAATTGCTCTCTTGTCCCCCTTTTAATATCTTCCAATACTCCTATTCCCAGTTGCTATGCCTTTATTTTAAGGATTCAATATTCTTATCGACCTTTAATTTTTATTGAGCGATGGACAGGAAGCCCTTTGAAAAGTTTCAGTATTTAATATTTTAAAGTGACAGTAAATCGTTGATCGTAAATAGAAGTAACATGAACACTTCATTATGGTTTAAGTAAGGATCTGGGTATATTCAGTTTGTTATTAAGTGAATTCTATTCAATATTTTGGTTTTTTCTGGCGATTAATGGCCTCTGGACTGAGAGTGCGTCAGTATTGTGCTGATTAAAAAAAATTTGGCATTGAAGAAATATTCAGCTTCTATAGTATGAGCATCCAAGATGATGAACGTGAGTTATTGGAGGCCCATTTGTTGCAATCATTGTGAACCACTTTAATTTTTTAACATTCTTGTTTTAAAAAAAAAATAGCTTAACTTTTTTTTGATTAAGAAACTAAATATGGTTATATAATAATAAAGTTTATGGTATTTTTTACCACATGCTGTTGTATCTAAGTTTTAAGTATTGGGAATCTATGGGGAATTTTGCAATACTTGGGTTTTTGGATCTATGGCTATAGTGCCATTGATAAATAATATGACAATTGTACTTTTAAAAATTGATTGGGGATAAAAAATATATTCTTGAGGGAGGGTGGAAATAAGAACGGAATAAAAGAACAACTTCACAATGAAATTCAATCTTCTATTCAATGGTGGATTTAGTTTGATGGAGCATCTTCAGTAGGTGGGACAAAAGAGATTCTAAAGGCATCCATTACATCACCGACCAGGACATCTTCAATTTCGACATCAGAAGCTGATTCATCAGGGATGTGAGAAGACCAGTTCTTTGAACGAACAAAATATTTACTTAACAAGTTGGATTCAGTTTCTTCAGAAGATTCAATCTTACCAGTTACAATTTCAACGGTTGCATTTTCATTAGCGACGATTTCTCTGGCGGCAGCTAAGATTAAGTTGTGGTCACCACCAAATGACATATTGACAACACGGTAGAATTGGGAAATTAGAGACAATGGAACCAACCCATTTTTAGACATCTTGGATTTTAGAAATGTGTCCTTTGACAAGTTTTCTTCACTGAAGTAATATTCAACTTGAGCCGCAACATTATTAACTGCGATGAAAGCAGGTGGTAAAGAGTTTTGGGTATTAGATGATCTGTTAAATTGGTCATTACGAGAGATGTTATTATTTAGTTGACGTCTTTGTTGGTTTCCATTACGGTTGTAGAACTTCTTCTTTTGAAAATTGTTGCCGTTGTTGTTATTCAATCTTTTACCATCGTTCTTTTCGGACTTGACACCGTTGGTATTAGAGTTGTCACCATCCTTAGATTCATCTGATACGTCTGCATCCTTTTGCTGCTGAACTTTTTTTGTAACATTCTTAGATTTGTTATTTCTGTTCTTAGCACTCTTAGTAGCGTTTCTTCTATGATTGTTATTGCCGTTATTCATAGATTTAGAACCTGATATCACGATAGAAGCTTTAATTGGAACCCATTTAGTAGCATTAGAAGATTTCATGGCTGGGACATTTCTCTTTCTATTGTTATCACTGAAATCCAAAGTAATTTCAGTAACAGGAATATCAGATGAAACAGATTTCCATGGAGATGAGGTTGGAACTGGAGCAGGAGTGAAAACTGGTTCAGATTCCTTGACTTTCTCAGCTTGTTCAGCGATTTCAATTGGTTTAGCAACTTCAACAGACATTTTTATTATTACTATCAAAAAAGAAAACTTAAAATCTAATGCTATGCTATGATATTATGCTCTTGATCAGTTTCAATCCTGTCAAAATTGTCGTTAACAGAAGTTTATCAACTATTTAAAAAAAAAGTTTTTTCAAAAATATATTGAATGAATAGAATTTAAACCGCCAACCACAAATGATATTCAAATCATAAATCAATTGCAACTATTACAAGCAAAAAAAAAATTTTCTTTCAACTTCATCAATGGTGATGGATGGTGAAGCTTCTCTAATTTTTTTTTTTGCTTGGTGCCTCATCGCAAAGCATCGCGTAAAAAATTACATCAAAAATTTTTCAGTCGTGATGAGATGAGGTGAGGTGAGATGAGATGAGATGAAACTTTTGAATGTATGAGGCAGTTGAGATGAGATTTTGATAAAGGATGGATGTGGGAGGGAAGTAGTGTCTATCTGCTTGTTCTGAGATGCATGAGAGAGTCTGGGTTTATGCTTGTCCTATTGCATTCTTGGATGGTTGCTTTGTATATCTGGGATCTGACAAAAAAAATATTACAGTAAGAATAAAAAAAATTTAGATAATTCTATATAGCGTCAGTGTTCTCTTATAATTGATCTATTTGTTCAATTATAGTATGTTGAGTTACGATTATATAATGGAAATATACAGGTATATTTGCAGATATTTTTGAAATTAAATTTATATACGGTACGGTACTAATTGTTATGAGTAGGGATTGGAAAGTAGTACCATCGAGTCAAGATGCTAATCATCGGATGCAACCAGTGAGTGCTCTTGTTGCTAATAGATTTAAACAGCCCCCAGATATATATGTTCGTGGGAAATCTGATGCTGCTACTTCAGTAAATTATCGTTATAAAAGTTCTTTGAACACTGTTTTGAAGCAGATTCCAATTTCAACTTCATTTAACGATAATATCGAGTATTTTAAAAATCTTAGAACGATTCCATACGTCAAATTGGTAAATGATCCTTTGAATGAAAAGGTTGATGCCTATATTGCTGAGTTGACCAATGATTTTAAATCTCAAATGGAAGAGAATGATATTTTATTCCAGTCAATTCTTTTTGATGAAACAAATAAGTATATCGATTCTCTCTATCCACAAGGTATGTCTTATAAAAATTCTGATATTGGAACTTTCAAAAACAAAAGTTTACCAAATAGTAAGACATCGACTGGGAAAGAAAGTAAAAGATCAGATAGGAAGGGGAAATTCTTGTTAAATATCGTGGAACAAGCTTGGAATGAGAAATATGGAATTGATGGATCCAAAATTGATGAAAATGATACTTTAAGTTTAAAGAAATATCAAAGTGAAAAAAAATTATTTAATTCAAATTCCTTTAATGAAGAACTTTGTTTGCGTCTTAAAAAAGCCAAATTAAAATTTTCCAGTCTTTCTCTCGATACAGACTCAGATAATTTTAAACAATTGTGTAGAGTTATAAAATCTATTTCTTTGCGTTCAAGTATACTGTTTTCGGTTGATATCGAGGCATTCGAGCGTAACAGTAAAATTGTGACAGAAATTGGTATTTCAATATATGATCCCAGAGAGAATAAATATTCAATAACACCATTTATACGAAGCTATCACCTAATTGTAGAGGAATCGTTATTCCTTCGAAATTCAAAAATTGTAGGGGATCATAAGAATTGTTTCTTACATGGTGAAAGTTTAGTGATGCCATTGTTGGGCTGTGTAGAATTTATCCAATCATTAATCAATTTCTATATGCTTCCTAGAACAGAAGAAGATAAAACTTGGGAAAGAGCATTTGTAGGTCACGATATCATTGGTGACTTAAAATGGTTACTTCAGATGGGTGTCACTATTCCAGGATTGTTTTTTGATGATTTATTCTCCAAAAATAAAGAACGCTATAATTCAACAAAGAAAAATACGAATAAGAATAATTCAAAGGGTAATAAGCAGGATAATAAAGAAGGTAAACCCTATGCAAACCCTTCCAATGATATTCTTAATGAACGTGATGATTCTAGACTTAAAAACAAGAATCCGATGAAGCCTAACTTGGGTTATATTGGAAGATCTGATATATTTGAATTCGATACAGCAAATATATACAAAACATGCTACGGTGAAATTGGTTGTGGACTTGGCACTATGCTTCGGTTATTCAATATTCCACATTCCTATTTGCACAATGGTGGTAATGATGCATATTATACATTACAAATATTAATGAGAATTGGTGATATTAATTTTAGAAAAGTGATGAATCTTGATGATTTAAGGTATATAAGTAAAAGTGCCCATGAGGTCGCACACAGACAGTCAAACGAACCGAAGATTGTACCTAGTTCATCTATTAACAGAGTGGTAGATGCATTACGAGAAATGGAACCGATGTTTAACAATAATGATAATTCTGAATCAAAGGGGAATAAATCGAAGAGGAAAATTGCATATCAACGTCAAACTGAATTTGGCGGTGCATGTTGGTTCGAAGATCCAAATAAGGCATTTCTTTCAACAATTCGAAATACTGTTGAATATTAGCCCTAAATACCTAAACAATTCAACACATCTGAAACAAAGAAAACTTTCAATTCATCATATACATATATATAAATATATATATATATAAAACATATAAACCCGTCATACTATTTCCTTAATAAAAAGATAAGCAAATAGACTAAACGAATTCTATCATCTAAATAAACTTAAATCTATTAAATTTAGTAAATTAAGCCAAAGCAGCTTTCAACAATTCATCAAGTTTACCAGAAGACTTCAATTGTTGCAAGTCACTGTTACCACCAATATGTTTACCATCAATGTAAATATTTGGCACAGTTCTTTGACCAGTAATTTCAGCTAAAGCAGCTTGAATGTCATCACCATCTTCCATTTGGTTTAATTGCAAAACCAAAGATTTGTCCTTTGGAACATGATAATCAGTGAATAAAGTTTGCAAACTAGCTTGGCAATATGGACAATAAGATTTTGCGGCAACAAAAACCTTCTTTTGGCCAATTAATTCTTTAACTCTTGAAACTGTTGCTTGAGAGACCATCTTTTTTGGTGAGCTTGTTAGGAATGTCCTAGTTAGAAATGCTATACCGACCACAATTGCTAATGTTAGAAAATCAAGATCTGAAAAACCACCCATCAGGCAAAATTACCGTTTCCAGATTATTGTTCTCTTATTTATATTATTCCAAAACTTGTAAACTAACTTGTAAAATTAATCAGAACTCAAATGCAATCTATCAATTCTGCCTTTTTTTATCTCGACTGAAGGAAAGCTTAACTTAACTTCACTGATTTTTTTTTTTTTCACTATTCGCTCCCATAGCCTGACCTCTCGGGGCCACGCTGTTGCTGTATATCAAATAATGATCTAATGATATTTCGATTAGTAATGGTGATAAAATTGGCTAGAAGAATATGTAGATTGTATAAGCTTTACATTAGGATACATAGGTTAGAAATGTTGTTAAATAGAGATCACAGGACCTGCAATGTTGAAATTTCAGATATTTGCAAGGGACCTGAAGGGGGAGGGGGGGAAGGGATGTTGGTGGAAAAAAAATGTATAGACAGACAACAAGGAAATTGTTATTCTTTTTTAAAATTTAATGAAGCACTGTTAACACAATGTCTCATGTCAGTGGGTAGACCTAACATCTTGTCAAAACCTTCGCCTTCAAATACATGGCCAAGATGGCCATTACATTTTGAACAGCAGATTTCAGTTCTTTTCATTCCATGGCTAATATCAGTATGATAAGTCAAAGCGTTTGGTGAAATTTCTTGGTAAAATGCAGGCCATCCACATCCTGAATCAAATTTTGCTTGACTTTTATATAATGGCGAGTTACAGTTTGCACATGTATATATGCCAGTTTCTTTATTGTGTAAAAATTTCCCAGTGTTTGGTGCTTCTGTGCCTTTGTTTTTAAAACATACCAGTTGTTCAGCTGTTAAATTAGAGTTCCATTTGGTTTCTGGCATGTTCAATTGTGATGCTGATGCCCAAAACAGTCTTGGTTGTTCTATTAAACTTAAAGCGATTGTCTAAACCTTGGCCCAATTGGCTACTGATTCCCTTATTAATAAGTATCGTCTTCCTTGTAAACAAACGTCTAAAGCAATTTAAACCTACGGTCAACATTTTTCAATGATTAGACAAAAGGAAATTCATATTGTGAAACAAAAAAAAGAACTTGAACACCCAATTCATAAATTAATAATGACGAATATATGTACCTTAAGCATACGCCGAAACCATTTATTTATATATTGTTGAATGCAAATAACTAAAATTCGAGCTCACCTTACCTTTTCAATATACCACTATCAAAGGTTGTCCTTTCTTCTTCGTACTGGTTGCTTACTGGTGAAAAATTTCACAACCTTGATAAAAGAACCCTACTTGTCATACAAGCAATGAAATTGATCAATATAAATGAATTAATAATTGATTTCAGTTGATTCGAAAGCAATCATACATATATATTTGCGTGGGTGTGTGTATATCTTGTAAGATAGATAAGAGGCAATCGCAAGTGTTGTATATCTTGCTAGTTTAAACCCGTTATAAAGTAGTAGTGACCAAGGATGTCTACAGAATACCCTGATACCATGAGCTGTAAAGAAGCATTTGATCAAATGACGATATGTCTATCGTTAGGTGGTCAATTCAGAAATTATTACAGATATGGTAAATTTAATCAATGTGAAGTACAATTAGAAAAGTTTAAATTTTGTCTCTTCAATGGTAAAGATCCTGTAAAGGTTCAAGAATGGTATCGAAAACAAATGGAATACAATAAGGAACACCGTGGTAGTTCAGATGATATTTGGGAAGAACGTTGATAGTTTTATTCACCTCTCTAACATTACTCCCTTAACAACTTTACTAAACAGTTTATTGGCATTCATGTACATAGTGTAATTTAATATAATATTTAATAAGTAACGTTACGTTTTAATTAATAAAAGATTTCAGTACAATCAGCATACAGATAAGTGCTTGATTGATGTCTTGGTAATTTGGTTTATTTGTTTATTTTTTTTACCTTGCTTAAAGTCATCAAAAAGATTGGGTGGATAAATTGCACCAGTCCTGCAGCTTTATTTTTGAAGTACGCCTTCATTGACGACTAAAGTTAAATTTAGGCTTCAAAATTTAAAAATGGTAGAAACAATGCAAATTGTATAGCTTACATCGATTTTTGATATATTTCGATATTTGGCTATAAATATATAATTATATATTTTATATATGAATGTTTAATAGATAGATATCGCAAGTAGACATTTGGATAATAGAACTCATTCTATATATACAAGTATTAGTATATTGTTGTGATGTGTGAAGCAATGAGTAGTTCCATGGTGGTTGATGTAAATTGTAATAGTTGGACTACTCAGGAGGTGGTAGCCTGGTGTATGTCTTCATTAGGCATTCCCCAAGATAGTACGCTATGTAATAATTTACATCAACATAATATAACGGGAGATTTATTGGAGGAGTTGACTTTAGAGGATTGTAAGGAATTATGTGGTAATGATCGTGGGTTAGCATTAAGATTTAAAGTTTTATTGAATAAATTATTTGAATCTAAGGAAACAAGTTCTTTAAAATTGGAGCAGCAAGAGAATATGGTGGTGACGTTACAAAATTTATACACGACATTATCTGTAAAGCTGCAAGACTTCCAGTCGCAGTATTCAAGATTACGTTTGGATGTTTTAGATTTAGTTAGGAGCACAAATTCAAGTCCAACGATGACTGCTCAAACCCCACATGCATCACCTCTAGTATCTGCACAGAATACACATGTTTCTCCGTTACAACAAGGGTTCTCAAGCAACTCAGTAAATAGTCATAATGAACTTTCTCATTCTGGAACGTTAGGGAATCAAATTTATCAAAATAGTACTTCTGCATCTTCATCTACTACGAATTTGAAAAAATCAAGTTCTAAGTCAGGTAAACCTCCAATTCCAAATAGACCAAATTCATCACACTCATATAATGAATCAACTAATACAAACATAGAGAAATCAAGTATAGCAACTGAGCCTTTAAAACAATTACGAGCCTCAAAAGAAGATTCATGTGAAAGGATTTTAAGAAATGCAATGAAGAGACATAATTTAAACGAACATGAATGGAGACAATATGGATTGGTTATATGTTACGGCGACCAAGAAAGAATATTAGAATTGGATGAGAAACCAGTTGTTATATTTAAAAATCTAAAACAACAAGGGTTGCATCCAACAATCATGTTAAGGCATAGAGGTGACTTTGAAGAGTTAGATGTAAATTCAAGCTCCCTCCACGGTATCACTCCAGGTGGTAGACTTTGAAAATATTTTAAACAATAATATATTTCAAAGCTGCATTTTCTATTTTTATTCAAATATGAAATACTTATATATTTATCCATCCATATTTTTATATGCATAATTATATATAGATTAGTTATCCATTCTAAATGGACAATATGCATTCAGTTAAATTTTACACGAATTGCAATTTTATAAGAAATTAAATGATGTTCAAGATCAAATTATCCTAAAAACAAACCAGCAAATTCATATAACCAAAATTATAAGGCTGGTAGATATTTATTGACCTTTGTTTCATGTTTCAACCTCTTTGAAGTAAAGTTTTAAACGGGAATGATATAACGGCGCTATCACATTTAATGTGAAACTAAAATGAAACTATCATTATGACTGTTTAACATATTTGAGTCTTGGTAGGTGTGAATATTTCAAACTATGATGCATCTTCATAAAGATTTATAAATATATATATATATATGGGTTATTCAAAAAAAATCCAGTCTATTTAGGTTTATAATTAAAAGAATGGCAAAATAAGGTTTACTGCAAAAGAATAGAAAATGGCAACCACTACTACCGATCCTGCCATAACTACGATATTCAGGATTACTACTACACTTAGAAGTAGTACAACACATAATTCGAGTCAAATAAGGACGTCAAATTCAATAAGTACTACTTTGTCTTCAATTCATTCCTACTCAGAAAGTACAGATGTCATTAAAAGCACAATATCAGCAATTCAATCACAATCAGTGACGAAAGTATATAGTAGCGCTTTATCAGTGCCAACTTATATTACAATAGATGGTGAATCAAATAGTTCAAAATCTTCTGGAAAAACAATTGGTTTGGCAATTGGATTACCAGTAGGGATTGTCTGTTTGTTATTATGTATATTGCTATTTTTATATTTGAAAAAGGACTATTTCCATAAATCTACGAAAGTTGTGTCGCCAACAGAATCTAATAAACCGATTCAAAGTAATTGGTTTAACAAATGTTTGTATAGTAGTAAACCAACCGAGTCTAACGAAGAATATATAAATGAGAAGAGGCTACCATTTACTGGTAATATGTCTTCCAAAGTTCAATACAAAATCTCAAAAGATAAATCGCAACATATTTTGACACCAAAAAAATCAGTTGCTATACCCTTTGGAAATCCTAATTTTGACAAATCAATTGAGACAGTTGATGTTGAAAAGCTTTTATATACAGAACCACCAAATATTCATCATATACCGTCTACATTCCCTTCGATGGAAAATATAGTAAATACAAAATTGACTAAAAAGCATTCTGAAAGTGGAAGTGATGCAATATTAACAAATTGGAAGTATGAATCACCACTTTCAAGATGGTTTTTAAGAGGTTCGACATATTTGGAAGACCCTGAAGCACAATTATATAACGAAACTCCTACATCTACAGTACAGCTGAAGCGCTTAAAAATACTATCAAGAATTCATAAAGAATACGTTGATCTTGAAAAGCTTGAAAATGAAAGATCTCCAATACTTGCAACTTCAGACAACTATTTTTCAGGTTCAGAAAGTAAACACGATGCTGCCAGCTCGAGCAGTGTTAAAAGGCCAACGTCAGCAATATATGGAACAATAGGTGTTCAGACTTTAGAGCTAGGAGAAAACCAAAATAGAGTAAAAGTAATAAAAATTGGTTCTGTACCTGAAGACAAGAAGAGAGGGAAGAAGAATTCAAAGAAAAAAAGAATGAAAATAAAGAAGCATTTGGAATATCTAAGCCATATCAAGCCATTGCCCTTAACTCCAAAAACTAAGTATAAAATCGGTGACATTAAACAAGTTGTGGAGCAATATGAAGCTAGGTTAACAGATGAGATAGATCTGAAAGTGGGAGAATATGTTAAAATTCTAGCTACACATACTGACGGATGGTGTCTGTTAGAGAAATGTACAGGTAATGGTACTGCTATATCCAAATATCATCTTGTAGATGTTGACGTTACGGATAAACGATACTTAAACGATGATCGTGGTATTGCACCTGGTAGGTGTATTGCATAAATATAGGGTGCGGATTGTGATTTCATAGAATATTTGGTAATTTCATAAAATATAATAATGATAATAATTAATACTTTGCAATAAATATAACGTCACTGAAATTTTCTTGTAACTAATACATGATAAAAAACAATTCTAGATAGATGGTTAAGAAAGTATGCACTTTTTAGAATATAGATGAAGTTTCGTTAATACAAATATTTATGAATTATAAATGAATTTTGGAACTATATTTATTTATAGGTCTTGACTGGGTTTTCAATGAAAGTCTTTTCACCAGCAGTGCCAGCTGGGGCACCGAAGACTAATTGAGCTTGAACAGTCCAGTCAGCTGGGATGTCGGATGGTAAAGCAGCTTGAACAAATGGGTTGTAATGTTGCAAATGACAACCTAAACCTTGTAATTCCAAAGCAGTCCAGGAATGGATTTGAGCAGCACCGTTAGAGTGGTCAGCCCATTGTGGGAATAAGGCACTATAAGCTGGGAAACCTTCTTGTAATTTGGCAGTAGTTGGACCATCAGAGAAGAAAATGACACTACCATAAGCTTCATCTCTGATAGATTTTGGTCTCATTTGAGCATCAGCACTTGGCATGGCATTGATGACATTTTCCCAAGCTTTCTTGTGAGACTCACCGGTCAAAACAATAGCACGGACTGATTGAGAGTTGAAACAGGTTGGAGTGTCCTTAACAACGGTTTGGATAGTGCTTTGAACATCTTGAATAGAAACACCAGCTGGCAATTCTGGTTTCAAAGCGTAGATAGTACGACGAGAAACAATGGCTTTCAAATACTGGGCAACGGATGACATTTCAAAGATATTATTAGTTTAGGGGAAAAAAATATTGATTAACGTTAGAAATATTACTATATTGAAAAATATTCAAAAAAATAAGATTAATACTTCTAATTTTGTTACTGGTGTTATAGTCACTTCTACCGCAAGACAAAGTAGTTCTTAACCCAAGATTAAAAGGTCAATTGACTACAAGTTTAATGGGCTTTTTATACTTCACTCAAAAACCATAACCATTTTTCTTATCCTTATTCTAAAATCATCCTTACTTGTTCCACCTACAATCTCTTCACAAATCATTACTGAACCAATAACAGTTAAGTAACTACTCCCTATTATTAGAATATCGAACCCTTTTTCACTACCTCTCTCTCTCTTAGTCCTTTAAAAGATTCCAATAAAACCAAACGATTTGTTTCCGCTTTACTAATATTTCTTAATTACTAAATTTTTACTAACCTTTACGGTATTGATTCAGGCATTTTTCAAGATTTGAAAAAAACTAGTTCGAAACAAGTAACAGTTAAGGGAACGTCAGTGTAATGAAGCTAGGGAATTAGTTTATCAGTTATTGTAGCTTTAGTTATTAACGGCTGTTGAAACGTAAACCCACCAAAAAATGTTTGTAGCATTATATACTACACTTATAAAGAGTAAGAAAAATCATTTATATCTTAAGAATGAATGAAGTAATAAAATTCGAAGTCATAATAATTTCTTTACAAAAGAATATACAAACGTTATAATAATTATTGAAATCTATAAATTACGAACTTATTTATAGGTCTTGACTGGGTTTTCAATGAAAGTCTTTTCACCAGCAGCACCGGCTGGGGCACCGAAGACTAATTGAGCTTGAACAGTCCAGTCAGCTGGGATGTCGGATGGTAAAGCAGCTTGAACAAATGGGTTGTAATGTTGCAAATGACAACCTAAACCTTGTAATTCCAAAGCAGTCCAGGAATGGATTTGAGCAGCACCGTTAGAGTGGTCAGCCCATTGTGGGAATAAGGCACTGTAAGCTGGGAAACCTTCTTGTAATTTGGCAACAGTTGGACCATCAGAGAAGAAGATGACACTACCATAAGCTTCATCTCTGATAGATTTTGGTCTCATTTGAGCATCACCTTCTGGCAAAGACTTAACAACATGATCCCAAGCTTTCTTGTGAGATTCACCAGTTAAAATAACAGCACGGACTGATTGAGAGTTGAAACTGGTTGGGGTGTCCTTAACAACAGTTTGAATAGTGCTTTGAACATCTTGAATAGACACACCAGCTGGTAATTGTGGTTTCAAAGAGTAAATAGTACGACGAGTAGAAACAGCGTTCAAATATGGAGTAGCAGAGGCCATTTTTTATAAAATATTAAAGAATTGTTGGGATGATAGTTTTTGTTAAATTATCTGAAATACTACTTGATTTTGGTATGAGCAAAGCAACTAATAGTTCTTGGTTTTTTTTCTAATGTAAAAATACAAGGGATCAATTACAAACAAGATTCAAGAAATAAAACTTCAATTAATGAGATGTTTGATGGCTTTTTATATCTTTCCAAAACTCTTCAACTAACCATTAACCCTTTAAACAATTGAAGATATAAATAATTACTAATATCCTACTAACAGGCAACTAACAGCAATCAAAAGCTCAACAAACCTTTTCCACTTATACTATCTTACAGATTTCAGTAATTCCCTTAGAAATTATAGAGCCTTTAACCATCTGGAATATTTTTTAGTAAGTTTTACGTTACCGCTTCCAAGGTGAAAAAAAATGTAAAATATACACTACAATACGTCCTAGGAGTAGTAGAACCAGTAATTACAGTAATACTTGGACTCACTTCAAACTTTATCCTGAAGCAAATGTGTTAATAATAGCAGAAGTTTAACTTTCCAAGAGTAAAACGTAAGAAACCGTTAGAAGATTTAATCTTACTAAAAAATTATAAAACTTAACTTAGTAATAAATATATCAAGATTTGTACTAGTTGTACGATGCCTTCTTGACTTGTCGATTTCATATTCCACTATACGCTGCTGTTATTTTGGCTTGATGAATGGATGGATGAACCGATGTATATATAATAAGAGGCAGTTTTACAGTACCGAGATTTCATTTGGTGCTGGCCTTTGTTAATAAATTTATTGATTGGGGGCAATCAAAAGAAAATTAAGCTTTGCTTGATCTTTAATATCTTCTAAGTCAAACGGTATCAAAAAATATTGATAATTTTTAGCATAAAATTGTAGGTGAAGAAATAAAGGTGGTTATTTTCCTGATCTATATATTTCTATTGTTGATGTAGTTAGTTACATGAGGGTGATTTGATAGTGGTTCAAGTGATTATATTTTAATTTAGTTGTATAGGTGTTCTGATCTAATTTCCCACACTTTTTGTCTAATAAGGATTCTTTTTCTAATGGTTTAAGAAATATCGTTACACACTTGGGGGAGTAAGGGGTCTTATGATGTAATTAACGAATGTCCATGATTGGTGGTCAAAGGTGGTGCAATCCTCTTGATATATAGATTTTAAGAAATTGTATTAATAATCTTAAATTTATTTGGTTCTGTACGACTAACCAATAATGCAAAAAAGATAGGGCTCAAATATACATTAAGTCAAAAAAATATTTATGCATATATTGATATAATAGAATATAATATCGTTAATTATGTTTCTGATACAGAAAATAGATAAGTACATATGATTGATATTAATGAACTGTAAAAAAATCGGTATTATTGTTTACCTTATTTTGACTTTTGTTAATAATGTTTGAATGCTGTTTTTTTTCATTTACTTGAAGACAATTTTATTTTAATATGCAAATACATGAATGGGGGGAGGGAATTACTACCAACAATGCTTACTTATAATGTTGGGATAATATGATGAATTTAATTTCATTAATAATATTGGTAAAAAAATCAAAAATCCAGTTTTATGTTCAATAAAAGGAATCCATTTCTCTTGTAAAACGGACTTAATTTTAATAAAATGACAAAACTTTCTTAAAAAAGAATATTGATGATTAAAAAGTTTATTTTTTGTCGTGAGTCATAAAACTAACACCAGAAGGCAAGGAATCTACGCCACATTGGACCATTTCTCAATTTTTCTTTATATTCTTCATCTTCTTGTCTCAAAATATTTTCATCAAAAATTTGTCTATGAGTATCTAAATCAATGTCTTTGGCTCTAATAAACAGTTTCCAATCTCTTTTCCAGACTCTGTAACCAAAATAGAACGCAATTAGAATTGGCATAGCCAAATAATTTTGGAAGAAGTTTTCTGCATCTAATTTACCTTCACCGATAGGAGCAATGGCCACCCAGAATTGTGCGATTAAAGCCAAGAACAACATGATAGCGGCATAGGCAGAACCATAAACACCAGATTGGGACAAGTAACCAACTTCGCCTAATGATCTACCTTGTACTTGCATAGCTCTTCTGAATCTAATATGAGAAACACAGATTGTGATCCATGTAAATAATTGAGATAGACCTGAAATAGCCAATAACCATGAGAAAACTTCAGTTTCCTTTGGAGAAGTAGCACAGAAAGCAATGACACCGAACAAAGCTGACATCAACATCGCTCTAAAAGGTCTACCTTCTCTGTCGACGTAGTCGAACCATTTTGGCGCATAACCTTGTTGAGCTAAGGATAGTAATAGACGAGAACTTGAGTAGAAAGCAGAGTTACCGACAGATAAGACAGATAATAGAATGACTGCATTAATGAAATGAGGAACGACACGGACACCATGAGAAGAAACAGCGATAACGTATGGAGAAGCCTTGATACCACTACCACCAGAACCTAACAATTGATCAGAATTATATGGGACCAAGAAACCTATCAAAGTAATTGAGGCTAAGAAAATACAAACAATTCTGTATAAAACTTTTTTAGCAGCAGAAGGAATAGCTTTTCTTGGGTTCGACTGTTCAGCGGCAGTCAAAGCAATAAATTCAGTTGCACCAAAGGCAAAAGCTGCAGTGACGAAAGTATCCATAACACCTTTGAATCTATCGATAGATTTGTCACCATTGAAAGCACCAGGATCATGCCAGTATTTAGCACCTAAATAACCGTCATTACCAGCACCACCAGCAGTGATAATAATACCTAGGATGAAGAAACCTGTCATCATTAAGACTTTACAACAGTTGAAGAAAAATTCTGCTTCGGCGTAACCTCTGGCACCAAAAGTGTTGATAGCAATAATTAATACATAAAATATCACCACGAAAACATCTGGATCAACTTTGGTAGTCCAATATTTAATGGTCATTGAAGCTGTAACTAATTCTAAAGGACAAACACATAACCATTGTAGACAATAAACCCAAGCGACAGAGAACCCTAAGGCAGGGTCGACTAAGAAAGATGGATAAGCGTTAAACCCACCATTTAAATCACTATAAACCACAGCTAATTCACCAGCTGCTTGAATAATACAATAAAGACAAGTACCCATGATAGCATAACCAATGACTAAAGCCGCTGGACCAGCCTTACTTAAAACTGGACCATTACCAACCAAAAGACCGGTACCAATACCAGTACCTAAAGAGATCATAATGACATGTCTTGGCTTAATAGTTTTCTTTAAATCTTCAGATTTTTCATTTTGGTGACCTTTATTTGTTTCAGATATGGAAGATGAGATAGCATCATCGAATTTAGTTTTATTTAAAGCTGCATCCATCGAAGTTCTTGAAATTGATGTAGTAATATCATTATCCAAATCATGCAAAGGGTTTGAGTTTCTATCAGCTCTTTTAAAAGAATCTATAAAACTCCTTACAAAAGTGCCTTCTTTAGTTTTACGATTACGCACTGAACTTTCATCGTAACTATTATTTATTTGATCATCTAAATATTCGACTTCTCTATCTGTAGTACTTGTGATCACAGCACTACCAGACTTCAAGTCTTTTAATTCATACGGAGCTTTTGTATCAGGCATGATTGTAGACCTATGGTCTTTTCGAATAGACTATAGTACAAGAATAAATACCAATGAACTAATGTTAATTGCAATAAGATTCATTCAAGGAAAAAAAAATTACAGCAGTTTGTATAAAAGATAAATCTAAATAAATAGCTGTATATATAATTAAAGTTATATATATATATATGAATCCAAAAAACGAATATTAAAAAAAAAAGTTAGCAAGAGGGAGTAAAGTAGAAACAAGAGATCGCCAGGTTTATGATGACGAAAGCTGTCATTATCAAAACATTTATTTTTTTTTTTGCTAATTTCCAAACCAAACCATACTTAAGAGTGAAAAATTCAACTAGTATAATCTATAATTGAATCAAGTAAATTCCAGTTATACAAAAAAAAAAAATCAAGCAAGTTGATAGCGTACTTCGAAAGAAGTTATAATTATTTTTACCTCATTGTTTGCTATTAGCTTCCCATAAAGAAAACGAAAATTTTGTAATTTGTATTTTGCTTGTCTGATCGATAGATTGAGGTAAAGCTAAACTAAATCAGACTAACTAAATTGTCTAATATTGATTTGTATTGGTATTTGTATTTCTATATGGATAGGCTTGTTGTAATTGAGCAGAAATAGCAAATAAAGTAGTCTTATTATTTTCAATCATGATAACATGTCTAGTAGAGAAGTCTATAGTAGCTAAAATAAAACTGATTCGAAATACAGTATAAAGTATAAAGTATATACTATTGTAGTATATACTATTATAGTAAGTAAGTAAGTAAGTAAGTATCACATAGAGGGAGCGACAGTTATTCTGTTCGGTAGTACTTCGAAGGGAGTTAAGAAGAACTTCTGTGTATTTTGTTCTGACTAGGAACAGCGTTGAGTATGTGAGCAGTTTGAATTTAACGATGACGACGGCGAAGTACGGACGCAAGCACGTACGAAGCAACATACGTGCGTTTCTCTTTGATGGATTACAAAGAAGAAACTTGAGAGGGGGAGGGAAAAAAAAGAACTATGAAAAAGAAACGCTATTATATCCAGTGTGTGAGATATTGATGTAGGGAAATTCGAAATGAAGTAGCTTTAGAGAGAAAAGAAGAAACAACAATATAAAATTGCCATTTCGAACATTTTACACAAAAACGAAAAAAAGAAAATTTAAAAAAAAAAAATAAAAATAAAATCCGTTTCTGGTTGAATTTTTATTAGAGAAAGCACTGCCGGAGGAGTATGAGGAACGACGGCGAGTTTTGTTTCTTGTTGGAGACAAAGTGGGAGGGAAAACGAGTGGGGAGCAGGTAGAAAATGGGAAAAAATCAGAACGGCAAAAGCGACGGCACAAAAGGAAGCACAGTCGAATTCCTGCTTGCAGTTGACAGCTGTAGACCGAAAATGGTAACTGGAGAGGGGGATGTGCGGAAACTCTGAGAAGAAAAATTAAAATAGCCAAAGAGATAGATAATGGTCGATACGGGTAGAATCGGGTATTGACGGTAGATACCTTTGGTACAGGTATTCATCATATGTATGAAATGCCCATGTACATACTTAGATTACGCTTGCTTGTGTCATATTTTTCAGCAGCTGTTGAAAAAGTGGGAACAACCTGTAACTGTTTATCGTAGGACAAGTCCCAGAATAGGCAGAAGATTTAGAATGTATCGCAGTGGGTTGCTGTGTCTTCGGCGACAAGAAGAAGAAACAATGCCGTGGGTTCTTTTTTTTTTGGGCTTTTAATGGAATGGCAAGTTTAGAATTGTTGCCGTGGAAAGCACTGGCCAAGCCAACCCAACCAAATCCAAAAGCAGCTATTATCATCAGGGCGCAAATTTTTCTTGCTTTTTTTTTTTTCTACGAAACGGTTACAAAAAAGATGTTTGGCCAGTCAGAGTTGGGGAGGGTAACCATTCTTACTGCGTACTTTCTTCCTCTCCTATTGTTTTCTTCCATTTATGCCGTGGTTATCTCCAATGGCACTGGCACTGGCACAATCCCAATTACGTATGCGCACCACAATACTCGCATTGGTATTTGCTATTAGAATGGTGGATGGTTTTAGTGGATTCGTTATCAATGATGTGATTTCATGTTATGTATATACATATATATATATATATATATTGACTAATTATAACCAACTAAATAAAATAACTATAAAGGCATAGTATAGAGACTGGTCTGACCCTAACAGAGTCAGGTTTTTGCATGCTCCCAACAATGTTGCACTCTTGTTCTCTCTCTTTCTTTCTGTGTCGAAGGACTCATTTTTTCTTCATTAAATGGGCTTTGTCTGGATAAAATCCCCATGTGTATTGGACCGCTTCATTAACACTGATTCCCATCTCATCGCACCAGGTCCATACCAATCCTGGGTTCTCTAAAAATGGGCGTCCGACTAGCAAGATATCTAAATTTTCTTCTTCGAATAACATCTCGGCTTCACGGCCACTGTGTATTCCTCCTGGAGAGGCCAGTTTCAACCCTTCAGGTGTCTGTGACTTGATCATCTTGATCCGATGGGATGGTGCTTTCATCTCGTTAACATGATGGCCACCGCCAGTTATATCCAATACATCAACTCCATGTTCGTACAATTCCTTAGATAGCTTGATTGTGTCTTCAATCGACCACTCGTCACGGCTCATCTCTTCCATCGAACTAGCCGTCGACAATCTCAAAAATATAGGAACTTGATCCCCAATGTTCTTCCTCACCTCATCGACTACATCCATCAACAATTGAACTCTAGTGGCAAAGGAACCTCCTCCATACTCGTCATCTCTCATATTTTTTTCACAGCTCATGAATTCACTGATGAGATGCCCGTGGCCAGCCTGAATTTCAATGAAGTCATAGTGAGCATTGTTCACAGCTAGCTTGGCGGCATGGCCCCATTTCTTAACAATATCTTGAATCATTTTCTTGGTGTACTCATGAGGACGGTACAATGACTGTTCTTCGTCGGCCATTGCAGTGATGTCCTTCTTTAAACCGTAGTGTCCCAACTGAATTCCGATATTGGTATTCTGGCTGTGGGCAAACTCAACTATCTTTTGAAAATGCTTAGTAGCTTGATGCTTACTCCAGAGTCCCAGGTCATTGGGTGAAGTTAGACCATCAGGATCCACACCGGTACATTCGACAACAATCATACCACAGCCTCTAGTTGCCCAGGCACCGTAATGAACTTGGTGGAAATCGGTAGGCTCGTTGTTGTCTGAGGAATAAGTACACATAGGTGATACACCTATTCTATTAGGGAATGTTAAACCACGGATTTTTAATGATTCAAATAATTTAGGTGGTGGACCTCTTGTGTTATCATTGTATTTAATGAATTGTCCTAAGACTGGTTGTTGTGGAGTAAAGTAGGGCACATTAGGACAAGGTTTAACTGCTAAAGTTGACATTTGTAAACAAAACAATAATATTTTTTGGTTTCAGGTTATGTATTCTTTTTGTTGTCACTTCTTTGAATAACAACTTAAACTACATTTGTTCTAAACTATATTTCTTTTAAATGTATGACACTTATATATTCTTGTTAAAAAGCTAATTAGGGTGTTCCTCAACATCAAAAAGACGTTCAATTTTTGAAGCAGTATCAATCCAAAATTCAATTCCAAAGCTTGTAATGTACCCTTAACATTTTTACTATGACTTCTATATTACATTTGTTAATATGGAATTTTTAGTTGCAATAATTTCAGGTGTCTGGTGATAATCTTGATATCATTACCACACCATCGATATTGATGGATCCCATAACTGTAACCACAATTTCTCATACACACAACGATATATTTAAACATATAGAGCTAGTTCAACTTAAATCACCAATATATTAGGGAAGTCTTGTCCATTTCTGCAAAACAAACCTCAAAAGTTATTTAGGGGTCCAAATCGCGACAGCCAACTATCTTTTATAAACTATGACTTCCATATCGAAAATCAGGACCTAGATCTTCCAAAAGGAGAATTTTAAAGGCCTAATAATTGATCATTAAAAAATATAATGAGGCTATTTCGTGACTTCAAATATTAATTTCCAAGCACTAAGTTTCCAAGAATAAGGACCCTTACATTTTACAAACTTCTCATTCTTAACAACTGGGTTTAAGTTATTACAATAATAATAAGGCACCCTATTATAGTAAATTTTTAATCCTTTTCCATATATAACAGCCAAATATGACCATTTAGATAATAATTTGTCACTTATGTTAAAAATCCTAGATTCTATAGCGTTTCCAGTATGTTTACTTTCTGACACTTTAGATAGGTTTGTAAATTGATTGCTAAATATATAGTAATCAAATTGAATATTTCTATGTTATTTTAAAAGCATCTCTGGCCCAAGATAAACATTTTGATCAAAATGTTTTGAGAATTTTGTTTAATTCTGTATCATTATTATACTGTAAAAAGTGGAAATAAGTAGGCAAAGAAGATTGATAAGGTACACTTAATTTGTGATCCTTTTTATTGAAGAAAACAATAATGTGGAGAATTGAGTTAGTTTATGGAACTAAAACGGATTCAAATTATAAGTGATAACATTCAATGGTAAATAAAACAACTATGGAGGTGATGAAGACTACAAGTTTAGTATATCATCTGAAGAATTGGTATTGTCTCCTCAATTGATTGTTTTATGACTAATGACCGATGAGGGAATTTTTCTCCTTGTCTTTATTTCAAAAATATTTAATGTATAATGTACAATGTATGTAAAAATACCTAGAGATTGCACATGGAATTCTGGTTTGTATTTATATCCTCAATATTCCTAAAACTTTTCATGGCCTCTGAGCCATTGTTAATCGCAGAGCCGATATAATTTCTCAAATCAATTATGCAACGTAACAGGTTAGAAACTTAATGTAGACTCACGATGTTTAGTACTTGTTAATAAAAATTTGGCTTTCAACAAACACTCTGGTGGTTAATTATTGATTTTTTTTTTGTTTCTCTTTTTTTATCATAACAATTTGTGGTTTATTTCAACGAACATCAAATAGTACGGTTGTTTGGCCGAGCGGTCTAAGGCGCCTGATTCAAGTATTAAATTGCTTAACTACTAAGTAGGAATACTCAGGTATCGTAAGATGCAAGAGTTCGAATCTCTTAGCAACCATATATTTTTTGTATTTTTTTGCTCATGTTATCCAAATGAAATATTGATCTATGAAGCTGTAACAAATATATCGCATGTAATAACATCTCATCTCAATATTTTTGATGGTTATCTCCTCATCTTTGAATAAGTATACGTTGGATAATTTAAATAGTCACATTTTAATATATTTATCATAAGTTGGAGATAAATATTCAAAATAAATATATTTTATATTTATATAAGGCAGATTGTCTCTTGAAGACTTATCAAAGGTGATAATAATCACATCAGGATATTCAAAATAGAGGAAAAGTGGTTGTACCTTCGTTCCTAATCTTAGTAGAGATATGAGTCATTATCACAGGAACTTTCTTTTAATAATACATTGGTATTTGCTTCTAAATTGCTGGCAATTAGGATCGTGCGATGAGGTTAAGGGAAGGGAATCTGGAACCAAGACTCACGTCATTAATTTCAATATCACAGGTTCTTTAAATCAACAAAATAGAAGGATAATATTAATTAACGGTCGTTCAGATACTTATGGCCCTACCATTGTTGTAAATTCTGGAGATTCTTTAAACTTATGTGTTACAAATTCATTGTGTAATACTGAACAATTACAAATTGCCGAAACAGATACCTTATGGAATGAATATTGCTCAACGTCAGTTCATTTCCATGGTCTGATCCCAATAGGTATATCGAACGATGGTGTTCCTGGATTAACTCAAGATCCTATTAAGAGTGGTGAAAAATATTGGTATAATTTTACTATTCCTGAGGAAACATGCGGAACATTTTGGTATCATTCACATTCCTCTGTACAGTATGGTGATGGTTTAAGGGGGTTGTTTATAATAAAGTGTGATAAATATGACAGCTTAAAGTATGAAATAATCAATTCACTGGAAGAAATGAATGAAATTAAAAGCAATGAGGTTTTACCGCTACTGGACAATGTTCCAAGCGCCCATATTGATGATAAGATCATTAAAGAACAGACCATAACTTTGAGTGATTGGTATCATTCCTCCCAATTAGATATACTTAAGGATCAAGTTCTAACTCAACAGGGTACAAATGATCCACGTTTAGATGGCTCACTAATCAATGGGATTGAATCTTCAGGTCTTACAGTCGAACTTGACAGATCAACTAAGTATCTTCTATTAAGAATATTAAACTCAGGAACTTCAGGTACACAAGTTTTTCATTTAGAAAATCATCAGTTGATAATTATGGAAACTGATGGTTCTCTTATTACACCATATGTCATAGATACTTTGACACTTGCAGTTGGACAAAGATACACTGTACTCGTAAAATTGCAAGAGGATGGTGATGTACCCGTGAGAGGTATTAATGGCTGTAATAAGATGATGGGGTATATCACGAAAAATATATGGTTTACAAAGGATAAGAATAATTCGTCTTTCAAAGCAACAAAACAGGAGGCAGAATATGATAATATAAGAATCAAACATTTGAAAGGTTTCAACAATTATGAAGTATATAAAGAATTTATTCCGTTGGAGGAAACAAAGCTTTGGGAAAATCCAATAGATAATATCGAGTTAGATTACGATTACTTTAGTGATAGTAATACAGTTGATAAATATGGATCAGGGATGTATAAAGTTAATGGGAAGACAATACAAGAATATTTCAAAACGCCGATTAAGATCAATAACTCTGCGAAGGATCAGGTTGTTGAGTTGGTTATCAATTCAATTGATCACATGAGACATCCATGGCACTTGCATGGTCATAACTTTCAATTGATATCCATAGGAACTGGAGGTGAAGGTCCATTACATTTACGCTCCGAAGTTTCCATGACAAAGGCATTGCAAAAATATAACGGAGATTTAGAGTATTGGAAAAGTGCAAAACGATCTCCTGTGATTAGGGATAGTATCAATATACCAGGGAACTCTTTTGCAGTGATCAGGTTTAAAACCCACCAGACAGGAAATTGGTTACTCCACTGTCATGTTGAGTGGCACGTAGCAAAGGGACTAGGTGCTGTTCTCCAAATTGAAGATGGAAACAGAACCACAAGTATCATCGATAGGCCAACTCAAGATACTTATAATGTTAATGAAGATGAAGGCTCTGTGGATTCAACAAAAGTAATCGTGTATCCACATAGAATACCTGCTCTTGTAATATATTTCCTAATAATGTGTGCAATAAACGCAATTCTATATAGATGGTTATCAAGGAAATAAGGATAAAAATACAATTATTTAATTGTATAAAATATGAATAACTCTCCCAAGTCAATTTGAGTTAGCCACAGTTATAGACACTCGTCTGTTTGCTTTAAATTCTGTAATTATGTTGTATTGGTAGATTCTAAGTAGGTATATATGAATATACAGATAACTAGAGTATGGCAAATACTTTTCGATATAATTTTGTAATTAGTAAATCTTATAAAACAATTAATGGGGTTACAAATTGGATCTTAATTCCAGAGAATACGTATCCTAATATATAATTTCATAATGCTATGCATTCCCCACATACTTAGGTCTAAGTTTTCAAAAATGGAAAAGCTACACTTTTTTGTCAATCAAACGACAAGACCTTTTGTAAAGGTGACATATTATATCTTGGCTGACAATCCTTGTAGATCTTCTTTGAATTTCAAGTATTCATTATTGAATAACTTTAATAAAATCCAGGATACAGCCAATAGGGAGATTAGTGCCAGTATTTGTCGCTAACTGTCGAGGTGTCAGTTTTATAGATGTTTATTTTGTTACCTATGTTTCTGCTAAAATAAGATTTGACAGTGACTATCAAAACACAGGCACCGACTACTTAGCTATTAAGTATTTACACAAAATTCCAGCTTATTTAATATAATATAGTTAAAGTTGTAATATAGATTCATATTCTGCTTTCCATGCAAACCTATTGTGACACACAGACACACACAGATATATATATACATGCTCATGGTGTCTTTCGCTTTCAAACTTGTTTAACCGTTGTGATGAAGAACAAGAGCCAAAATTCACACTGTTATTAAATTAGATTGGAGTTGATCAACTTACCTCCATTGTCCTCAATATTATTATGTGCCCAAGTCGAGAAGAAGCAATGACAGGTGAAATAGTAAAGATAATGATGATAGCAATATAGCACCATATTACTATTCAGAGGTTATATAACGATTTTAGAAATTATTGAATATACTGAGATTAAATAAAATGATGATGATCATTAATCAATTCAGATATATTACATATCAATGCTCTTAATGTCAAAGCTCTTAATGTCAAAACTCTTAACTCAGAGTTATTATTTGTAGTTGGACGGCAGAGATGATTGATTCAAGAAACATTCTAAACACTATCACGTGACCACTCCAAGAACATACACTTACCCACGTGATCAAAATTACATTTTCTTTTATTCCATTAAAAATTTCAATTTTCTCCATAATTTACACAAAAACAAGGGATGGCTGTTTTTGTGGAGGGGGGCGAAAAACAAAAAAAAAAAAAAAAGGAGAGGCGCAAAGGGATGACACTGAAACTATAAAGGATTTTAGCTATTGTATACTAATTAACTCAAAGGGTTAGTAGAAGAAGTTGACCTTTATTTTATCAATGAAATCTCTAATCTTGTAGCTAATATACAGAAGCCAAGTGTTGGTATTAATCAAGATTATTCAAGTTTCTGGGAAGGAAGAAACTGTTAAGTTTAGGTGTTACTCTTTTTTTATTTTTTTATTCTTTTTTTGTTTTTGAAGATAAAGATTCCAAGAAGATTCTGCAACTGGTTAGGTTTAGCAACTGGCTGAATATAAGCTATTAAACTAACATCATAGCTTATTTACCCCATTGCAAGGTATTTTGTTTTTTGACTTTGCTTGGTTTGGCTTGGCTTAGAGGAAAGAAATCTTTTTAAGAAAAAAAAATACAGACATCGAAAAAAGTTGTTCTTATAAAGCAATAATTAACCTACATTTTTTAACACATTACAGTTTGTTTTGTACACTACTGTTTTTAAGGGTTCAGTGCTAAGGGGCACTCGTCTTTATTATTTGAAGAAAAGTTCCAAATTTTTTTTTGCAAGAAAAAAATTCATTAAGCTAAAACAAGACTAAAGAAGCAACAAGCAAGGTGGAAGGGACTTCGACAAAGAAAAAAAACATTAATAGTTCTTATCTGTGACATTATTTTCTTTTCAATTTTTGAATTACGTTACGATATATTTATATTATATTATAATATAATATATCCATAACGTATATATATATATATATTCAAGTATTGAATTGGTAGTTATTATATTCCCTACCCCCTCCACCTCCCCCCGTGTAGAGTAGCTTTTTCTCTCTCGTCATCTATCCATCTGCTATCTCTGGGAGTTTCTGTAAAAGTGAGTCGTGTTCGTTTTGCTTTTTGAGGTTTTGCCCAGTTCAGTTTACGTTATTGACAGTTTTTTTCGAATAATTTTTTTCTTTCTTTCTTTCCCTGGTCTGGCTGGTGCAAGAAGAAAGATTGGATATTAAGAACTAGAAAAGAATAATTAAGTCAACTAGAATAATAAAAGGTACTACCTCATTCGTGTGAAATTCAGATATTTGTTTGTTTTCTTAGTATTTTTTTTCGTTGGAATATATATACTGTTCTGAAAACTGACTTTTTTGAATTTGATTTTTTGTTCCTCACTCGTACATCTTTCCACACACAGACGCACATTTGTTTATTTTTAGAAAGGGCTCAATTATTTGAGTACTATCTCTCATTGTAAAGTTACAATAGATATAATATTGCAAAAGTGCAACTACAACAAAAGATCTATACTACGGTTTACAAAAAAGTTCATACATCATATACACCAAATTCAATACAAATAAAGGTATAGATAGACATTTCCATTTCCATTTGAAAGTGTATTTTCAGTTACCCATTCCTCCAAACCGTTGTATCTACCGTTAAAATCAAGTATTTTTTTTTTTGGTCTTAATTTCGGTTGTTTTTTTGTTTTTTCATTTTTTTTAAATTACCAGTGAAGGCAAAAAAGTTAACGAAAACATAGATAGATAGAGAGACTTGTTGATTTCCAGTTTTTCTGAATCTCAAAGCCCCCCCCACATTTCATTAGTTTTTCAAGAACAGGGAATTCTTTTTCGACACATTATAGAGCATTTGCCGTACATTTTGAACAAAGTTAAAGATATTTTTCAGCAAATATATTTACATTTTTGTTTCGTTTTGTTTTGTTTCATCTTTTCCTTGAATAACGTTTTATGAATATTGATATTATAGGTCAAAGACAATTGATTTAAAAAAAAATAATTACAATAACAATAATAATAACAACAGAGTTGTTATACATAGATATTTTCCTACTGCTTTCTTACTCTTTTCTTTGATTTTTCATATTTGTTTAGATAGAGATAAAATTTAAATTAAAACAGGGAGAAGGAAGAATTAGGGCCATGATTAACTACACAAATAATCATAATTCTCAAAAAGATTTGAACAATACTAATACTACCGCTTCAAACAATATTGATACTATGACTGCTGAATTACCATCTGTTAATAGTACTACTAGTCTTTCGGATAACGTAGCTTTAAGAAATTATTATGATAAACTGCTTTTCAAGAATAGTAGTGGTAAGTCATTATCAGATTTACCTAGTAAATTATTGTCCAGTAGTGCCCAATTGAGGAATAGCAGGATAACAAATGAAATCGTTTCAAAACTCAAAATCCATGGTGATACCCAAAATGATCCAAAAAGTGATAAAATACCATCTGGAGATAACGAACACTTAGATGCAGCTGCCGATAGCAGTGGCCATAGCATTGATTTCATTAATGGTTTTAAAAGTTTTAATTTAGAAGGAAATGATTCTCATACTTTCAACAGTCAGTCAGCATCTAATCGACTATCGTTTTCAGCTTTTGAGATGGCAGCTTCAAATTCAGAGCCATTTAATTACCATGGGAACTTTACTGTGGATCCACATAATTCAAATTATAACCACTCTAATGTTTTAGGTCAATCAACTCCAAGTATTTCACAGAATTCAACAAGGAATGATCCGAAGAACCAAGCCCTTTTCAGTTTTGGGTTGGAGGACCATACTAATGATAGAAGTTTCGCTAACCAGAATCATATAAGCCATTCCTCATTATATTTTCCTGGCCAGTACAATAATGGTCATACCAATAACTTGAGCCCAACTGATATTCCAACCCCTATCCATAGTTCAGGGAATCAGTACACAGATTTCCAAAATCAACATCAACACCAAAATCAGCAACAACAACAGCAGTCCCAGCAGTATATAGAAACTGCAAGAAGGTCTTCCTACATTTCTGATACCCTAATTCATAGAAATGCCCAAGGTGTGAACACAATGGGTATTTTGCGTGAATCCATTTTTAACAACGGTTCAAATACAATTGTACAAGAAAGAAATTATAGTGTTTCTGGAGCTTCTTCTAACATGTATCCACCAAGTACTGCTCCAACAGTACCGAATATGTCCCATAATTTGTACCCCCAGTATCGTCGTAATACACAACCATATGTTTCAAGTACGGCCCCATCAACAGCAGCTTCAATTCAAACCTATAATTACTTACAATACTCACAACAATTAGGTGGCAATAATGTTCAGGGATTTCCTGAAAACTCTTTACAGTCTGATGAACTGAATTTGGATAGTGGTTTGACAATATCTCCAGATCAACAAATTAAAGCATCTGATGATTTAAAGAAACTTTATATTGAATGTGGTGCCAGTTATTTTTCAAGTTCTATTGTATATGATTTTGCTGATTATATTAAATCTATGATAAGGTCGAAGCCTTCTGATACAGATAAGTCAGAGAAGAATCCTGCATTGTCATTTTTAGAATTTTTGAAAAGTTGTAATACTAATTACATTAATAGACGCGATTCCTATTTAGGTAACGATAAAAATAGAATAAAAGCAAACGATCAGAGAATAGATAGTTCCCAAGAATCTTCAAACCTAAAATCAAGCCGCAAGAATAGTACTGTTAATTCACCAATTTGTACATCCTACAAACCTTTAGTTTTGGTCACATTGAAAAATGGTAAGCTAGAATTACTTTCAATTCCAGAGAATGCAAATTTACTAATGCAACGTGGTGACATGATCATCATTGATGGTGACCGTGGTAAAGACTTGGCATTAGTAGTGGAACCAGTTGTTGATTTAGAGCTGGCTTTATTTATTTACTTCTTGAAGAAGAAAATTCATTTTGATTCTTTAATCACTAGTAAATCACAACACTATCCAAACAAGGATTTCATAAATGCATTAATTGAATGTACCAAAGGTCAGGGTGACAAATTAAACTCAAAGTTATATGACGTTGTTGAATTGACGCAGTTAGTTGTTCCATCTAAACAAGTGATTAGATTCGCTACTCCATGGGAAGTGACAACGAATTTACACAATAAGTTCCAAGATGAATTGAAGGCGTTACATGTTGCGAAGACCAAATTGAATGCCTTAAACAACAACATGTCCAGTAAGAATTCGGCTAACTCCGAAGATGGATCTCAAGAATCGGCAGGAACCAACTCTAATTCTAATCGTTCTGCCCTTAACATTACTATATTAAATGCCGAATTTCAATTTGATAGAAAGAAGCTGACATTTTATTATATATGTGAAGAAAGAAACGATTTTAGGGAATTAATCAAAGAATTATTTAAATTTTACAAGACAAGAATTTGGTTGTGCGCCATTCCGAACAATTTAGATATATATTCTAAATATTATGATGCCAACAAAAAGGAATTACAAATGTATCAATTAATGGTTAAAAATTATACTGGAGATGATATCCTTGATACCAATGTTAATGCCTCAAATAATAGCAATGGGTATATTATGGCGCCTCCATTAAATAAAATTGAATTGGATGATTTCCAAATTGGCGTTTACAAAGAATTGGTAAAGGAATTATTCCATTAATAGATACAGTAAATTATGAATAGAAAATTCTTAAACCCTTAAAAAATGATATACTAATTAATAGTTTAAGTTATAATATCCTTGATACATTTTTATAAATTTTTAAAACATCAAATGTGAATATTAGTCAATATGTCATAAATATGTGTCATAAAGATTTATTTATATTAATCTATTTGATTAAATCTAAACAATTGTGCTTATAATTTCTCTTTTCATTTAAAAATATTCATTTCATTTATGTATGATATGTTAAAAAGGTATATATAAAGGCATAATTGAAGAAACGAGTCATTAGTTAGTTGAATAGTTTCAATTATTTATACGTTTTCAGCAAAGAAGAAATTGGTTGCAATCAATTCCAAATTGTTTTCTGTGGCCCATTTAGCCACACCAGTAGCTGGAGTGCCATAGCCCCAGTTTGGTCTATCCTTGATTGGAGTGAAACTTGAACCATTAACATTGTTTGGTTGCTTAAACAACATAAAGATATATCTGTGTTGACCAGTACCCTTTGGAGGACCTGGACCCATGTATGGGATCAATGTATTACCTTCATTAATAAAGCTAGTAGTGAAATTTAAATCGTTATCACCGGACTCATTATTCAATGGGATATCGGTAGAAACATAATGACAATATTCTGACCATTTATGATCAACTCTTGAAGGAGCATCCGGATCAGTCATCACTAAAGTGAAAAGATTACTTTTATCAGCACTAAATGGTTTGAACCCGTCTTGATTGTTCTCATTAGCGTTTGGACTTGAAATAAATTGAATCTTTGGCTTAGCTTGTGTTTGAGCAACAGGTAAAAGGTTTCCCATAGTAACAGGTAAATTTGTACCATACTCAATAACTAAAAACCCTGAAGGTTTAAAAGAAATATTCTTAATTACATCTTGAACAATGTCATGTTTAGACAATGCTTCGACCACAGTCTTACAAACATTAATACCTTGATTCATAGTGTTCTACCTTAATTCACTTACGAGACCTACTATTTTTTGTCCTCCAAGAGTTATTAATCCAAGACAACTATACAAAAAAAACATAAGTTACTACCATGGATAAACTATTTATATATATACAAATACACACAAGTAAACCAAAATACGTTTGCTATCGTTAACATCAAGGTCATCTCACCACCTCCTCCTGCCCCCCTTCCTTTACGAATCAATTGCTCCATTGCTAGCGACTGACCTTTAAATTTTCGAAATTGCTGTAAAATTTCACCTTTAACTATGACGTGATGCGAATGGAAGAATTTGACAAATTTCATCGAAAAATCTTTAAATCTAGTTTCGAAAACAAGTTGATCTTGGGATCTTGGCAAAGCTGTTTCGAAAGTATACAAGAGAATGGGATATATTGTTGATTGGTATCTCGATGTTGTCTTGTGGGTTGGGGGGTTTGCCTTTAATCTCTAGGTATCAGAAGGGGTAGCGATGTTCCAGGATCGATTGGTTACTAGATATTTCAAATTATATTCATTGCAATACGTTTGCATTGGAGTATGTCTGTTTTTCTTTTTTTACAGTGAATTTATCTTAGTACCAAGAACTAATCGAGTCAAGTTTAAACTAGATGATTCTAGTATATCCAAGTCCTATGTTGCGGATGAAGTCGTTTCTGGGGCTGAATGTATTGGTATCAGTGTTTTGGTGAGTACGTTTGTCGTCGTTGTTCATTGCCTGGTTGGTGATCTGTCTTTGAAGAAAGTTAAAGATACTTCTAGCAACAAGAATGATCCCAATTGGCTAACCTCGAGGCCAAGGAGTATCTCCAAGCAGATGCATTTGTTGCATCTGAGTTTGGTTTGCCTTGGGTTGATTCTTACTATCAATGGGGTTATTACGAATTCGTTAAAATTGTTTATAGGTAATCTACGTCCGGACTTCCTAGAGAGATGTCAGCCGATGATTCCAAAGGGCCAAGAGAAAGAGTATTATAACCTTGATGTGTGCAAACAAGCTAACAAGGGGATATTGCATGAAGGTTTGAAGAGCACGCCAAGTGGGCACAGTAGTTTTATTAGCAGTGGGATGGGATTCATATTTTTATGGCAATGCTATTTTGTTAACGGTAACAAGGTAAGGCATCTGTGGTGTGTAGTTTTAGCTGTGGTAGTGATGATATCGAGGCTGACGGACCATCGCCATCACTGGTATGATGTGTTGTTTGGATCTAGTATTGGGTTAGCGACTGTATTTTTATGTTGGAGATGGGTTTTCGTCAACAAACAGTTTGGCAAGAGTCCATTGGGGGTGTAGAGCTGCATTGCGGAGGGACGAACCCGCTGTCATGTAAAAATAGAGGTAGTATGTATCCATATATATATATATATATATTATTGTTATTATCATTATTACAATAGAGTGAAATAGGATTTTGAGTTTGTGTGCGCTCGTAGTTGGTGTTGTAATGTCTCACGTATATTTGTCCAAGCAGCGGGGACACATGTTGCACGTCACATGTCACCAACACGTGACTTCTGACATGGGATAGGCATACGTATGCAACAACCCAGAGTTCCATCACATGACCAGCCAAGCTTTTCTTTTTCTTTTTGTTTCGCTGGGTTGGGTTACCCGTCTCTCCTCCTCTCTTTGCACATGCTCACTTACTTATTCACTCACTCACAGCTGCGAGTTTCGCTGAACCGTTCGTTGCTCTGCCGGTGGGGGGCGCCACAGTTTTTCTATTTCTACCTTCACACAGATCTGCTCTCGGAGAGCGTCTCTGTACGACAACACCGTTAAAAGAAGAGAAAAAGAGAGGAAGAAAAGTGGAATTGTAACGCTGGACACACTGTGGGTCACATGACCAAACAAACAAACACAGAAACACAAAACAACAAACAAACAAACAAACAGACAGACAGACAGACAATCCACAGTTTTCCCTGCGTCCTTCCCACAACGACAAACAAACAAGACGCCACACTTCTCACCACCGTTCCCTTCGCTCTCGCCCTCCCATCTGCTAGCGACACGAACACACAGGCCCAACTCCTGCCCACCTCATCGCATCTCACTGCCCGGCCGAGCAAGCCAACCAACCGACCAACCGACCGACCGACCGAAGCGAACACACCAAAAACCCAAAAACTGTTTTTTTCACGTTTCGAAACTTTCAGCCAAATCTCATCGACACTCTGCTGGTTACACTATACTATACTATACTATACTTTATCACACTACTATCAATCTTCGATGCTTCGACAATGAAAAATTTTTCATCAAACAAACATCCTTTAAACTGTCAAACCACCAAACCACCAGACCTTCAAACAACATCAACACCTTCTAACTCTTGCTTCAAATCTCTAGATTTCAACTATATATAAAAGACTGATATCCAATTCATTGTCATCCCATTCATCTCTTGCATTCAAGAAATATCCTCTTTTCAATTTCTTATTCTAGCTCCTGCTCTTTACAATTCTTTCTTGTTCTAATCGTACTTCTTCTTTTCACACAGATAAGTTAATCCATACCCACATATTATTTTAATATAATATAATAAAATAATAAAAATCACACAACACAATGGCTGGTACTTTTCTATTTACTTCTGAATCCGTCGGTGAAGGTCACCCAGACAAGATCTGTGATCAAGTCTCTGATGCTATCTTGGACGCCTGTTTGGCTGAAGATCCAATGTCAAAGGTCGCTTGTGAAACTGCTGCCAAGACTGGTATGATCATGGTCTTTGGTGAAATCACCACCAACGCAAAGTTGGACTACCAAAAAATCGTCAGAGACACCATCAAGAAGATCGGTTACGACGCTTCCGAAAAGGGTTTCGATTACAAGACTTGTAACGTTTTGGTCGCCATCGAACAACAATCTCCAGATATCGCCCAAGGTTTGCATTTGGAACAAAAATTGGAAGAATTAGGTGCCGGTGACCAAGGTATCATGTTCGGTTACGCTACCGACGAAACCCCAGAATACTTGCCATTGACCATCTTATTGGCTCACAAGTTGAACATGGCTATGGCTGACGCCAGAAGAGACGGCTCTTTGCCATGGTTGAGACCAGACACCAAGACTCAAGTCACCGTCGAATACAAGAACGATAACGGTAGATGGGTCCCATTGAGAATCGACACCATCGTCGTTTCCGCTCAACACGCTGAAGAAATCTCTACTGCCGACTTGAGATCAAAGATTAAGTCTGACATCATCGACAAGGTCTGTCCAGCTGACATGTTGGATGAAAACACCAAATACTACATCCAACCTTCCGGTAGATTCGTCATCGGTGGTCCACAAGGTGATGCCGGTTTAACCGGTAGAAAGATTATCGTCGATGCTTATGGTGGTGCTTCCGCTGTCGGTGGTGGTGCTTTCTCCGGTAAGGATTACTCCAAGGTCGATCGTTCCGCTGCTTACGCTGCTAGATGGGTTGCCAAGTCTTTGTTGGCTGCCGGTCTATGTAAGAGAGTCGAAGTCCAATTCTCTTATGCTATTGGTGTCGCCGAACCATTATCTTTACACGTCGACACTTATGGTACCGCTACTAAGTCTGATGAAGAAATCATTCAAATCATTAAGAACAACTTCGATTTGAGACCAGGTGTCTTAGTCAAGGAATTGGACTTGGCTAGACCAATCTACTTGCCAACCGCTTCTTACGGTCACTTCACCAACCAAGAATACCCATGGGAACAACCAAAGGCTTTGAAATTCTAATCTAATTGATTGGTAATTTTAATTATTATTATTTTTCTCAACAAGAATTAGCATTTATTATCCATTCAGTTTTTTTATTTCAATAGCTTGAATTTATTCCCCCTACCTTACCTTTTTCAAATCATCCTGATTCTATCACTATGAACACTTCTCAACAAGTATTTTGTCCTTATTCTCATCATTGATTACATATGAGATCTCAAAAAGAAAGTTTTCTATTTGCATTGATAATTATACAGGCATGTGTTAATCATTCATTCTCCCGTGCATAAAGTATTTCTTCTATTATAAATATCAATATTATGTAGAACATATAATGTACATATAAAAAATTATAAAAGTATTTTCGTACAAATTCATTTTCTTTATTCTTTATTCTATTCTAATCTTATTCATAGATAAATAGTTTGCAATGGATTTTCATTTCAGTTTACGTAACATTTCAAGCGCTTGTGTCAATTGGTCTTCCGCTGTTCCTATGTCTTCATAATTTAAAGCACTTATAGCATATTTGGCAAGTTTTTGAATTTTTTCAATTTGGCCAACTCTATCCATCATATCCTCTATCTCGTCTTTCTTATATTGATGTGGCTTGATTATAGGTTCCTCTACATCCGGACTTTCCTCATCAACTTCCATTATAGATTCATCACTCTCATCTATAAATACTGGAGCAGCCGTCGGTGTGGAATCAGGAATCTCAGGTAGTATGAATTTAGGCGACTCAGCAATTTCACTTTCATTTTCTTGTTCCTCCATTGCCTCAACTTTCGCAATCATAGATTTGATTTCATCTTCAGTTGGTGGCTTGTGATATTCGCTTTCTTGGTCTTCTTCTTCTTCTTCTTGTTTTTCTTTCAGCACACTTTTAGCCTTTTCAATCAGTGACCTCACTTCATCCTCTTGATCATCTATAGGGAATTCCAATTCTGAATCTTTATTAGTATTAGGTTCAAGTTCTTCGGTTCCCGTAACATTACCAGATACTTCATCTTCAACATCTGACCTTTCATCTTCCTCATTTTTAGTCTCAAAGAAATCTTTGATATCGAGTTTTGGATTAGTTATATCCGATAGTGATTGCTCATTTTCTTCATCTGCAACAGGAGCTAGCTCCCCCTTAATGAGCTTTGAAATATAAACTTTACAGTATTTTATCTTGGTTTTCAAAGGCTCAGGGTCATTTAGGCTATCAAGCCATAAATGTAAAATGGAGCTGAACAAAATGATGCAACACCATAATCCTTTCTTTAAATCATCATCCCATGGGCCATCCTTAACTTGTAACAGTTTCTTATTGTACAAGTTCATAGTGAAATTTAACACATATATTTTTGCCTTCTGTTGATCCTTTAATAGCACATTAGCTGCTTGGGACTCATCTGAAGCATCATTTACCACATCTTGTTTAAACTTTTCAATTCCATCCAATAAGTTGGTGGCCAGAACAGTCAGTTCATCTGTTCTATTGGCAGTTTTCAGTATTTCTTCCCCTGCATATAACCTAAATTATATGAAATGATACCTAAACCAATTTTTTCGAAATCATTAGCTGTAGAACAAATTCTAATGATATTCCCTTGATTAGACATCAGATATTATCGTAATTAACTCCTAGTCGTCCAATTCAGTCTACTCTAACTTGTTTCTTTCACTCCTGATTTATATACTTTAGACTAAATTGATAGCTACCCATATTTATATCTAGATATTTTTCTTTCATATACAGGTCCGATGACGTAATAAGCAGCAACCCATAGCAATTGTAATTGAAAATATTGGTTCATAGAGAATTATTAGCTTGATTAAATGTGAGTTGTTTATGATTGAATGTATATTTTATAAATAATTATACAAAATATTATTTACTTGCCTGATTATTTAGCTGGTTTTTTCCAAAAGTATTGTTTATGCGTTCTTCTACATGATCTTAAACCTGTTCTTCCACCCTTCAAAGATGACACTAAATTTCTTCTTTCTTGATCTGGATCATTTTCTAGGTCGTAGTAATATTCTTCATCCAATGGCTTACCAGCAGCATCTTTACCTTGACGGAAGATCACACCAATGCAAGGTTCTTCATGTAGAAGAGCACGGACCTGAGATCTTGATAGTGTTGATATTTTAGAGTTGACTGATTGAAGTTGAGATAATGGAGTCTGTTGAACGTTTGCGAATGCCAAATGATTGGCTAACACACGTCCTAATTCAATGCAATTAATACCTTTTTCATTCATATTTTTTATCAACTCTTCTGGCGATTCTGATTTTTGAATAGCTTGTGTCTTATTCTGTTTATGCTTATGATGGGAATCCTTCTTGATTGGGGAAGGTGACTCTAATTTACGGCGATTGAGTTCGTTACGCTTTTGTTGACGCACTGGTGTACTGATTACTGGATGCTCTTTGTTTACTTCGGTGAATGATCTAACTGGAGTTGAAGGCAATTCGATATTTGAAGAAGCTACTTCGTGTTCTGGGTAATCTAACTGTTTCATTGTAACAAATGTTTCGACTTGTCTAAAATCAATGATTGTATTTTTAATATAAGGCATGTATACTGTTTCATCCTTAAGGAGGACAAAAGAAGACAAATCATTATGCTTGATGAATTCCTTCTCCGAGTGCCCATTAAATTGAGAAGCATCTGTAGATAATTCATATACAGGGTTTACATTATCACGTCTTCCCAATTGACAAGATAATTTACGTGGGAAAACGACAACCAAACCGTTTAGACCCAAACATCTCAACTTGATTTTATTATCAGCCTTTGAATAGGTTAAAGTAGCATGCACTCTTGAGATATTTTTCAATTTTGGTAGGATGATATTACATTCAGAAGATAAACGTCCAATTTTCTGTTCTGTGGAGTCGTTTGGATTCAATTCAATATGAATTGGTGGGACATTAAACTTTTTTTCAGAGTGACTAGGCTCGAGTTCACTACTATTACTGTTTTCATGTGAATGAGAGTGTCTTACAGGAGAAGATAATCTACCCATACTTGAAGAAGGGTGTGGGGTAGGATAACCTAAGCGTCTACCACGATCGAGATCATCTTTGCCACTGATGAAAGAGCTTCTGGTTTGCCCTGAAATACATCATTTAATATTCGGGATCATTTTATTGAGTAGAGCCAGATTGGCAATGGTGACGATGGAAGTACGACATGCTTTGGATTACCAGGTTATATAACTGAATGAGCCTGTGTTCTGAAATTTTGTCTTTTCTGGTAAAGGCAACAGATATATGCCCAGAGACAGGAAGACATTGAACTTGTCAAAAGATCAATAAGTTTATATATATATATATATATATAATTGTAAGTACAGAGAAGTGAATCTTTAGAGGATATTTGTCATGATGAGAAAGAGGTATATATCCGATGAGACGCGTCAACAATTGAGGACAGACACGAAAACCAGAGTACTCATATTGAAAATAAAATAAAGGTGATTTATTTTCGCGTCACGCGTTACCCTGAAATAACAAAGTGACTGTTTATACACCCGTACATTGTTTTATTTATACACCAGTGCACCAGAAACCATTAGCCATCTGTTTGTCCATCGGACTGTTTGGTTTCCGTCCCTCAGCCAGTTGTCGAATTTTGTATTTTGTATTTTGTGTTTCGCCTCGCCCTCCATAGCCTCCCCTCTGTAAACTCGCGCAGGATACACACACCGAAATCGCAAAATCTGGCAAACATCAAAAAAAACAAAGCGACGCAACTTTTTTTTGTTCAGCGTTTGCCCAACAAGTGTCCAGCCGGGTAACTTCGGCAATTTTTCATCAAAAATTATCTCGACCAAACCTGTTTTCGAATAGCTCAGCTACCGCTGTTTCTTAGCAAATATCAATAAACTCTTGAAACTTTTTTTTTTCACTCACAACCAATACCCAATACTATGCCATATTATACCATACTATACTATACCATACCTGGCAATGCAATGGATAGATACACATCCAAAGCAAAACTATCTAGTTGACAATTTTCTTGATACTCTCTATTGATTTTTTGGGTTTGGTTTAGTCCCCACTCTCACTCTCACTCATTACTGCAACATCTGGTATCATCCTGGTTTAGATGCAAAGTTATCCATTATCGTTTCTGTTATAAGAATAGTATATAACTAGAACTATATATTCACTTGTAGTATAGTCTCTTCATTTATTGTATTTAACAGACCAGCAAACATATAGACATTTAAGATGGGTAGTATGTACAAGAAATAGATAAAGTTGATTAGACCAACTACATATGCAAACGACGATGGTTTACTTTACGTTGGCAACATTGGATAAGGATTATTTAACTTGGGATGAGGCATAACACCTGGGATTTATTTAGTACTATGTGGTCCAGTTTTGCTCATATTTATGGGTAATACTTTGAATCTAGATATTGATTAGTATCCTGATATGAATGATATAAAAGACATGGCACAGAATGGTAAAGAAGATTAAAAAAAAAATTTTTTTTGTCATGTCTAGGTATTTGAATACGTTTAGAACCTACTTCCAAGATTAGTGAAGTGAAATGCTCAATTAAGTCGACCTTATTCGAATTTAGTTCTTTGATGTTCTGCATATGTAGTGGGTTGGAATCCCAGAAAGTTTTCGATGAATGTTCAATTCTTTTTTACTAACGTTATATTTATCAATTATATTTTAAACAGAGGGTACTCCTTCATTCGGTAAGCGTCACAACAAGTCCCACACTTTGTGTAACAGATGTGGTCGTCGTTCTTTCCACGTCCAAAAGAAGACCTGTTCTGCCTGTGGTTATCCAGCTGCTAAGACTAGATCTTACAACTGGGGTGCTAAGGCTAAGAGAAGACACACCACTGGTACCGGTAGAATGAGATACTTGAAGAACGTCTCTAGAAGATTCAAGAACGGTTTCCAATCTGGTGTTGCTGCTAAGGCTTCTGCTTAATTCTACTAATTTGGAATATATTTAATTTCATTAATTTGTTATACTATTTGTATATTTTATATTTGTAGATTTTTAAAATAATAATTCATTACATTGATTAATTAAATCAGTTAGTTTATTAGCTATGCATTATTTCATTTCTTGATATTTATGTCTATATAAAATATAAATATATATGCTAATATAGTACACCTACTATTACTACTACACACCCATTGCCACATACAACGAGTCCATCTCTTCTAAGGATATGTCTAGTGCTTCTAATATCTCCCTTGCCATTTCCTGATATATTTTATTATACTGTAATTGCATGATTCTTGGTGCTCTATCAACTAAATCATGCTTTAATTCTTGTAACATATATTCTGGCATATCCTCCATCGATTCGTCAAACACCTCAATCTCATCGCTTATCCTCATTTCATACAATTTATCTATTAACTGCACATTATCCATTATATCATCTTCATTGGGTTTCTTTACATATGACGCTACAATCCTCCACAATGCCAGAATTAATTCACTTTCTATATCCTTAACATTCTCCTTCCCTAATTTGTCATTATGATTCATTAATATGTTGTATACTATACTTATTAAATGTTCAATTATTTCACATCTAAGCCCTAGATTCATAGACAACTGCCCAATTTTCTTCTCTATCATGAACTTTTGTTCCTTTGTTAGCATTTGAACCATTTGTTTTAATAATTCATGATTGATGATATCACGTTCATTTGAATATATTATCATCAAATTATCTATAATATTCAAAATAGTTTCCTTTAATTCTAGAAACCACTTCTCAAGCTCATTGTTATTCATAAAATTATCTTCAGTGTCAAATGTTAAGTCATCTTTTGAAATTACTTTGGGGATACTTTGTAACTTATCTCCATCAATTAGCTTGACAATTACTCTACCGATAGAATTGTTACCAATATTCCTTATTAACCCATAAAAATCATCAAATCTGGAAAGATACAAATTAGTATTATCCTCCTCGTATAATTTTCGATTATCAATCTCTTTGTTCAGTACATTAAATAGCCTAATTATACAATCAGACCACCATTTATATTCAATTAAATTACCATTACTTGACACCATTAAAGCCATGGTCGAAAGTATATTCAATATTTCAACCGTATTAAATATAACATTGGTTTTTGTCTTAAACGATAAAGCCAAAGTTGTCTTGTATATGTACTCAATTGATTTCATTGTTGATTCATCAAAAAATCCTTTGATAGCATCTACCTGATGTGATTGCAAAATTCGTAATGATGTCTCGAGCATATCAAAGGAATAAAAGACTATTAATGTGTCAATAAGTTCATATTGGAAAATTTGGGGCTCTACATATAATTCGAATGGTGATTCATGCAATGATTCCTTTAATACATGCTGGAATTTTTTTATTAAATCACAGGCAAAAATGAAAATGTCCTTTAATGCCACATACGGTACTGCACTGGGTCTAAATATCATACTTTGTTGCATTAATACAATCAAGAATGGTACCGCTAAATTTGATTCTTTCTTATCCATTGAAATTTGTATTATCAAACTACCAACATGTTCTAAAAGTGTATCTATGAAATTATTCAACTTGGCACTTTTTTTATGTTTTAATAATAAATCTATTATGGCGTCACCAATTGAATCATCTGTTTTAATTATTAAAGAACCATGATGGAATGTATCTATATGTCCTAGCTTTATCCTTCTTAGTATCTCTATAGTCGTTAATTCAACACCGCATATCTTGTGTAACATTAAAGTATCAAAGAATTCACTTGTTTCATCTGGAGTAACTCTAGTTGGATTAATGCTTATATAATTCTTTCTTGGAACTGGAGTTGATTCTTCTATTTTACGTTTCTTTACAAGTGGTGATGTATATGCTGTACTAATCGTTGCAGTTGAAATATTTGTAGCAGAGGTTGTTGTTGTAGTTATAGTATCCGTTACATTACTGGTATTAGCTGTGTCTGGAGTTCCTGATCTTGAAATTCTCTGTTTTGATCTATTATAATTGGACAATCTTTTAGACTCTAAATTCAAGAACTTATTTTCATCCTGCAGATACTGAATCTCTTTTTGTAACTGTTCCAGTTTATGTTTGTGTGAAGATTCTGTAGTTTCTTTATTACTCTTCTGTGCTTGCTTTTCGAGTTCCCTTTCCTGATTCAAAAGATTGATCTTATCACGAAGCATACTTGCTTCACCTTGAGCTTTAGTCAATTCCATCTTTAAGTCGGAATCAACGTTGTCATTGTCACTAGGAGCAGTTTGTTGTTGCTGTTCTTGTGATGATGGTTTCGTATCAGGAAGAAATTGTGTAGGAGCGGTGGAAAAGAATTGTGTTGCTATCTTTGGTGGACGTGAACCCAACTCTAACAGGATATCATCATCATCGTCATCATCTAAAAAGCTATCATCATTCATAGACATATCGCCATCGTGTTTGTTACCAACCTTATAAGTCTATTCAAGTTAATGTTATCAATACTGAATAGTTCCATAGTTTATTTTAATATAGTCCAAAATTTCACTATTCGGAATAGGCAAAATTCTGTTATAATAAGGTAAAAAGGTCACTATTTCAGAAATCCCAATCGAATGATCCCATGGAAATATATTTAATTTAATTAACTATCAAATGTATATCGAGATTTTCTATTATATATTTATGTATTTCTTTAGAAGAGTACATCATATCTCCGTATGATATCAATTTAATGTTTTGGTCATATTTCATATTGTTTCATTTATCTCAATCACGAGACCTAAATAATAAAAAAGAAAGACTTCAGTTTCTCACATAGGGACATTATCATTTAATTAAAATGAATAAGCCAGTAATATCAAATACAAATATATTCAATCCACTCATGACCGTGAATACAGCTGATAAACATCATTCATTACACTGTCACCAACCTAATAATTAAGCTTACCTTAATACCATACCATCTCATTTCGTCTCCTACGACACATCTCATCGAGTGAAAAATTTCAGCGATGAACCAGTCAGAGAGAGAGACTAAAACCCAAACGATGAGATGGATATTTAAAGATGGTATTGGTTTTTTAATGAGTTTCTCTCAATTTAGGACCAGTTATAAGTGTACATACTAAGGATATAGAGGGATACCCTAGCTTTAAATTTCAATTGAAAGTAATCCCAAGGTAAGAACCTAGAGAGACGAATAATAATTTTTTCCAAGTTTTTAAGCAATGGTTGAAGATTCGAAAGTAAGAGATGCTATGAGAGCAGGTGAACAGAAAGCCTTGCCAGCTTCATTAGTTCCACAAGCACCTCCAGTTTTGACATCCAAAGATAAGGTTACTCAGAGACTGATTGTGGTATTGAGTATGGCATCTTTAGAGACTCATAAGATTTCATCATCTGGACCAGGTGGTGATAAATATGTTTTATTAAATTGTGATGATCATCAAGGTGTGTTGAAGAAGATGGGTAGGGATATCAGCGAAGCCAGACCTGATATTACCCACCAATGTCTTTTAACATTATTAGATTCACCAATCAACAAAGCTGGGAAATTACAAGTATATATTCAAACCAGTCGAGGTGTATTAGTCGAAGTGAACCCAACTGTTCGTATTCCAAGAACTTTCAAAAGATTCTCAGGGTTGATGGTGCAACTATTACACAAACTATCTATCAGATCTGTTAACTCCGAAGAGAAATTATTAAAAGTAATCAAGAACCCAATCACTGATCATCTACCAACTAAATGTCGTAAAGTAACATTATCATTTGATGCTCCAGTGGTAAGAGTACAAGATTACATGGAAAAGCTAGACGATGACGAAAGTATATGTTTGTTTGTAGGTGCCATGGCAAGAGGTAAAGACAATTTCGCTGATGAATATGTTGATGAGAAAATCGGTTTATCCAATTATCCACTATCAGCCTCAGTAGCTTGCTCAAAGTTCTGTCACGGTGTTGAAGATACATGGAAAATTCTATAATCCAAAATAAGAAGATCAAAACCAAATTCAAAACCAAATTCAAATTCAATTTCATACAGATAAAAAATATCTTAAAAGAGTACCACGTTTTTATAGAAACAAAGAGCTAAATCAAACGCATTTCCCAGTCCACCTTCTCCTCCCCCTCCCCCCCTTCACCATCATATACGTCATAAATCAGTATATATATATAAAATATAAGTATATATATATTTATATATATATATAATCTAACTTATCTACTTCTGTATACTCACAATCACACCAAAATCCCAATTCGAACTTGCACCTTTAACCTGCACTATAAATAAACCAAGCTCACAAACACCTAAAGATCTTATACATATTATTACAGCATAGCCAACCTGCTAATCAAACCGACCTTGGCCTACTCTGGTCTCGTCGTAAGCTCTCTTATCGTTCGAACTGGACTAGCCTTGCCAAGATCAAGTTCATTCTTTCTTCCTTTCTCTTTTTATATCCAGTCCGCCTCCTCTGGCTTCGTCTTACTGTAAGGAATTCTAGTCCTGAAAATTTATTGCGAATAAGAAAAGTTGATGATGAAATCTTATTCGAAATCGAAATCGAATTAAAGTTCAAGTTCGAATTCGAAAGTTGTTTTAGGAGTTTATGGGATATTAGTTTTGATATATATATTGTTGAACCTCTATTTGTATATTTGACGATATTCTTTTGTTCTAGAGTTGGTATCTTTTGAAGGAGAGAGCAGCAGCACCGTGGTGAATTTTATTTTATTTTTATCATATACCAGATATCGTTTATGGGTGTACTATTTTGATCAAACGTTTTAGAGTAATACCAAGTTTATTAATATGAAAAGGTTGTTTTCTGGTCCTAAATCTCCAGATTTGCCTTCACCGTCGAGGTTTTTCAAGAGAAATTCTGTTAGTTCAGATTCTTCTTCAAGTATTATGAAAAGATCCTGGTCTGCCTCTAATTTAAGAAAATTCACAAATGACAGTTTGCCCGAGACTGATTTGGAATTGCCTCAAGTATCTTCAGAGTTGTCTCCAGAGTTGATACCAATTGTAACTTTATTGTCAGCTCAGGCTCATAGAAGATACCATGAAGGTGTATTCTTGATTTTGCACGATTTGAAAAGTGATGGTTCCCAAGCTGATAGGGTTTGGAGAAACGTTTATGGTGTACTTATCGGTACCCAACTAGCATTATGGGATGCTGCTGAATTGTCTGGCGATTCATTTGAATTGAAAAATATCGCTGCTAAACCAACTTATATCAATTTCACTGATGCAGTATTGAAAACTTTATCAAGCGTTGATAAAATTGTCACTGAAAGTCGACAAAATATGGACAATACTTTAGTGGTATCGACCACTTTGAAAAATAGATTTTTCATACAGTTTAGCAATGAACAATCCTTCAATATGTGGCATGCTGCAATTAGATTGAGTTTATTCGAGTGTACTTCTTTACAAGAAGCTTACACTGGTGCTTTCTTATCCAGTAGAGGTTCAAAATTAGGTGATATTAAAGTCGTTCTAGCAGATACTAAGTTCAATTATGAAGATTGGGTTAGTGTTAGATTCGGTGCTGGTATGCCTTGGAAAAGATGCTATGCCGTAATTTCTCAACCTGGAAGTAAAAAAAATCCAAAGGGTAAAATATTTTTTTATGAAAACGATAAGAAGGTTAAAAAATCAAATGCTATGGCAACTTTAGTAGATGCGACTGCAATCTACGCTGTTTATCCTAGTTCAAATAAGTTGATAGACACATCAACTATCATTAAAGTTGAAGGTAAAATCATTTTCAACAAAGAACCTGAACAAGAAGTTGATATATTTATAATGCCAGAAAAGCATCAGGCTGTTCCAGGTTATGATACTATTATTAGATTCTTGATTCCTTCTATGAACACTTTCAAACTTTATGGTAGACCAAAGAGACTAATCGCAAACAAAGATGATCAACAGTCTTTATTATTTGGTTTACCAACCTTACCACATATATATTACTTAAAGCTAGAGGAACTATTGCCTCTAGTTAATTCAGCTTCAAGTTTAGAGTGGTCATCTCATGAATGGAGCGTTAATATTAAAGAGCTGTTACAAAGAAAGTTAACGAATGGTTATACTGGCTGTGGTTCTTCATCTAGTTTACCAACATCGGTGGCATCACCACGTATTGGTTCTAAAGAGTTATTTGGAAGTGCATCTCCATTACCAACGTCTGATGTGTTCCTTCCAATAAATACCACCCCTAGAAGTTTATCAGCCAACAAAGCTACATTCGACGATAAAAGCAGTCTGAACTCTAACCCTAATAGTAGAATGAACAAGTATGCAGAGTTTTCAAGTCCTAAGAAACAACTAAATTCTTCTGAAGACAAGAGAAGTGTAAGTGCAAACGCAAATATTTACTCAAATAAAAACAGCAATTACTTGCAAAGTTCTGTAACTGGTGGTTCTTCTCTATCAAACCTACAATATTCAGATAAAGGCTCTGCTTTACATCAAGATGCTCAATCATCGGAATATAGTTCAAGCGGTACAAAATTATTATATGATACAGGCGATCTAAATATCAAAAAAACAAGAAGTCCCATGAACCTAAAAATCGAAAACTCTAATACAGCTGGGTTCAATAAGGATAGCAATAATATTTCAGATACTGGTTTAGGACTTCATCCCAAACCTAAAGTTTTATCTACTGCTTCAGATTTGGCAGGTATTTACGATAAATATTCGGCTTCTCCATTTGGACAGTCAGATCAAGTTTCGGGTAATATCAAACCACAGTCTCTAGAAGTTGGTAGAGACATTAATGGAAATGGAGCCTATGATCAATATATTGGTTCCTCTGATTCTAAAACTTTTGAAATATCGCATATAGCTGATTCATCTAGCAGTATTCATTCGGTTGAAAAAAATAATCCGTTAGAAAAAGCGCCATATCCAACAGGGAATCAAAACGTAATAGAGGAATTTGATGAATTAAGTAAAAGAATTAGTCAAATTGGTATGAACAGCGTATATTCTGGAAGCGCTATGGGAAGTAGGGAAAATCTACAAGATGGATTTTTTACAGCTAAAGAACCAGTGGGGGAAGATAATATTTTTGATCCCGATTATGTTGAACAAAATAACATTTATGCTAGTCAGTCAAACACTGAATCAAGAAGTTCATTCAACTATGGTATTAAAGATAGTAATTCTAGTAACCATTCTGTGGAGAGACTAGAAGCTGAAGAATTAAGAAAACAAAATTCAAATAGAAGTGCCGATAGCTTTAACCAACAGAAATTCCATGATGCAAGAAATTTTTCAGATCCAAATATAGGCCAACAGCCTTCCTATAATTCTCCTAACACTTCAAGAGGTAATTTTAATCAGATGCCAGGAGATTCACCCTCTCCTATTGCGGGTAATAACGCAAACTTTGCAGGTCATCAAAATACTAATATGCCTCATTCACAGGCTCAGTACAATTTGAATATCGTTTCTAATGGCGCACAGCAACAAGTACAACCACCACACGGCCAACAGTTCAGACAAGGTAACCCTCCACAAAATAGATCACAACCACCACCAATGCAAAATATGAGAATGGGCCCCCCACCTCCTCAAGGGCAACCTGGTCAATTCAAAAATATGCAAGGTTACGCACCATATGGACAACCACATCAACCACCTTATAATAAGTATGGAAATTCACCTACAACGAGTCCATATGGGCAAAGGTTCCCTCAACAAGGTGGACCAACGCCTCCTGCAGGATACAATAGACCTCATCCGAATCAAATTCCAATGAATGCAGCCAGTCCAACATCTGGTCAAATGCCTTATAATAATAAAAATATGAGGCCAAATTTTAACCAACCACCTGTGAATCATGTTAATAATGGGAAAGTGCGCCCTAAACCATCAGGAGGGTTTTCACAGTTCATGCCATCAAGTGCAACAAACAATCCTTATTCGAGATAAGTAAAGCTTCAGTTTCTACGTCTTTCCTTAAAGTCATTTTTATTACTGTCATCAATGCCAACAGTATAATATTTTAATGCGAGAAATAAGCATTTTTACAAAGTGTACTCTAATCAAGTCAAATGGCAGAATTTATGAATGTTTTTAATCATATCCAATGCATTGACATTAAAACATCATAAGATATTTGTAACTTTTCAAATTAGTCAACAAGATTATTTTAAGATACTTCAATTAATCTGAAAATTTTCTTCTATATTTCTATATGATAAATTTTATATAACTACTAGAATTATGAATGTAAAATAAAATATTAAGAACAAGATATTGATTGTGATTAAAGAAGATGAATGGTTCTAGAAGTCCTATATTGTCTTATAGGTGCTAGCTCGTTGGATGTTAATTTACTTACTTAAACGAGATATATAATCTCGGAAATCCGGGTAATTTGATATTTTCTTACTAAGCCTAAATCAGCGTTCAATATGTATAATAGGCGTATATAATACAATGAACCAATGTGGTTGATTTAAAATAATTTCCAGGTAAAGATTTGTAGACTATCTAGAGGAATTAAGTCAATACTGAGATCCTTGATTTGTCTATAGAGCCATGTTTAAAGCTACCGGAGCAAGGATACTTGTTTCGTCACCTTTAAAGAGGTCGATGAACATTCGTTTCTTGCCAAAGGCATCTAGACTTATCATTGGGAATCCAATTAAGGTAAAATTACAGATCAACAATTGTTATGGTGGTTTATCAGCTTTTAACCAAGTGAGATGGACGTCAAATATATCTGATGCTAGTTCTACTGTCAATGCAGTCGCTGCTCAAGAACGTGAATTGAAAATTCCTCCAAAGATCCAGAAGCTGACCCCAGATGAATCTGGTAGATCTGGGTTTAAAGATGTCAAACGATTATTTGAACTAGCAAGACCCGAAACTTTCTACATCTCTATAGCTTTATTGCTTATCTTTATTTCTAGTGCTGTTAGTATGGTGGTCCCAAGTGTCATTGGTAAGTTATTAGATATTGCTAAACCACCAAGTGCAGATGAAGAAAATGGTAAAGGTGTTTCTGAAAAGCTGAAAGAAAAGGAAGACGAAGATAAGAAAATATATGGGTTGACAGCTTTACAATTTTACACTGCATTAGGAGTTGTTTTTACCGTAGGTGCATTGGCCAATACAGGTCGTATCATTATCTTAAAGGTAACAGGTGAAAGACTAGTGGCTAGACTAAGAACTCGTACAATGAAGGCAGCATTAGAGCAGGAGGCTGCATTCTTAGATTCGAATAAAGTCGGTGATCTGATTTCTAGATTGTCTACAGATGCTTCAATAGTCGCCAAATCTGTTACTCAAAATGTTTCGGATGGTACTAGAGCTATTTTGCAAGGTTTTGTAGGGTTTGGTATGATGAGTTATATTTCATGGCAATTGACGTCTGTCATGTTACTATTGATTCCACCATTAGGAGCCATGGCCATAATCTATGGTAGAAAGATTAGAAACCTTTCTAGACAGTTGCAAACATCTGTTGGTGGTTTAACCAAAGTAGCAGAAGAACAATTGAACGCTACTAGGACCATTCAAGCATATGGTGGTGAAAAGAAGGAAATACATCGTTATGCTACTGAAGTTAGAAATGTTTTTGACATTGGGTACAAAGAAGCGGTAACATCTGGTTTATTTTTCGGTTCAACTGGTCTTGTTGGCAATACGGCTTTATTGTCATTATTAGTTGTTGGTACAAATATGATATCTTCGGGTGCATTGACAGTTGGTGAGTTATCCAGTTTCATGATGTATGCAGTCTATACAGGTAGTTCATTGTTTGGGTTATCCACATTTTATTCTGAATTAATGAAAGGTGCTGGTGCCGCTGCAAGAGTTTTTGAATTAAGTGATCGTAAACCTGCTATTAAACCAACCATTGGTAAAGATCCTATAACTTTATTTGGTAAAACTGTAGAATTTAAGAATGTTTCATTCTGGTATCCAACAAGACCTAAGCAACAAATTTTCCAAGATTTTAGCATTAAGATTGAGCCTGGAGAACATGTATGTTTTGTTGGACCATCAGGTAGTGGTAAATCTACCGTTTCCTCCCTGTTATTGAGATATTATGATGTAGCGAAAGGTTCAATTTTAGTTGGCGGTGAAGATATCAAGAATTTCAGTTTAAGGAAATACCGTAGATTACTTGGGGTTGTTCAACAAGAACCTATGCTATTCAATGGTACAATTTTAGAAAATATTCTGTATTCCGTACCTGAAGAGATTGCCAATGAGCCAGGTAGGATAGAACGAGCTATTGAAAGTGCCAATTGTAGTAAGTTTTTAAATAACTTTCCAGATGGATTAAACACGTTAGTTGGACCTAGAGGAACACAATTGTCTGGAGGGCAGAAACAAAGAATTGCATTGGCAAGAACATTTTTATTGGATCCATCGATATTGATCCTTGATGAAGCCACTAGTGCGTTAGATTCCCAAAGTGAAGATATAATTGCTCAGAATCTACAAGCTAGAAACGAGAAAGGGCAAACTACTATATCCATTGCACATAGATTATCTACTATCAAACATAGTAGTCGAGTGGTGGTGTTGGGCAAGAATGGGTGTGTTGTTGAGACGGGCACATTTCAAGAGTTGATTTCCAATCCATCTAGTGGGTTAAACATTTTGTTGACACAAGAAGAATCATCTGCCAACGAAGGGACACCTAACTAAAAGAGAGACAGTTATTTCCATTTTAACTTTATAGTGTTTTTATATACTATATTTTTATGTTTTTATAATATTTTATTTAGCTCAGCATATATATTCATTAGTTCTCACTGTTTTTTAAGACAAAAACACAAATCATTACTAAGTAAGACCTTGGGGGGGGGGGGGGTTACCAAGATAATGTATTCTTTGTTGTGAATTCTTTGGTTATAGATATCTAATAATTGTACGTTGAATAAATGCTGGTATGGTTTTTATTTTATTCGTCTATTTGGTAGTAGTCTAGTACTGTTAATAAGTATATTTATTATTAAAGAGTTCTATATCTTCTTTTTCTAATGTACAGAGTAAGTAAGTAATATACAATAACATACAATTGTTTCAAATAGCAGTCACTATTAGTCTTTATAAGTGTGAACGATAATAACACTTATTATCTGGTGTCATAGATCTTTACTAATTCGTATTAAACTATGTTAAAACAATACAATAACCAAAATCCACGTGACATACACAAAAATCACATGAAGTTCCAGTAAATTGATGAACCTCCCCACAGCACGTGAAAATATTCCTAATCCAATCCGGGGCTCCCGTTTCCCGGACTAGTCACGTGCCTTTATCCTCTCTCTTCTCACAAATTCTCATTCTCATTCTCTTCCTGTTGCTCACCCTCTCCCCGGACTTAACCACAAAAGTATCAAGACACAAAGGCAAGCACACAAAAAACAACAACATCCAGTACCCTCCGTAGCCCTCCTCCCCCCGATGTACGTCTGTCCATGAAACAAACCATAAAAAGAAAAAAAAGCAACACAAAAACTTCGACAAAACTTAAAATTCAGAAGATAACACGTGACTTAAGAGAAACTCCAGTAAAAAAAATAAAATAAAACCAACGATCAATTTCACCCTCCCTCCCCCCCGTTCGCCTGTTCCTCACCACAGTTTCCACATACAGACCCCGTGACTCGTTCGAAATCCATCCACACCGCTCAGACACTCACATGCACAACATACACAACACCCACAATAACACCCACAGAAGCCACAATTTGACTTCTTAAATTTTCACCATTCCCAAATTTCCTCTCTGACGTCACCAAACCCAAACCACCTTCAAATCAAATCAAATCAAAGAGAGCATTCTCTAAAAGCTATCAGGCTAAAAAATAAAGAGCTCATCGCCATATTTAAAGCTAGTAATATCAGTTTAAACCAGGTTTTTTGGTATTTAATCTTACGACTAAACCCTACTAATTCATTATTTCAGCATTCGACATCAAATTGTCACAGTAAGAGACAGACACCAATAGAATCTTTGATTTTATCTACGTTATATTCATTTTTTTTTAATTCGTTCCAAGAGGTTTGGGTCGCTCTAGTAAGGATATTAGACACTGGCCGACCTTCATTTACTGTCGAATTGATAAATAAAAGTTTTTAGTTATAATTCTTTTTTGTTAATTTAGAACACCATCGACTGGACTATATCGAATTTCGTTTTGTGTATTTGCTTCAACAGCCTGATTTTTACAATACATACACACACACCCTCCTATATATATACATAGTGGTTATTACAACAGAAAAGGTTTTATAAAGGTCTTTTTCTTTTTTTTGGGGCTTTAATACGTTTTCATCAGAAATGACGTCATCGCCGGACTACAACTATACTGCAAAATCTGAAATGTTTAGAGAATTGGACATCTCTCAGATTAATGAGTCAAATCCATTGACAAAATTAGTACATAATCAGAGAATTGTAGAGGTTCCAGAATTGGAATTGGAATCAGGTATTACCATCAGAAACTTCCCAATTGCCTATAAAACTTGGGGCAGACTTAACGAAAATGGTGATAACTGTATTGTCATCTGCCATGCTTTGACTGGCTCCTCTGATGTCTCTGATTGGTGGAACCCATTGTTAGGCCAGGATAAAGCTTTTGATCCTTCAAGGTTTTTCATCATTTGTTTAAATTCAATGGGCTCTCCTTACGGGTCTTTCTCCCCTTTGACTATAAATGAAGAAACAGGAACACCATATGGTCCAGAGTTCCCATTATGCACTGTCCGTGATGATGTGCGAGCCCATAAGTTAGTATTGGATTCTTTGGGAATTAACCAAATAGCTTGTGTCATCGGAGGCTCTATGGGCGGGATGCTAGCTCTGGAATGGGCTGCTATTTATGGAACTTCATACGTCAAAAATTTAGTAGCTTTGGCAACATCTGCAAGACATTCTGCTTGGTGTATCTCCTGGTCAGAAGCTCAAAGACAAGCAATATATTCCGATCCAAAGTATTTGGATGGTTATTACCCTTTCGATGACCCCCCAGCTTCAGGCTTATCCGCCGCCAGAATGTCAGCATTGCTGACTTACCGTTCAAGAAATAGTTTCGAAAGTAAGTTCTCTAGAAGAACCCCTTCGAATGACCAACAGTTAAAAAGTGGGAGTGCCAGACCGAAAATTCAACCTTCCTCGGTAAGCGAACACTCTTTGACTATCCATAACGATGGTATTATGAACCATACCTGCAACGGATCTTGTAAAAAAAATAAAGATGCCTCATCATCTTCTCCTTCTATGTCTCCAAGAACTTCAGTCACTTCGATATCTTCATCGACTTCATTGAGCTCCACTCATGCCGAGTTAAAAGAGGTTAAACCTGCTCAGACGTACTTCTCTGCTCAAAGCTACCTGCGTTATCAAGGTGCTAAATTTATTAACAGGTTTGATGCTAATTGTTATATTGCAATTACTCGTAAATTAGATACTCACGATTTGGCCCGTGACAGAACCGAGTATGATGAGGATATAACAAGAGTATTAAGCTCTATGCAACAACCTTCTTTGATCATTGGTATAAATTCAGATGGTCTATTCACTTTTTCAGAACAAGAATTATTGGCTGATTATATTCCTAATTCATCTTTGAAGAAAATTGAATCTCCGGAAGGCCACGATGCATTCTTATTAGAGTTCAATTTGATTAATGATTACATCAAAGATTTCTTGCAAACAAACCTTCCTGAAATTGTCAACAGTGCTCCTCATCAATGGTCTGGTACCCTTGGAGAAGAGCCTGTTGTGAACTCCGTTTTTGGTGAAGCTGAAGATGTCACCAACTGGTAGTTTATGAGATATCAGATCTTTCATTTTTGCATTAAGTAGGGACAATATTTTTTTCATATATTATATTGTAAGGAAAAAATAAACTTTTCACTACACTAAATAATTTTGTACTATACAACTATAATTAATAATATTTTTAATTCTTTTTACATAGTTGAAGTCCTTTTTTCAGACCATGCTGGTGAGCGGAATCACAGTCTTAGTCGTATCATTGACATTATTCGGGTGCTGTATAAATTCGATATTTGAAGATTTATGATTTTTTTTCACAACTAAACTTCTTGCATACTCTAACTCACTATATATACAATTTATAGCCGTTGTGACACCATTTTCTTTTGCAACTCTCTTTTTCAATGAAACAGCTTTCCTTTTAATTGATTTATCAGTTAGGACTTTTTTGATGGCATTGGATAGACTACTGACATTTAGCTTTTTCAATGCAATGCCTGCTCCAATATCTTCAATCCTTGAAGCAAAGAAAAATTGGTCACCAAAAAATGGCTTAATTACAACAGGTGTCCCTGCCTTTAGTGTTGCGCCAGTAGTGCCAGAACCACCATGATGAACTGCTGCGTCAACTTTAGGAAATAACCAATCGTGAGGAATAGAATCACATAGGAAAATAGTTTCAGGATATTCTGGCTCCTCTTCATACCTTAATTCTTCTTTCCCCAGCCTTTCTGACCAACCTTTATTGAGTATACAAAATATATCTGTCTCTAAAACTGAATCAATCACTGCCCTTGTCATCTCTTTCGCATTATTGACAACAATTGAGCCAAAACCAATATAAACTAATTTTTTACCCAATTTTCGAGCCTTTGAGATAAATGTCTCCAATTCTTGACTAGGCTCAAATGATTCCGATTCATCTAAAAACCAATATCCAGTAACTTTGATCCATTCATCAAAGTCTATAGCAGGTGGGAAAATTACTGGAGATATATTGTAAAGAAAAGGAATTTTATTTTGCTGAAGTTGAGCTAAATTAGTCTTTTCTAATCCTAGAGTCTGAACTCTCCATTTATTAACTTGACTACAGATTCCTCTCCAGAAAACATTTTCAAATATAACATGTGTCAGATAATTGAAACTGCCGCCTCTCTTTTGATCAGGCACAATAAATGCATGCGGATATGCCCTTGTTCTAGTCCATGGCATCGTGAATGCTCGGAAATAGGGTATCTGAAGTGCTTCTGAAATATGTATTCCTGCCATTGCTGATGGTGATTCAATCAGGATATCCAACTTCAAATTTTTGCATGCTTCCCAAGTAGTTACTAACAAATCATGAATCCAACCCCGAAATTTACTTGAAGCTTCCATAAGCATTCCAACATTAATTGCTTCATGCTCTACCATTAATGACATTAACTTGGTAGGATCACCCGCAATTTCTTTAAAATCGATGCCGTGACACTCTACAAATGACTTAAATTCCCTATGTGTAATTATCGTGACACTATGTCCTTCTTGTATCAATCCTTTTGCCAAGGCTATATATGGCTGAACATCTCCACGAGACCCAATTGTTAAAAACCCAAAATTATAGCTCTTTGTAGGCATTATTTTTGTTTTAAAATATGGATTATCCTCAACTAAGAAAGGAATATCAATTCCTTCAGTGCTGAATTTTTCCTCAAAGAATCTTAACCTGGAATGCTCAGATTCGGATTCAATTACTCTGCTTGTCACTAATTCTGGGGTTTTGATCGCATATTTACAAATATCAAGACATCTTTGCAACACATTTTCAAAGTCAGATCTGTTGGTACATGAATTGAATCCAAATTGAAGTTCTTTTTCATTTTGAACTGTTAACAAAATTCCAAAATTGCCATAGTTAGTACCTAGTATTTCATTATAGCCCTCTATGTCTTCTAAAGGTAAGACCATTTTAACATTCACTCCAGGTATACATGATTTGAAGTAAAGCCTCCTGTTTGTAACATACAATTTTCCATACACAGGATATCCTTTAATAAGATATGCATAGTAAAGTGCATGCAGCACTTCATTATCATGAAGGTTAAACCAATCTTTGATTTTTGCCAATGTCGTGTCATTGATAGAGGTAACAAAAGGATCACTAGTCATAAAAAAGTTATCACTGTCCTTGTTATGTATTGGCGACGTATTCCAGATAGAGCATATATTTTTGAAAGATAAAATCCCTTTATTATCGTTGCCTATATTTCCTTGATAATATTTTGAATCATCATTTAGTTCCATTCTACTGTCATGCTTAGAATATGTAATAAGCTGTATTTCCGAGGTTTGTACTTTTTTGTTGCAATCTTGGATTGTCATTTTGTTTGAAGTCTTTAAATCTTCTTTGAGATAATTTTTACAATTAGAAATGTCTCTTACATGTTTCAGTGATAGTGGCTGAATATTTTCATCTATATCACTCAATATATCTGAAGAAGTCATTTCAAAACTATCGGTGTCACATATTATATCATCAATATTTACTGCACTAAGTATTTTTATTTTATCATTAAAGTGTGACTTTGAGTTCAAATGAATAGTTGGATTTGAATTTTGTAATGAAGCCTCTACTGGATTCATATTTCTTGGAATAAAATTTGAAATTATATTATAAAATGAATCCCCATCTTTATCAAAAAATAGAAAAGTATACTCTTTTAGAGCATAATTTTTATTACCATCGAAACATTTAACTTTGATTGACTGTCCTTGATTCATATAACTCTGACATTCTACGTCTATTATGCTGCTTATTGGAAATTTAATTCCTATAGTGTCCTTCGATTGGTTTTTTATAGAAAACAATTGTTTCTTCAAACATTTGACCCATGTTTTGGCAGAATGACTAGATCCTGCAATGAATTTGTAATTTTTAGAAGAGGCTTCCAGGACAAAAGTCATAGTATTTTCATCTTTTAAACTATTCTCTAATGAAATTTCTTCAACATGATTTAAATCTATACTCAAAATTGGAAAATAAATATCAGATGGATCATTATATAGAGCCAATGTGCTATGTTTTAACACACACCAATACCTAGGGTTGCCTTTTAGCCTAGAGCGCAATTTTAATTTCCCACATAATACTACTGCATCTGTCAGTTTTGGCAAGTGTGCTAGATATACCAAAGAAGAATTGGTAATAAATAAGTTACCTTGAATTAACACTTCCTGTAATAACCACCCTGTATAATGCCCAATTAAAGTTTCTTCTTCAGATATTCCAAAATATTTTCTGACAAATTCAAATAGATCTTTCTTGTAGTCTAGATCTCGAGATAAGGTATTATTTACCTCCATATCATTGCTTATCTTCTCATCTTTCTTTGGAATCTTAAATATATTAAAAATGGTATCTCTGACTGAACTTTTATTAAAACCAGCAACTTTACAAGCAGGATTCATATTAGCACTTCTGCCTGTGCCTTGTTGTACAGTATTATCTTCCAGATCAAATTCACACGCCTGTGAGATGTCATAACTAGGATTTGTGGAATTATCTAATCCTATATAGACGCTGGCTGTAGTTAGAAGTCCAACTAAACCTTTGATATGAAACTTTGACTTTGCAAAGTCACAACCATTGGAAGAATAATCATTATCTTTAATAACATTATCCTTATTTACTGTCACCTCATTTTTTGGTAATGGTTTCAAGTTTAGAAGTGGATCGGACAGTACAGGATCGTCAAAATCAGTTATTATCTCATTTCCACTAAATATCTCTCCACTGTTTACTTCACATAACTTATGATAATATAATATCCAATCCTTTAAAGCTACTTCTGTTTCCATGATATTATTGGTGTTAGTGCTATTTCGGATCATATAAAAGATACTATAAATTAAGGAAATACAAATAACACCTTCACTCTATATCCTCTAACTGCTTCAACTATGCCATTACTATCTTACTAGAACTCTTATAGATGGTTGGGACATTATTGTTTAGCCTGTGACATCTCTTTTATATTACTTTGTGTTGGTTGCTTTGTTTCCAGTCGGTGTCACTTAATTAACTAACAAATTCAACTGTAAAAAATACTAATAAGCTTTAATATTCTATAACATTCTATAACATCCAATAAACTAAAGAGAAATATCTAAACAAATATTGTAACAATGTGAAGTATATATGAGTAAATCTGAATGTTTTATGGTATATTTTTTTTTTTTTTGATAATCGATTCTGCAGCTCTTCTAGCGTCAGTTAATTCAGCTTTAACTTCAGTTAATGCTCTAATTTCTTTTCTACCAAACAAAAATGAGATCAAACCATCAATCGTACCAGTGATCGAAATAACGATGGCAAATAAGACCCAAAAGATGGAGGACCAGCCTGCTTTATTGGCAGTAAAAGTTGTAGATACAGTTGCGCCAATTAATAAAGCTATTGAAACTATTGCATGCAACCCTCTAAATAGTTTTTGCCTTTTTGCTGTCTTCATATATATATCAATAGATTCAATGGCTTCCATATATATTTCGAATTTTTCTTTTAAAGACTCAGTTACAGTTTGCATAGATTGACAATCATCAACTGGTAATAATTCAAGAGTACATGTGTATGCAAAATGATCTGAGAAGCTTCCAATATCTGGGATATTTTCGGTGAACCGAACTCCAGCGTTTACTGTCTTTAGTCTGGTAGCATCAATAAGAGCATAATCCAATCTTTTAGCATCTGTAGGCTGGCACTTTTGTCTCCATGTATTTAGAGTAGAATCACAAGTGGTACAACCGATTTTTAATTGTTCAATTGGGGAAACTCGAGTTAAGATAGACAAGTCCTGTTTGCCCTTTAACTGTTCCCAAGAATCGGTCAAACCAGTTTCTACAGTCAATAGCTTGTGTTGAAGAGAACCTGGCTTTGAATTTAAATCACCAACAACAACTACTGCGTAACCAGCTTTTTTATATAAATTTGCCATTTTACTAAAATCCCAAGCTTGGCATGCTCTGTAACAATGATAATTAGCATCACCGGATGGGGCATAGGGAGCGTGCATATGACTGTTTAAGATGGCCAAAGGTGAAGTGTCTGGCGTTAAAGGTTTCAACAGAGTAACAGAGATCGATTTCCCCACATACCAATCACCTCTAAAGAATGCACTAGGTCTACCATTTATGGGAAATCTATACAAAAATGTAGACTCAATAGGTATCTTCGAAAGAATTGCCAAACCAGGACCTGTTAATATACCAGAATAGAAAATTCTTGTATATGGAAAAATATGAGAACATTTTGAAAGTATATATTCCCAATCTTCTTTACACCAAACTTCTTGCAAAGCCACAACGTCATAGTTATCAATCATAGTCTGAGGACCACCAGCTGCTTGATCTTCTGGCAATAAAATCTCACTACCTTCCAATGGAACTGCAACATTTTCACCAGCTAGAGTTTTTGCAATTGCCTCTAATCTTTTTTTCCTATGTTTAGATACCCATTTCAAACCCCAAGTATTAAAAGTCAAAAATTTAATCCTGGGATTACCTGAATCACCTGCAGTAGCTGGCAATGTCTTGCTTGATTTGATAGATATCATATTACCTAATTCACTGAATTCATCCACTTTTAAAAGAAGTCGACTTTAACCTTTATACGATCCAGTACTCAATTTAATGAAATCTATTTTTACCAAATTTTGGTTAAATATCGTAAAATCTTCGAACAAAAACAAAACGATAGACAAACAAATCAGTAAAGGACAAAGAACCGATACTAATATCCCTTGTTTGACCTACTCACCGCCAAATCTTGTCCATTATTTAAACTTACCTCATCTCCTTTAAAACTTGATTGAAATTTTAAATACTGCATTGATGGTGATAATGGTGAAATTCCGAGATTTAATAGATGAGATGAAAAAAAACATAGAAACAAACAACAAACGATCAAGTAAACTACTTAGAAAAAGGTGCTTATGATTGGAGTATTACTGCAATCTTGTTTGATCTAGGTGTTAGATAATAGACCGAAGTTCTCGTATATTAGTGGAACGGTTTGCAATGAGTCGTGGGTTAGAAGATTTCGAGAGGTTGAAGGGGGAGATGATTGAATTTACAGAGAAAGTTGATAAACATTTGGAAGATCGGAAAAGAACTGTTAAAGACGTGGTCGATTCTCATAAACGTGAGATTGAACAGTTGGTAGAGCAGAATGAAAAGCTTGTGATTCATTTGGAGTCGTTATTGAAAGAGCAGAGTTCATTGAAACACGAGATTTCTACATACGAGTCGAGTACCGATGAAGTTAAGACAAAAATGAAGATGGCACAAGTAAGGAAAGAACAGATAGAGAAAGAATTGAAGACGTTGATGAATGAGTCTAAAGAGCTGGACAGGATGTTGGAACAAAAACAACAAGAAATTGCCAAACGCAAAGAATTCTTGTCACAACAAATACAAAAGGACAACCCAGAGGTCAAAATATATGAAAAATTATTAGGAATGAATATAGATGCAACAAAACCATCTACACTCCGTTTCAGTTTCAATAATGTGCTGGAGACAGGATCAAATGGACTCAATATACTTCAAATTATACTGGACATCTCCGGAGATCAATATAAAGTCGTTGAATCATCGCCACAATTGACTCCAAATGCAACAGAAACTCTGGAAACCCAATTAAATAACACTAACGATATCCCAAGATTCCTAACGAACGCCAGATCACTACTACTAGAGGCATCGTCATCAACTTCTCATCAAGAGTAGTTGGACTATCAAATCTCCCATCTGTTTCGTGTAAAGTAACATCCAGTTCCGAGTTCGAATACTCAGATTTTAAATATACAAAGGAAATGACCAGATACCAACCACTATTTGATGATGAAGACAAAGAAGATAGTTAATTTTAGTTCATGAAGTTGTTGAATGTTGAGGAAGCAACTGTGCCAAGGGTGGTGGAGATTGTGCAGAGATTTGGGTTTTTGAATCGTTGAGTTCTGGGTCTCTCTCTATCTCTCTTTTTTTATTTCATTTTAAGTTTTGAAAATTTGGTTTTGGGAAATTAGTTTTATTTTATATCTTTTTGGGTACGATGATTTGGAAACGATTATTTTTATTGATAACGATTTTGGTTTATGTTCAATGTTCTCCAGGTGATAATTTAGATTCTTTTATTGATTGTACCGATACCTGTGAGATCAAGAGGAAGTGTCCTAATTCTGAGGCAGCTCGATGGGCAGATGTTGAAAAATCTCGATTTAAGAATCATAATTTTGATGAAACTCCATTTTTGTTGTCGACTTTCTTCTTCTGGGATTGTATATCGGATTGTGATTACCAATGCCAGCAGATTGTCACAAAGTTGAGGATTAAGAAGAAGCAGAAAATATTCCAATTTCATGGGAAATGGCCGTTCAAAAGATTGTTTACTTTCCAAGAAATGTTTTCAACGATTTTTAGTATGGGCAATTTTTTCCCACATTATCATGGTTATAGAAAGCTGAATGAAGCTATTACTTATAATAGGTTCACAGGGAAGGACACTAGAGGTTTATTACATTTGCGTAACTACTCGTATGTAGCAATTGCAGGCATGTTTGCATGGAGTGCGAGTACAATTTTCCATTGGAGAGATTTATTGATTACTGAAAAAATGGATTATTTCTTCGCCGGTATGACAGTTTTGATGGGGTTCCATGCTATTTTCTCCCGTTTCTTCAGACTAGACAGATATCCTACCATCGCAAAGGGGTTTTTCTGGACTGTTGCTGGTATTTTCACCCTACATATCTTGAGATTATATTTGGATTGGTCTTATACCTATAATATGAGATTCAACGTTTGCTTTGGATTGCTACAATATATCCTCCTAATCGCCGTGTCATATCAGAATTACAAAATCTTAACAAAGGACAAGAAATCCCCAACTGCTTATTTGCCATCTAGAGATCTAAAATTCAAATTATGTGCAACGCCAATTATTATGGTCACTTCAACTGCAATGGCAATGTCGCTAGAGTTATTCGATCATTTCAGCTGGAACTGGCAAATCGACTCCCACGCAATGTGGCACTTTTGCACAATTTGGCCATCTTGGATCTTATATGATTTTTTCTTAAACGATTACAATTACTTTATTACAAAGGAAAATGTAGATTAGCATTAATATTATAGTTTTACTTTAATCATTAGTACAAGTTAAGAATAGATTCAGAAATACATACAAATATAGATACAGATACACACAATTATATAGAAGTATATATAAATAAATATACACCATGAATTCTTAAGAAAAGTTTCATTTTCAAGATATGATCAGTAAGATTATCCAACAGAAATCCAATCTTTAACCAAAATTGGGCCATGAAAAAGGAAATAAACCATATAATCACATCAATTACAGTCAATAACTACCTCATACCAGGAATCAGCATTCATTGATACCTCATTCCTCTCGATCAATCATTAAATTGTGACATTGTTAGTTTTTTATGACGTTCATAAATATAGCAATCTTTTTTTCACAATTGGATATCGCTGTACAATGTAAAAAAAAAACATTATAAAAATGTTAACAGTTATAGTACACTTAAAATCAAGATCAAGTTGATTATCTTAAGGGATTAGGTATCAGTTTAACATCGAATATTGGTGTCAGAGGTCTGTATTAAGGGTACGTTACATTCGATTCTACTTGGACATTCATTTCCGAATAGCAAAAGAGATCAGATCAGTTGGATTTAGATAAATTGGTTTAACGATAAAATAAAAATACAACGATGGTCCCACCCCCAGTTGACCCTGTTCTTTTACGTGAACATAGTTTTCAAGATACTGGTAATTTGGTTACTGTGTTGAATCCAGATACCTTTTACCATACAGGATTTAAGTCCACTAGAAATTATGGTCTTGGTTATATGAATTACAATTTAGGTTTGAAAGACGATGTTTATGAAAAATCCTGGTTACATATATTTCGATCGCATATTTATGATAAATTCACACTGTATTTGATATTATTACTTTTGAGTGTCATCATATGGTTTATAATATTTTTAACAGATGTGGAATCAATTTCTGATTTGTTCCAATTGAGACACTCCAAAGGTTCTTTTAGGAGATATAGAAAGATGAAGGGCAAAGTTGATGAGGATGTGATCGAAGATGACAATGATATTGAATACCACCATGTTAAAGTATGATCACATATTTGCATCCTTGTCGAAGTATACACTGGAGAACAAATGTTTCGATGTATATTTTTGATTAAAAACAAAAGTCTGTATAATAAAGTTATTTACAAAATGTATAAAAAACGAATAATTAGAACTCCAACAACAACAACATTAATAATAATACTATGAACTTATTCCATTTTTTCAGAGACGTAATAATTCTATCAATGATAAAATTTATAAGATTGGTTTGCAATCGCTAACCCAAGTTTCGCTTTGCATTTCTGGTACAAGACTAATCACCTTACCGGTTTTCAATGCACTTTTAGAATTATCTACTACGTGGATCTCCATATTTCTTAAAGTTTCAACACAGTACGTACCCATGTGTGGTGTTGCAACAACCTGGGGCATATCCAATAATTCTTGTGGAACTTCAGGTTCATGTTCGAATACATCTAAACCTACAGATCTGATCTTACCAGTCTTTAAATGTTTAATCATTGCTTGCTCATCGATGACTGCACCACGAGCAGTGTTAACCAACACCACACCATCTTTCATCTTGTTGATTGCTTCTTCATTGACTAAATGTCTTGTATTTGCATTCAATGGGACATTAATAGAAATGACATCTGATTGAGCCAACAGTTCATTGAACGAAACATATTCACATCCATTCTCTAGTTCTGGAAAAAGTCTAGTTCTGTTATGGTAGATAAACTTTTTGAAACCAAAAGGTTGTAATCTTTTAACGATAGCACGACCTATACCACCTAAACCTAAGACACCCACGGTTTTACCTTCAGGATCATGACCAAAAGGAGCACCAGCACCAGCGCCAGATGAGGGCCATTTACCAGCTAATAAGTTACGATGACCATATTCAAAGTTTCTCAAAGCACCCAAAAGTAAGAAAACATGAACATCAGCTGTAGCTGCATTGACTACGTTTGGACAATGAGAAACTTGAATTTTTCTTTCTGTGAAGTATTGGGTATCAATTTGATCATAACCTGCACCAGTATGACATACAGCTATAACTGAATCTGGCAAAGCTGCAGCAATTTCTTTATCAAATCTACCAGTCTGCAAATAACTATGATAAGTTCTTGTAATTACACTAACTTTTGCAAATTTACCATTTGGATTTTTCAATTCTTTAATGAAATCTTCACGAGTGGTATCTGGATTTAAAGTCAGAACTTCCACAGTATCACTGAATTGATCCCAGACATCTTGTGCAAAATTAATATTCCCTAATCTTAATAAAACAGGTTTACCTTGACCGACCATTTCCCCCTTTTTAATAGCCCTCTTAATTCACTGAATTACTGTCCTTTCAAAAACACAATTGCAATTCTAAGAGTGATGGAATCCAATTCTTCTCTTTATATATAAGGAGTACAATTCTTAATGGATAGAAATTATACATCAAGCTGACTAATAAAATGCATATAGTTCAACAGAATCCAATTCTGATTAATCGGAATCCTAACCCATCAAGGAAAAAAAAAATAATAATTTATTCATGCAAGCATCATCATTCGGAATATTACTGCGACCATTACAGTCTTTGAAACAATTACATCGATTATAAACAGATATCAATTATTTATCGAACAAGAAGAACCTCTAATTCCTAAAGCAATCACTTGAACATATGAACCTCATCGATTTATTGTAGTTCTTTATAGCATTGTTACATCAGGGCCATTACATATATAAATATATATATATATTTTTTCAAAATTACGTCATTTTTAAAGATAATTTCGAGATTTCGAAAACCCAGTTACCCTGCTTTGATATAGGCGTCTGTATGCATTCAACTGCCGCTACCAAACAGCTCGAATCGGCCCACAATGCAATACAATACAATACAATAAACTGGTTAAAGATAATATAAACAAGATCCGTTGCTAACCTACTAGACGGGTTGAAAATAGAGGATGTCTACTGGTCAATTGCACCGATCAAAGTTGTCTTATCTCTTGACCTCGATTAAAGAATGGCAGCAAAGAGGGAAGCAGTCGAAAGTGTAGATTACATACCTACCAAATCACATCATCTAATGACACCTATGGTGATCAGATATTTGTGATCCTGATTTTCGTTGTAAATCGTGTTCTTGTTTCTTGCTTCCCTTTTGTTCCCCATCCACAAGCTTGTCTGGAAGTGAGCACGTGAGCACGACGACTCCAATCGGTACAATTGTCTTCGTCAATTTAAAGTATTTTTTGTGTCAGGACAACTTAAGAAGTATAAAAAGAGCAACGATATGAAGAAAATTGGGGGGACAAAAAAAGATTACAAATGTTCCTTTCTACCTTTGCCCTATTGATGGCGGCAAAAAGTAGACATTTAGGTATGCGTACCTGTTGGCGTTTAGGTTAATGTTGGTTGTGGCATGGTGCACAATAAATAAATATGGTATTTACTCTAATGATGGAGTAAATAAACTAGATTGAACCAAGAACACAAAAAGAATTTATAGCCGCTTTCACTTTTGATTCCATATTTTATTCTGAATCACGTGATAACATAAACTTTTACATGTTACCCTCTTTTAGCCACGTGATTGTTTAATAATTGAGAAGTCTAGTTTAAAAAAAACACAAGAACGTCAACAGAGAAATGTCCGCACCGTTACAGAAACTATTACAGATTTTACAGTTTTCGCATTTCCAATATAACCAGTTTTTCAAGCATATTCTGAAATTATCATTAGTATAGGAAATTTGTAGAAATTTATTAACGATGGCTCTAAAAAAAAATTGTAATACAGAAAATAGATACAAAGTTGCTGCTACAAATATGATATCAAATCGATTTGTTGTCTTACAAATAGATTACAGCGTCAATCATTAATACCAGGTAGCTGCTGTGACATTGCATTTTTAATTCAATAAAAGAATTGCAATTAGCTCCTGTGAATAATGTCGTATTCTAAAGGAGCAACTCCCAAGAGTGGGCCATCTCAATTATCTGTATTGGAGGCAACGTCAAATTTTCGTACATTTAAGATTGCTCATCAACGTGTATCATTAGATGTGGATTTAGCAAAACATAGTATTAAAGGTACTGCAGAAATTATTTTGATACCACTGATACCAAATTTAGAGTATGTCACTTTGGATTGTAAAAATATTAAAGTTAACGATGTTTTGATAGAAAATAGACGTTGTGATAATTACATTCATGACGATCCATTAAGAAGTTTTGCGCAAAAATATTTGAATTCAAATAATGATATGTTATATACTTATAATTCAATTGAACAATCACATTTTTTAAGGGAAAAATTTGCAGATTTAAATGAGAATCCAGAAGATAGAACAAAATCCCAATTAACCATTAAAATTCCTTCGTCAATTAAAATAACATTACAGGATGCCAATTCATTGGCGAATTTCACTCCAATCACACCTTCAATTCGTGGAACCCCTGCTACCCAAGAATCTGTCTTCACTCCAATTACAATCAAAATAGGCTATGAAGTCAATAACCCAACTACAGGGGTGCGATTTGATACCCCTTCAGACACTCAACAGCATTTATGGAACGCTTATACTACTAATTCAGAATTATGTGCCACTGCTACTCACTGGATGCCATGTATCAATTCTTTAGATGAAAAATCAACTTGGGAAATTGAGATTAGTGTGCCAAGGAAAGTTAAAGATATTGGTACAACTAAAATTATAGGTCAAGAAGCTGAAGAATCAGAGAATCCTCCTTTGCAAAAAATAAAACTGAGGACAGAATCGCTTTCAACCACGACTCAAAACAACAAGGCTTCAGGGAACGTAGAGGAAAACTCAAAGCAAGATGCGAAAAAGGTATCAGATAAAAAGGATGAAGAGATTCAACAAGATTTCAACCAAGAAGATAAACTAAAAACTGAAAATGAAGAACCAATTGAAAAAGATGATGGAATCAATAAAGGAACTGAAAAATTACAAAGTGAACCAAACAACGAAGAAGTAGTGAAAGAAGAGACAGATGAAGGGGAAGAGGAAGAGGAAGAGGAAGATGAAGAAGAGGAAGAAGAAGAGGACGAAGAAGAGGACGAAGATGAAGATATGTTAGATAAAGAAGATGAAGATAACCCATTAAATAGAGATATTGTCGTATGTTGTTCAGAATTTTCAACAGTCAAAGAATCTGCTCACCCAATAGATTTATCAAAAAAGTCATTTACTTTCCAACTGTTCAATCCAGTAGCACCACACCATATCGGTTGGGCAATTGGTGCATTCAATGTTTGGGAATTGCCTTCCATTACTAGTCGTGAAGATGTATATGATGAAGAACAAGAGGAAACTGAAGAAAAGAAAAATGGTAAACCAGGCAGCAATGAAGCTTCAGAAATGATTGAAAACATAGAAATGACAGATGAAACACCAATACAGGTATACACTCTGCCGACAGCAGATGTCGATGAGGAAACAGTATTAAACTCAACTATCGTGTGTCAGAAAATTTTAGACTTCTATTCGAAAGAGTTTGGTTCATATCCTTTTACTTCATATTCATTAGTTTTCTTGCCTACTGTAGTCGATCCAACGATGAACTTCGCAAGTATGACGATTTGTAATACTCGTTTATTATACCCTAGGAAAATTATTGATCTAATGAAACCAACCACTGACTTTTTAGCATGGTCATTAGCTGTTCAGTGGTCAGGTGTAAATATTACCCCCTTAGAAGATAATGACATATGGTGTTGCTTAGGTATGGCAGGATATATGGTTTTCCAACTTTGGAAAAAATTAATGGGTAATAATGAACTGAAATATCGTTTGAAAATGTGCAGTGAACGCATTGTTGAGCAAGATTGGGAAAAACCTCCAATTGGTTCGACGTTTACAAATGCATCAAGACCTATTTCATATACTAGCAAAGATCTAGATTTCATTAAACTAAAGGCTCCCATGGTACTATATATTCTAGATCGTAGAATGACCAAAACTGAAAGATCCTTTGGTATGTCTCGTGTATTACCAAAGATTTTTTTACAAGCCATGTCTGGCGATCTTCCAAATAATTCATTATCATCAGCACATTTTCAACATATCTGTGAACGTGTGAATAAAAATAAATTAGAAAACTTTTTTCAACAATGGATATATGGTTCTGGTGTTCCAATTTTCCGTGTTACACAAAGATTTAACAAAAAAAGAATGGTCGTTGAAATGGGTATTCGCCAATGTCAGGCCCAAGAATTGGGATCAGGAAAAGTTACAGGTTCTTCTGGTTTCTCCTCAAGTGCTTTGAATTTTCTAGAGCATCCAACTAGGGAAATGGCGCCACATTTTTCTGGTTCGATGACAATAAGAATCCATGAGCCCGACGGAACCCCATACGAACATATTGTTGAGGTTAAGGATGTGTTCACCAAACTTGATATTCAATATAACACTAAGTACAGAAGGTCGAGAGCTCGAAAACCTCTTGGAGCCAGATCCAAGAAAGAAAATACCCCAGAAGTCTCCAATGATATCAATGAAAAATACCATGAACGCGACAACAATACAAACATTCAGAAATTAGGTACAGTATTAACTTCACCGCAAGATTGTTCGGAATGGAATTTGACTGATATTAGTGTTTCAAGTGAAGGTCATGAACTACAAAGACAAGGGGAGGCTTTTGAATGGATCAGAATAGATTCTGATTTTGAATGGATTTCGAAAATATATATCAATCAGCCTGATTATATGTTTACATCTCAATTACAACAAGATGGGGATGTAGAAGCTCAAATTGAGAGTATCAGATATTTTGAGGATGTTGTGATGAGCTCTCAAAACAATTCCAAGCTATATTCTTCGATATTAACAAGAACCATTGTTGATTCGAGATATTTTTATGGTGTTCGATTGGAAGCTTGTAGAGCTTTATCAAAATTTGTGGTTAGAGATAACGAGTCTTTAAGCTTCCGTGGTGGTGCTCAGCATTTAATTAAAATCTATCAAAAACTTTTCTGCTATGAAAATTCTAATATCCCGTTAAACAATTGTTTTTCTGACTTCAAGAGATATTATGTTCAACAAAGTATACCTCAAAATTTATCCAATGTAAAAGACGAAAGGGATGAAACTCCTGATTTTATTAAAAGTTTTATAATAGACCTTTTGACATATAACGAAAATACAGGAAATCCCTATGATGATACTTTTTTTGTATGTACTTTGATCAAAGCTGCTGTCAAATGTGCGATAAACTCTCCTAGTGACACTAACTTTATCGGAAAGCTACTGGAGCAACTTTATAGATATGAAAGTCTCGACAAATGGACACCAACCTATCAACTGCTAATAACAAATACCATTTTGTCAGAGAAATTAAAATTGAATAGCAAGAAGTTAGATAGGTTTGAAGATCTCAATAGTATTTTGTTGTATACACTTTCTCCCGATGCTTTGAATTTTAATTCTGATGCAATTAGAATGCGTGAAGGTTTGGAAGATATTCAATTGGTTGCATTCAAAATTTTATTGGTAGAAGGTGGGTTAAAAAATAGGGAAGCCTTGAAATATTTATTCGAATCTCTGTGTTTTTCTCCTAACATCTATATCAGAGACAAATTGATCGATGTTTTATATGAAGCAATCGATTTTGTAGCTGAAAACGGAATAATTGACAATTATGACGATGACATAGAATACATGGTAGGTAAGATCAGACCAGATTCTAATTTGATAGAAGAAGCAGAAGATGATGAAGATGACGAGCATCACCCAATCGTTCAGGAAGATTTTGCAGAAGAAATAGAAATAAGAAGAGAAACTAAACTAAAGCAACATATGGGGGGGGTAATGTCACTAATTAGAAAACAATTTGAAAATTACTATCCATTAAAGCAATTGATGTGGCAAACCCTGCATATGCCTGGTATCTCTCTATACCAGAGGAAAAGACTGTTCGACCTTTCTAGAATATTATTTATTTTAAGAGATGGTTTCCAAGTGATATTACCTATTCCAAGAGAGCGAAAATTAGTGGCTAAGAAAATTAATGAACATAAAATTGTAATCAAGAGAGAAGGTTTGTTAAAACTTCACATTACATCAAAAGTTAAACAGCCTATGTTGCCTACCCCAGATATTATCGCTCAAACACCTGCGTCAACGGCTCCACCGGCAAATAAAGTCAAAATTAATTTGAAAATTGCTACCAAGCCTAAAAAAGCTGTATCTGCGCCTGCTAAAGGTAAACCAAAAAAGGGACAAGTTCACAAAGTTGGTGTATTGCCTATTAGATTTGTAAGGATCCATACAGGACAGCAAAAAAGAGTTGACCTATCTTCTGTTCCATATAGCAAGCACGTCGAGATCTTAAAGGCAAATTCTCGTACACTGTCAATTAAAATAAAAATTCCAGGCAAGAAAATTTCAAGCAAGGTAGTTCCTTCATCATAGATGAAATCATCGTCAAAATAACATATATATATATATATATAAATGAATGCATAAACTTGTAATAATAGCATAATATATTTTTCCTAGGAATATATGTCAATCATTACTTTCCCTCTCATTTATCGCTGATTGGCGGTTCATCCTTTCAAATCACCAGATCACGTGATTAGAAATATTGATGAAACATATTCTTTTCAAGGTAATTATGTACGAAGATGCTTTCACTTATAGCGTCATATCGGAATTGGTAAGAACTGAACTATATGAAGCTAAATGGATATATTTAAATCAAGATGAGATGATACCTTTTTAAGTCTTAGGGGTCTCTCTAGCCATACCACATGCCACCATTCAAATGATTAATACCATTTTGATATGTTTGGGCTTAATCTTCAGTATCATTTCAGCGACAAACTCTACTGGAAATGAAACGGACTATTTAAAGCATCGACAGAATTTATCTAACCAATCTAATCATACTACTTGGGAAAATATACAATCATTAAGCAATATTAGTAGTATTGATATTGGGGTTAATAATGGGTCTGTGCCAGTTGATGCCTCAATAAAACATCAATCTAGCAGCCTTGTTGCTGTACCTACCTTGAATTCGTTACGTTGTCCTACTATTCAAGTCGATAAACCTGATCAAACTGTTTCAAATAATCTTACTACAAATTTGGATAATAAAACAGATTCAAATAGTACATTTTTATCATTTAATGAATGGAGAGAAGCTAAGCTTAGTGAGATTCCATCTATACTAGATAGACCATTAAAGACAAAGGCCCCAGTTGATGCCAGCTGTTACAAAGAAAATAATGTTATAGGAGAAGAAATGGAAATAGATGTAGGGGTATTCACTGATTCATCTGATGAAGATGAAAAAGAAGATGGGCCAGCTGTAAAAATATATAAGGACAAATTTAATTATGCTTCTATTGATTGTGCGGCAACTATAATGAAATCTAATTCTGATGCTATTGGTGCCGGTTCAATATTGATAGAAAATAAAGATTCATATTTATTGAACCCATGTTCTGCACCTAATAAATTTGTTATAATCGAGTTATGTCAAGATATCTTGGTAGAAGAGATAGTGATGGCAAATTTTGAATTCTTTTCGTCGACCTTTAAAGATATTAAATTTTTAGTGTCAAATAGGTATCCTGTTTCTAAGAGTGAGTGGAAAACGTTGGGTACATTCCAGGGAGAAAATTCAAGAGATATCCAAAAGTTTAAGATTGAAAACCCTCAAATTTGGGCAAGATATTTGAGAATTGAAATACTATCACATTATGATGATGAATTCTATTGTCCTATATCGATTGTAAGAGTTCACGGTAAAACTATGATGGATGAATATAAGATGAGCAATATTAAAGAAACGTCTGAGGATGCCCCTTGTATTGAGAATTCTGAAGAAGTCAGTTTGAAAGAAACGACCATTGTTGAAAATTGTGATCCATTACCTGATATCCCGCCAGAAAATATAACTGATATATCTAACTTATCGAAAATGTCTGGAATATGTACTTCACAAATAGTACCGTTAAAATTCGATCAATTTTTGATGGATTTCAACAATAGTTACTGTCCACCAAAGGCGACTAAAGATATGCAGATTACATCTTCCTCTGTTTCTTCAAGTTCCACTGAAGAATCCATTTTTAAGAATATTATGAAGAGACTGAGTATCCTTGAGAATAATGCTACGTTAACTGTTTTGTACATTGAAGAGCAAAGCAAGTTGCTTTATAAATCGTTTGAAAAATTAGAAAAAAACCATGCAACGAAATTTTCTGACTTAATTGGAATCTTCAATGCAACAGTAGTCAGCAATTTGGATGCTTTGGGAGATTTTGCAAACCAGTTAAAAGAACAGTCATTAAAAATCCTGGAAGAGCAAAAATTAAATAATGATCATTTCACAACACAAACAGAACACAGGTTGAAAAGAATGGAAAACCAACTTGGATACCAAAGGAGATTAATTTATTCAATGTTGTTTTTCGTAGCTGGGTTGGTGTTGTTCCTGATTTTAAACAAAGAGATAACCCTTGAAGATGACAACGACGGTAATGACTGGATTATTACTGCTCCGCCATTGGAAAAATTAAAGAAATTTAATAGCTCTATGAGCTCTACATATAAAGAAGGGATGGGTACGGAGAAAACCTTATTCAGAAGTCCATCAAACTCTTCACTTTCTGCATCGTCGATCATAGAACCGTTGCCAGAAGAGAATGACAGCAATAGCAATTACAATAGTGATATCGATGAAAATGTATCTAAGTCATCACAATCCGAAGACAATGTGAACGACCGAATAAATGAAACTTTAAAATTATCAGATATCGCTAAAGAAGACTTGATGGACGAGGAAGATATGGAATGGGAGTTTTGAAAATCAGTTCACCTCCTTTAACATCTAAGAAACAAGTCATCATTATCATACTCTCTCTTCTCTTAGTCACCTTATGAAGCAGGAGAGAAAAAAAATCCGCATAGTTCATTGGATAAAGACTTCCATCACTAAAGTGAGAGAGGTAAACCAATAACGCATAATCAAAAACATAGCATAAACATGACAACATCTAGAATATAATTCCTGTTCTTTTGTCAATATTATCCAATATGTCAGTGTTATTTCTAACACACTCAAGAATAAGAATTTTATTTTTCCTCTTTATTTATTTTTTATCTTTTTATTTTTTGCTCTAATGGCACAATTCTAGCTTTGTTGCATAAAACAAACATATACTTGGCTAGCATTTTTATTCACGCACACATGTGCAATTCACACATACACACATATCATCCCCATTATAGATCATATCACCCACCAATTCTCTTCTTAGGAATTTATAATCATTTGCATATATAACAATAAATAGAACTTCATAATCAATTTAACGTTTAGTTTCAAAATTTTAACATCAAGAGTCCTTCAATTAGAAAGGGAGAATCCAACAGTGACAAGATTTAATTTGTGACACAAAGATTTTTGTAACGATATATAAAACGGACTAATATTCATTAGATTAGTTTATTGCAATTATCTAACACTTTCCAAAGAGGCCATAGTGTCAGATATAGGTTATAAAACTTCCAGTGACACAATTTAAATATTTGTTTGATACTAATGATGAAATCGACTGCGTTTACTGTGACAGGATTGTTCTGTTGGTCGATATTGGGATTAGCGACAGCTCATGAATATGTTGTACAATTGACGTCTGAAACGTCTTTAAATTCATTTTTAGAGAGTAACTCTTTGAATAATTTGGATGAGCCAGTTGACAAGATCGTTATTGGAAGTGATTTTCACGGGTTTTCAGGTGAATTTGAAGATGAGGTAATGTCTGAATTGTATGGCGACCCTAGGGTAGCTTCGATTTCTATTGATAGAATGCTTTATTTACAAGAATACTTGAGACAGAATGACGCACCAGAACATTTAGCAAGGTTATCTAATGGTGTTTCTAATTCTAGGGTAAGTGCCAAAAACGAAAATGCATTTATTTTCCATTCTCATGCGGGGATTGGTGTAGATGTATACATTGTCGATTCAGGAATTGATAGCCAACATCCTGCTTTTATGAATAGACATATAAGTAAATTGATCGATTTAACGGATAATCCAATTCCTGTTGGCGATCCACATGGTCATGGTACTGCTATTGCAGGTTTAGTGACATCTGATACTTTTGGAGTAATGAAAAAGGCAAATTTATTTGATGTCAGAGTTGTCGATGCCGAATCAAACGGCGTGAAATTGTCAAAACTATTGAAATCATTGGAATTTATTGAAAACCATTCTAGAGCTACAATGAGACCATCTGTTGCGGTTTTACCATTTTCAATGAGCAAAAATGCAATTTTAAATTCTGCAATTGAAAGTATGCCAAATTCAATTGCCATTGTTGTACCTGCAGGTAACCAACATCATATGGCTTGTAATTTCAGTCCAGCAAGTGCAAGAAACTCACAAAGCATCTTATCTGTTGGTTCATTAGATTACAGGAGTAGCATTGAAATTGCGTCATTTTCAAACTATGGCGAATGTGTAGACGTGTTCACCTCTGGTGTACAAATGGATACATTACATGCAACTACAAATTCTGACGAAAATTATATCAGCAAAGTTTCAGGTACGTCAATGAGCTGTGCCATTGCTGCAGGTACAGTTGGTTACTATATGTCACTTGGCTTATCAAGTGTAGAAGCAATCGAAAAAATAAAATCGGCAAAGGAAATCCTAGTCTCAGGGGAAGCAATCAAAGAGCTCAAATTAACACTATAATGGGCAGTTTCTAACCGAATCCAATACGTAACCTGTTTTGTTCAAATACAATTCACTATATAATATAGTATACGTTTTAATGCTATCATTTAAAAATATTCGAAGTCACATGACTAGAACTTTTCTCTTGCATAGAAATTTTAATATGACGAATTCAGAGGAAAAAATGTGACGCGTAAAGTTGAATAAATTTAATTTAGATAAAAACACGAAAATTTAAAGGATTGAATCTCATCTCATTGAATTATAGACTTTAAATAACTAGACCATATAACCCCCATTATAAATTTTCTAACTCAGAGGCACCATTTAGATATTTAATCTGACTGATAATTGGTTATCTGTACGGTTTACAAGAAAGTGTGCTAAGACTCATAAGATAGATCAAATATTATTTATTGGAGAGATACATTAATAAAATGGAACAGGATGCAGAGGTTGTAGCCCCACAAACTATTTTAAGAGCCAGAATTGCTCTATTGTCAACTGCCATTGGTGGTCCTGATTATAATTCGAAGTTAGTTCCTCCACCTTACAAGTTAGGTGATGATTGTTTAGCTTGTTTGAAAGATTTGAAAAGATGGTTTAAACTAGTGGATGATCAACAAAATAGATGGGATGTTGCAATGGCAACTGCAGAATACAAGATTCTAGTCGATGACTTATTACCTATACTAATTGATTGGGAAAATAAATGTTCACTGGCTGCAAAACTAAACAAACAAAGTGGTGGTTCAGGGAATGAAACTGTTAGTCAAAATAATCATTTTAAAAATAAAGCTTATCATGATAAAATTGCGTTGAATTGTCTTCAGCTATTGGTTTTAATGACCTGGCCTTTAGTATTAACTGATCAATCCACTTCAGATCAAGTAAATTTTTATTCAGATTTAAAGAAACATCAACTTATATATAAAAAGGCAATTCTCACAATGGAGAATGGTAAAACGTTAAAAGCGGTTTTGAGATTAGCATTTGACGTAATAAAGCTAGATCGTTTACACAGAACAGCAAGAGATAACATGGTGCTGAAATTAGTACTGCACTTTTTTAGAAACGTAATAGCGATAGAACCTGGAGAATTGACCATTACAACGAAAAAACGTTCAAATAAAGGTATAAACACAACTGATACTTTACCACCAAATATATCTTTAGACGATATTTCTTTAGATGCAACTATAAATTCTTTCCATAGGAATAAAGTATTCAATCTATTCTTGACAATGGGTAGCTCTATCTCAACAGAATTCGATCAAGATTTCATTAACCTTCCTCTATTAGAAATTATGTTTTATTTAACCAAAGATGTGAACCAAACTAAATTATTAACTACAGGCAAGAGAGATAATAAAGACTTGAATGAAAAAGATAATGATAGGAATGACAACAGACATTTAACCATAACTGGCGTGGAATTATCAGATTTATTAAAAAAAGAACACCAATTAAAGAAACATATGATACAGAACACATCATCTAGACATTCAAGATTTGGTGCCTTGTTATCAATTAAAACTCCTGATAATGGAAGATTAACAGTTTCAGGTGGCCAAAGTTTACATAACGATGGTATGGCATTACAAAAATTAGACAATAGGAAAAAATGGAATAAAAGAGTAATGCAAGATAGAGACAACCTGATTATCGAGGGTTTACCTAATAACCTATTAAACTCAAATTCAAATGCAGCAGTTCTTCATGAACAAACAAGGAAACACTTCAGAAAGTTTGTTGAATATTTCATTGATTCAAGTTTTGACAATTTACTAAAAAGTATCACAAACCATTTTACTACCGAACAAGATAGAATGGTGAGCTTAGAACAGATTGAATATTTGCTCTTCTTTTCATGGTTTGTAAAGTTTCAAAGGCTTCGATGCCAGATTAATAAAGATTCTAAATTATCTGATATATCTTCTGTCTACAATGAAACATCATTCATCCTGATGTGCTCTTTACTAAGATCCAGTTATGACGAGAAGAATTGGATTGTACTTCACGCATCTATGATTGCTTTTAATGAATTTTTGATCTTTACTTATGATTCAAAAGATTCTGATGACGTTGAGGAAATAGAATACATTTTAAGTCGATTATTCAGTGATGATAGGATCCAATTGTTAACAAATTTACCAAAAATTGCATCAAAACATTCTGTAAACTTCATGAAAGCTGCCATTACATTAACACATTCAGTATTAAAGACACTACAAGAATACTCAGAAGATGAGAATGGATTGGTTGTTGAAGGTAAAAAGAGAAGGAAAAAGAAATCTAATAACTTTGCCACTGAAGATATTCAAAATGCAATGGAAACTTATGACATTGGAAGGGATGAAGCACTGGAAATGTTATCATCCTCTACTGCGTCAGTCCAAGTAAATTTTAAAAGAGTCCAGAATAGTTACATGACAGAATCAGTCATGGATACTTATGTTAAATTTTTGGAAAGATTTAGAGAATTGGACGATGACAGTATCAAAAAAGTATTTTCTTTCTTTTATAGAGTTTCAGTTGATGCAAGAGAAGAGTCATTACTATTTAGAATTGATCTAATAATTTTATTACGTGATTTATTGTCCAATGATGGGGTACCAAGGATGTATAAGTCTAGAAAACATATTGATAATTTTACGGAATATCTATTGTCTAAATTAAAGAAAAGACTTAAGGAATCTCCAGCTTGGTATGTGGCAATCCTATTTCCATCATTACATGATTCCGAGGTTGGATATTATCAAAAGTATTGTGAAAAGAGACAATCAAAGAAAGATACGTTCCATGGTGCCCCTCCAAGTTACTTCAGATCAATTCCAGATCAAGAAAGTTTAGAACCTGCTGCACTTAAAGATATACATGTTGGTATTTTAGTATCAACATTAATCGATGATGGTAAGCTCGAATTAATAGAGAAGTTAGTACAAAATCTCTCTAAAACTATTGATATATTTAAGTCTTGGATTTCAGTTAATGTAAACGATGGAAACGATTTACAGAATCCACCAAATGAAATTTTCAATTCTAATGACGATAACTTAAAAGAAGCTTTAATATTAGATAAAGATTTCAGGGCTCTTTTACAATTAGTTGGGTATAAGATTCCATTAAATAGAGAAGATACTTGCTACCTTCCTGGAGATTTAGATGTTGTACAATTATCCGAATATTTATCCATGATAGAGAAGTACATGTCAACTCCATTCCAAACTCCAAATGGCCAACCTTCATCTTCATATTTAGTTAGGCCAAAAGCAAACAGGCAATTCAACAATATCGATGATGAAGATGGTTGGTTATCTAACGAAGAATATGATTACAACGAAGATGGCATTGTTCGTGATGAAGATGCCGATGCAAATGAAGACAATGATTACTTTAAGGATCTAGATTCTATGAAAGAGAGGACAGAAGGAAGAAATATGAGTAAAGGTTTAGCAAAGTCAAAGAAGAAATCTAAATCAAAGAAGAAAACATCAAAAAGTAATTTACCATCATTTGATATCGACAATGATGATACGACAGGTAGGAAGAAACATAGATTGACAATTTCAAGCAAAGAATTTATTAGTGATTCTGAGGATGAAAATGATGATATAAATCCAATCTTTTTTGAGAATGAGATGTACATGAGGTGGCTATTAGACAAACATAATGGCCAACTTCCTGAAGAGAAGTTTGCATTATTTGGGAAGTTTACAAGCGAAAGAATTGCAAATTCAGGATCCATCATAAATGATTATTCGTCACTTTTCGGAGGTGCTATACCTGATATAAGCTCCATCGGTAACAATCAGAATTCGTCCACACAACCAGACAGGTCATTAATTTCATTTTCAAATAAAATTGATACACCGCCTGTTAGGACAGAAAATAGTCAATTAAGTAATGATGAAAACATTACAAAAATGATGCCAGAAATGAATAATAAAGATTCGTCTGACGAAGAAATTGAAGATTTATCTAACTTGGACACCGACCTTTCTGACGACGATGTAAATAATTCTGATGATAACTCCTCTTTAAGTTCAAATGAGGATACAGAGGCAACTGAAATTACACGAACAGATAGAACTAGTATCGAAACTTCAGTAACGGAACAAGACATGAATGACAATCTTGTCACTGGGAAACTAATCTCCAAAAGATCACATGAGAGGAACTATTCCGATGATGAGGAGTCAATGGAAGACATATCCATTCCTAGAAAGAAGGCAAGAATCCTAATGGATGTAGACGATGACGATGATGAGTAAAAAATGTGTCGTTACATTTTGTCTAACAGATATATTACCAATATATTAAATCTATAACAGTAATGTTGATAAATAATACATACTTTAAATCATTTTATAGAACTGTTTATAAAAATGCAATTTACATTCAAGGTAAACAAATTATTTAAAAAATAGTGTGAACTAACGCTTTTTGTTTTTCTTCTTATTCTTATTCCTCTTCTTCTTATTCTGTTCATTCTTTGTTTCTTCAACCGTAGTTCCCTCATTTTCAACAATAGTACTAGTTTCTTCTTCGACTTGTTCGTCATTATCAACAGAATGTTCTTCAGACGCTTCTTCATTAATTACAAGGGACTCTTCAGCCTTAGGTTGCTCAACTTGTAGATTACTAGGAACTACTTTTTCAGTATCTTCATCGAAATTTTGTTCTTTTAATAGTACTTTATCTTCTACCTTACTTGTTCCAATGAATTCTTCATTTTGGACTTCTTCTACAATGTGAATTGGTACAGCGTGCTCATCTTCAGGAGTCAATGGAGATTGCTCTTCATCAACTGTTTTGACTATATCTTCAGCAATTTCTAAGTTTGATTCTTCTTCTTTTAAATTTTCAGCAATTTCATGGGTTTCTTGAATTTCAGTTACTTCTGCTTCGTTTTTCAATTCATCATCATTCGCAGTAACTTCAGATTCTTGAACAATATCAATTATTTCTGCTGATTCGCCCACAGTGCTTTCATCCTTTTCAATAGTTTCTTCCTCTGGTGTTAAATCATTTTCTTTTCCTAGAACAGGTTCAGTTTCAGAATTTTCAAACCCAATTGATTCTGTATCATAGTCATCCAAAATATTTCCCAAATGATTTTCAGTTTCAGTTTCAGTTTCACCCCCATCATTAACCTCTGCATTAGCAGGAACTGCATCTTGAATAGTACTCTCATTCGTTTCAAAATCGAAAGGCTCATCGTCTTCATTATCACTTGGTTCAACAGATTCTCGTACTGAAGTAAAAGATTCTTCAGAAGTATTATTAATATTTGCCAAAATTTGCTGATCTTCCAATTCAGTACCATTTTGATTGGATTCTGATAATTCTGGTCTTAATTTAGTGGTCACAGCATTATCTGTATTCCATATCCCGATGTGAGCCCAATGCAACATAGAACGTAATTTAGATAAGTGGACCCATGCTCTTTGAATATTAGTAGTAGGCAAACCAGATTGATCAACTACACCTACCGAAGTTTCACTTTTAGTAGTAGTAGTATTTGAAATGGAACTAATTCCAAAACCGGCCATAATGCTTCTTCTTTTCATTAGTTTACTATCAAATTTTTCCTCGATCTTCGATTTTGAAATACTTGATGTGGCAGCTGTGACACTAGAAAATTTTTTAGAGTCCCCCTTGGCAATTGTAGACAAAGTAACTTTCTCTAAATTCCAAGCTCCCAACTTCAACGACCTTAAAAATGCAAATATTTCGCAAGTTTGTCTAACTTTTATTAGACACATCTGACATAACGGGAATTGATTAGTTATAGATAATGTATTATCTTCATTTTTGGTTTGTGTCTTTAACATATACATCCTAGCATGCTCTAAGACATCATTTCTATTCTCTCCACAAAAAGCACAAGGTTCATGAACTGCAATTGGTGGCGAGTTTGAAGGATATTTGAAGAGATGATCATTCTTAGATGTGAGCTTTGGATCGTTATTTGAGTTTACATTTGATACTGGAGCAGAACTTGAAAATCTGTAGTTTTCGTTTACACCACTCAATGGTTCTATTACAACTAAACCTTCGATCATTAGATTCATCAAAGTTCTTTTCACTATCCATCCTAGCCCAGAAGCATTGTCTAGCCTTAGTACAGGTTGGATTTCATCGTTTATCAACCTTCTTAATAGTTTTGATTCCGATGTAGTATGCTTAATGGATTCACAGAATGGTAAAACTGCGATGAATTTTAAAAATTCATTATACAAGTATAGATCGTAACGAACAGCAGGTACTTTTGGAGTATATATAGCGTTGCTCAATAAGTCTATATTTGTAGTTGAATTTGAGGTAATTGTTTTCTTTAATGAAACTGAAGAGGAAGAAGCCGACGTTGTTGATATTAAAGAATTTCTATTTGAAACTGCAATATTTGCAGGATCATTTTGTAAATCATGCAATACATTTTTCAAATTCTTCAATTGTAAATTCATTGTCTCTAAAATTGTATCCTTTTCATGTAACATTTCAACTAACTTTCTATTTTTTATATCAATTTCCTGAGCACCTCGTCTAGCATCTGCCACCATATTATTAGCTTCATCAAACAAAGACGCTGTTAATTCTTCAACTTCTTTGTTCAACTCATCAACTTTCTGTTCAGCCGATAATCTTAACTTATGTTCTTCCTTTGATTCATTCTCTAGTTTAGCAATCTTAACTTTAGTTACGTTAAAATTCTTATCTAATTGATCATATTTTACTTTTAAATCATTATACTGTTCGATAGCAGTCTGTTGCTCCATTATAGTCCTCCGAGAACGCTGTAGCTTGTCTTCCAATTGAGTTTGTTTATTAATACTCTCCATCAATTGTGTAGATAGCGTCGTTAACTGAATAGAGAACCTCTTGGACTCATCGCTTGAATCCTCCATCGTTCGAATCTCAATAGCCTAGATAACTACAAAAAAAACAACACACAATCCAATTAGATCAACAAGATACTTAGAAAGTTCAATCCCACAGATCACAATCTATTTTAATTCAAATCATTCTTTTAGTAGTTACTATTACCTTTGATCTGTTTATTATTTATTAAAAAATGGCCTTTAAATAGTAATTTGACAATATTAAACAAGAGATATCATAATGAACGAGGTGGTATATACGATACCATTAAATAAATCCAAACCGAACCAACGAACTTGACCTGAATCAGTCCAAGTAGTTGATGATAGTTACCAATAGACTGGACTAAATCAACAAACAAATGGACAAACGTTGTCGGAGGGATGATGTATTGTTTATCGTATTTGTTTCATTCTTTTTTTAATTACAAACCTTTCTTCTTTTGCTTCCTTCTCGAAATTGTAAGATAGGAGGAGGACGGGGGAAGATGAAGGAACAGGGAAGGGGGTGGGAGAAAAGGGTGGAGGATTAAGATGAGATACTAATGAAACCTGATAGAAGTCCAGCATTTATTATTATAAACTTTCGTCCTTTGAAGGAATTGATTCCTCTTGATTTGGTTCCTCTTGATTTGGCGCTTCTTCGTGTGGCCCCTCTTCGGTTATACGTGCATTCAATATTTCTTCAGGTTCCTCATTTGCTGTCGTCATTTCGTATTCAGTACCTTTAGATTCTGATGGCGATGTTGAATGTGACTCTTCATCAGTAAAAAACAATTTATTGCTGGAAATCGATTCGGTTTGTGTTCTTCTTCTCGATCTCCTTGCTTTAAGTTTTTCCTTTTGTTCTTCTAATTGAGAATTTCTCTTCATATTTTCAGATCCTCTTAATTCTAATAACAATGCTTTAGCTCTATCTGAGATAAATTCATCTTCTGCAATTCCGTCAGCAGTACTTTCTTTTGTAGGAGAAACACTGGCCAACACAAGGTCTGATTTACCTGATGGAGTAGGCGATGCCAAATGGATGTCATTTGGTCCTTCTTGAGTCGGCGTGTTGGGTGAATAGACAATGGAATCATCTCCTGTATCTATGTCTTGCAAAATATGAGCTGTAACTTCCTTGTCTGTTAACAATTTCTTCCTCACTAATGCCCTCTTACGTGCCGATGATGGATCAGCTTTGCCAGGTCCTGCATTCTTCAATTTTTCGAGCAATTTATCCATCATAGCTCTTCTGTCACTTTGCTCCTCACCAGGTTCGCCCTCAACTTCTCTCGAACGTTCTTCTTCCAAGTCCTGTTTATGTTGCTGTTCTTCAATCATACGCTTATGTTTCTCATATGCTCGTTCTTCTTCTTCTTGTTTTAAATTTTGTGATTGAGCTTTCTTATATTCAGTAATGAAATCGGCAAATTTCTTGAAGAATGAATTTTTAGCAAACTTGTCTCCAGCATCTTCACCATATTTCTTCATTAAAGCTTCAAATTCCATAATGGTCAATTTAACTTCATCAGTCAACAAACTACTCTTTTTAGCAGCCTCTGGAAGAACAGGTAATACTTTGGTCAACACTTTATCTGATGGATGAAATTTACTCGAATCACTTAAATTACCTATTTCAAGAGATCTTTCCACATTAACTATGGACTGCGAGAATTCATTACAATCACTAATTAACTGTTCAACAGATAACTTAACAACATCTAAAACAGGTTCAAGATCATCAATAAAATCATTGAATGAAGGATAATTGTCCCTGACAATTTTTTCAACATAATTCAAAAATGTCATACTATTTGTAGCGTCTTTGATAAAAGTCAATCTTTGCAAAGTGCTTAGTTTAAAACCTTGTGCTTGCTTTGATGTATCATTCATATAATTACCAACCGCTAAAATCACGTTAAATACATTCTTCAAGTTTTCTGATCTTTGAACTGCCCCTACGGCTTTATCAACTTTTCTCAATTTGGTAACTAATTCATTGTACTCCCTTTCATATGACGTGATTACTTTTAGGGCTCTCATACGAGAGGCCCAATAGGATTGCAAATTAACCATCAATTGTAAATAAATTTGATCAGCTCTCTGTAAGTCATTTGGATCCTTCTCTGGAACTTTTGCATCTTCAATGATTTAACCCCCTCCCAGTCAGTAGTATATGGGGCATAATTTCTTGCTAAATTGACTGATACTTCAACGATTTCAGATTTAGCTAAGAACTCAATAACACTTGGAGTGTTGATCAAGTTCCTATCACACTTCAAAACTTTTTCAATCAATTCAGGAACAGCTAATGAACCATACATATGTAAATTAATACCAAATTGTTGTGATATGTCATGAGACAAAAAAGATATTTTACTTAAATCTTCTTTTTTTCTTGTTCCAATGGATTTAATCTCCCTAGCTGCAAATGCTTTTTCTAGATTTCTTAAAACACCTTTCTCATATAAATCATCAGCAAATCTCTCGGCCATACCTTTAGACCAAATAGATGAATCAGTACTATCCAATTTATCCCAATGCAACTGTTTTAACTTCTTTTGAGGACGTGGAAGTCTGTCAGAATTAGTTAATTGAAGCAATGAAGGTTGGTCAACTACAGATTTATATGGTTCCTTCTTACCCATCATTGGAGGAGGAGGTGGTGGAGGAGGAGTACCTCCACTATTTTTACCGCCGGCTCCAAGTACTGGAGGTAATGGAGGAGGAGGAGGAGCTCCACCAAATAAGTCTGGAGGAGGAGGTGGTGGTGGAGGAGGAACTGCACCTGGCGCATTCTTAGTGGCACCTAGCATTTCGGGTAATGGAGGAGGAGGAGGGGGTGGTGGTGGTGGAGGAGCTTGAACTGCTTCTGAATCATCTTGTTCATCACTACTCTTGAGACCATCTTTACTTCTATCTTTTAATAGTATATCTGCGATATCCGTATCCTCAACATCATCGTCGTTGTCATTTTCATCGACTTCAACGTCATCTAAGTCCGAAATGTTATCGTCGATGGATGATGTATCATTTACTTTTTGGGTTAGCTCTTCTAAGAATGGCGCAGCCATTGTTTGCCTTTTCAACCTATTCATGAAAGACTTTTCACCTTGACTTGCGATTCTCTCATTTGGACTCGTGATACTTGTAGGAGAGGAGATCGCATTTTGGCCAGTCCCATACTTTTGTGATAAACTTTCCAAAAATGATCCTGCTTCTGATATACCTTTTGAAGGTGCATTGCTAACAGATCTCATCGAATCAGTTCCATCACCATCCGCTTCTGAACTCGAAGAAGAATCGGATGTGTTGCCATTATTAGCATCTGAATCATAGTTCATTAAATACAATTCATCGCTGATTTCATCCAATTCGTTTATTTTCTTTTGTAAATAAGTCGGGTCCAATGTAGAATGTTGCTGCTCATCATCTAGCTCTCTATCATCCAGGTCTTGCAACTCATCAAACGGAATTTCAAAATCTTTATATTTAGCTTCTAATTGTTTCAACCTCTGTAAAGCTTTTAACTTCTTATCTTGGAACATTTCATTCACTCTGCCTTCTACATTGAATTTAGAAATATCATTAGTTTCAGATTGTATTGCTGCCAATGCTTTTCTTAATTGCATTAGTTTTTTTGTTTTCATTTCATTTTCTTTATCAAATTCTTCTGTGTTTATTTTCTTCTTTTTACGTAATTTTTTCTCTTTCTTCACAATAACCGGTTTCTTCAAGTTAGTTCTCTTGTGATCGGCAAAGTTTGTCATTTCTAATTGTCTTGCTTCATTTTCAATATCTTCCATTTGCATTCGTAACATTTTTAATCTCTTATTCGGCTGTACTGTAATCCCAAATCTCTTCGAATCATTGCTTAAGTCTTTCTTGGTTTTATTCAACTCCAATTCTAATGCTTTTTGTATATCTAACTTCTTGTTTGGATCAAGAGTTATTGTGACATCATCAACATCAGGGTTTTGAGTACCATTTCTAGAATTCAAAATAGTTAACATTTTTCTCAATTCTACCTCATGCTCATGTTTTTCTAACAAGTGCTTTTTCTTCAAATCTTCAAGTTCTGATTCTAATTGCTTCATAACTCTTTGGTTCTTTTCTAGGATATTATCCCTTTGTTTCAAGTCTGATTCTAGTTGACCAACCAAACCATTTTCAGCATTGCTTAATTTATTCGATAAATAATCTCTTTCTGCATGAGCTTCTTCTAATTTCTTAGTCAAAGTTCTACTCTCCAAAATTGCCCTACGTGCAACTTCATCTGTTTGCATAGAATCATACAAACGTTGAATAGCTAGATTCATATGAGATTCTTCATCAAACATACTTCCATTAACATTGGTCAATAGGGAATCTATTAATTTTAACTGTTTTGAAAGTTTTGTAGGATCCTCCTTCTCTCCCATTAATTTAGAACTTGATAAATATAGATGTTGAATTAAAGATAAAAGTAACTTTTCATTATCTGATCCTTTGCATGATTCCCATAAGTTTTCTATCAAAGAATTAGGATTTTGCATGTTAACTTTTGAATTTTTACTTTCTGTCTCAAGAACAGTATTAAAATCGTCTAATTTATTATTATCATATAGTTCAATTTGCTCTGTTAACTTTTCATAATCAAGCCTTTTTAATTTTGTCATTATTCTCAATGCACCTAAATTTTCCAATTTTGTCCTTAACAATATCCTTTGGTTCAATAGAGATGAATTACTGCACAAATGGTTTATAAAAACCATTGTCCATAAACAGTATTCAAGGATAGCATTTTCCCCAGCAGACCTGTAGTCATCTGAGGCACCAACTAAAGAACCCATTTTACCTCTACCATTTAAGGTTTCATCTAATGCAATTAACCATGCTTGAATAATTTTATATTTCGTGTTTGGTGTTGATTGAGGATACTCTCCAGGTAATGTTTTTGATAAGTGGACCATATTTAAGTTTTCCTCTTGTCTAAAGTATCTATCAAGTGACGCTAGGACAACTTCAAATCTCATGTTATTTCTTTTCTCTATCATGCAAACCAGTACTTCAGTTGCCATCTTTCTTGTTGCTAATCTAGATGAGAATAGACCGTTGGCAATTGTATCTGACATTAGTTTATGCTTAGCAAATTCGTATAAACCTTGAGATAACATAGATAACACACGGAAGCATTTAAAGAACGAGTGCTCCTTTTCCTGTAACTCAGGTGTCAATTCTGAACCCGGAGCACATTTATAGATAGTATTCATTAAGACGTTTGCCATTGCTATATGCCCTTGATGCTCTAAAAATGCATCAACCCAGTCCAATTGTTCTGTCCTTAGAGTTACCCATAAATCATTCATTTCTTCTGAAGTCAATCTATCCGCTATAATTTTTTTAACATAATGGATTGGAGGTCTATTAATTCTATCTGTAGCTATTGAAGATACAGATTTGTTATTTTCTGAAGATTGGTATATCATGCTATTTGTGCCACTGGCGGTAGAAGAAGAACCCACTGGTCTTGACTTGCCACCAACAGGAATATTTCCGTTATTCAAGTTAATTGTATTATTTTGCATTGTTCCTGAATTTGATGTGAAAATTGCCGTTTGTGGAGAGTTACTGTCTTGCGAAGTAGCTGAAGATCTTAAAGATGAGGAATATGAATTTAAATTTCCATTTGAGTTAGATGCTGAAGAATAGGAACCTTCTGTTGGATGATAACTTGATGATTTTGACATTAGTTTTTTTATTTCATTTTGCAGATCTTGCTTTACCAAAGTCCATTTCTTGGTAACATCATAACTCATCAATTCCTTTTGTTTATCCTGAGGCAATGCTTGGAAAATATTACGTTTATACATCAGATCTTCAAAAAGAGCTTCCACTTCATGCGGGTCCCTTGGCATTTCTAGATTAATTTTACCATCTGAGTCGATATATTTCAACAAATTTGTATATGAACCTTGAGACAAAACACTTGAACTACCCAAACTTTGTGTTGTTTGTTGTCTAGACAATTTTATTGGTCCTGTAGCAGTTGAGGAACGTCTCGAGTAAGAATATTTAGTGGCAGATTGACTTGAATGAGCCCTTGTATGCGATGTATTATTTGTAGGCAATGGATTTGGATTATCCTGATCTATTTTTGTTCCACTTACATACTGTGATAAATTTTGTGTATTTAGAGTTGACTTCTTGTTCAAAGGTCTCAACTCTGTACTTGTGAATTGTTTCGGTACAATTGGTTTTTTTGGAGATGATATATCAGCTTTATTAATACTGGTAGAACTATTACTGGAAGAATTTGTTATTTTCTTTAAATTCTGCAATAAGCTAGAACCCGACCCAGAAGGTTTCCCCGAACCTGAATCTTTCGAATTAGAAGAACGTAACATCCAGTGTAATGCGTATGAGTATTCTAATAAATTGATCACCAATATCAATTGCAAACCTCTAAAAAAGTAATTCCACAAATAAAAGAAAACCAATTACACAAATAGGAATGTCCAACTTCTTAAAAAAAAGAGAGAGAAAATCAAATGCAAAGCAACCCTACAGTTTTAGGAAAAAAAAACACAGGTATATCCAAGGGCTGAAGGTAATAATCTTTGTTTCTCTCTGTTATAATCGACAATAATCCTTCAATAAACCAATGAAAAGTGTCTACAACAAATAACCTTCAAAAAACACAGGATATTTTTAATTGGACTTTTTATATATTTTTCTTGTTTTCTTATCTCTACCGAATAATCTGTAGAATAGAACCTGTCTCTTAATCCGAGTTCTAAAAGAAATACCTGAATTAACTCTTCAAATACCCTTTAGCCAACCCCTTTTTAACTCAAATCTTAACCTCTTTTATCTAATCATTAAAGGATAGTTCTCTTATTTTAGTGCTCTTCTTTTTTATATTTTCGATTTGGGTTTAAACCAATTTTTTGATATCAGCAAAAACCAAACCTTTAAGCGCAATCGTTAGGTACGAAACAGTGATGAAATAATTATGATTTATAACAGATGAGATGAGATGAGATGAGATGAGGGAATAAGAAACTTAAATGGTTGAATAGTTGATTGAAAATGTATCAATGCCAATTATGTTGGTTGGTTGTTGAATTGGTGAAGAATTTGCTATCTTTTGGTACCAATATTATATGGGTTGTAGTTTTATGTTACAGGAAGAAACAAGCAAAAAAACATATATAAACAAACAATAAAATTGGTAAAAGTACAAGAATCGAGGATTTCATTAATGATATATTAATAATATTATACATATGGGGATTATAAAAAAACACATTGGTATGCCATTTGAATGCTGATATGGCTTAATATGATGCTATTGATGTTTTGAGATTGGCATGAGAGCATGAAAAAAAGGGATTGGAAACTTTTAATTGTTAGATTTTTTGATTTGTCAGAATGTGGAAGGGCAAAAAGTATATATAAATACAGTTCTTTTCTAATTGCACAACCAACAATGTCCATGGTTGCAACGACAAGTTTATGTTTGGTTTCGGTAAAGGCTTATGCAACAACATCCCAGAAACGATCCCAGAATGTCTTTGGTGCCGAATCTTCCCAGATGATGGCATCAATATCTCTTCTATCGGTGTCGATATCGACTTCGTCTAGACTCCAGTAAAGTTTACATCTGAAATACAATTGGAATGAAACCCATAGGAAGAAGAATAAGAATACCGAAATATATGCAGCGACGAAATCGGATCCATTGAAAGTTGGGGCAAATGCGGTAAAACCTTGGATAATAATAATAATGATCATAAAGAAGATGGCATAATATGCTAGCCAAGGCATCAATGCAGCTTTAAATGGCAGGTCATCACGGGAAATACCACGGTGCTCTAATGTTTGTATAAATCTAACGTGCGCTATGGAAATCAATAGCCAGGCAAAGAAACCTGCAACACCAACAATGTTCAATAACCAATTGAATGCTTTTGCACCACCAGATGAGACTTCTAAGAATGCCAAAGCACCGAAAGCTGATGTGAACAAAACCGCAATGTATGGGACACCATGTTTTGTAGTAATACCGAACCATCTTGGAGCTAGCTTAGTCTTTGCTAAGCCAAACATGACTCTTGAACCAACATAGATATTAGAATTACCAGCTGAGATGATGGTGGATAAAATGACAGCATTGAAAATATGTGGCAAAACTTTGGTACCTGAGTTTTGGATAGCGATAATGAATGGGGAAGAAGAGACATAAGAGTCATCACTGGATAATTTTGGATCATCAAATGGTACCAATAAACCAATAAAGAATAGAGAAAGGATATAGAAGATCAAAATACGGAAACTAACTTTCTTGATAGCTCTTGGAACAGTTTTTCTTGGGTTTGCAGCTTCACCAGCAGTGATACCGACTAATTCAGTACCTTGATATGTGAAAGCAGCATTGATCAAAGATGAGACCCAACCTAAGAATCTACCTTCAGCTACTTGACTTGAAATGATACCTGGACCCCAAGGACCTGGGTTTCTCCAGTAACGGAACCCTACAGGTCCAGTGACACCTGCACCACAGACCATACATAGACAGTAGATTAAGAAACCCATAATAGCGATGACTTTGATCGAGGCGACCCAGAATTCGAACTCACCATAGAATTTCACAGGGAACATATTCATAATAGTTAAAATAAACCACCAAATAACGATCCATGCAGATAAAGGGACAGCATCAGTCCAAAACTGAATAATTTGACCCACAACAGATAATTCCAAGGCAAATGTAATAGCCCAGGAGAACCAATACATATAACCGTTTGCGGCACCAATAGAAGGTGATATGAATCTTGAAGAGAATACAGTGAAAGAAGAAGTGACAGGGATGAATGTAGCCATTTCACCCAATGATTGGGTAACTGAGAACACAATGGTAGCCATGAAAAGGTAAGCAATCAAGGAACCTACAGGACCAGCGTTTTTCAAAGGAGTTGAAATACCAATGAATAAACCAGTACCAATGGTACCTCCCAGAGCAATCATACCGATATGTCTTTGTTTTAGTTCACGTTTGACCTCAGCATCCTGAACAACACCTTGATCCACGTAAGGTTCATCTTCATCACCACTCACAGAATGAGATCCATGGCTGCCATGCAAATGTCTTGAAGAACCATCGACTACAATACTCGATGAACCAGTTTCGTATTCTTTCTTTTTAAGTTTTTTCAATTCTGCATCTGCAGTGATATAATTATAAGTTTTATTTACACCATTGCTGCTACTTGAGTTAAAACTTTGCAACTCGTATTGAGTCAACTCATCATTCTGCTGGCCCATGATATGTAAACCTCCACTGCTTCTATCTCTAAATCAAATGGATATGAATATATCTATATAAAGTGTAACAGTATACCGTGCCAGTATAATACGATATATTAGTTCCAGATGGGACCAATAACCTATATATATATATATGAATAAAAATACATAGTTAAGAGCATATTACTAAATCAAACAACTTAATCTACGTTATCATGAACCTAAATTACATATACAAGAAGCTGCATATTACTTGGTATCATTGTCAACCAAAAGCTATTTCGAAATCACATCAAGTAGAGAAAGAGAGAGATAGTGAGAGAGTAAAGTAAAGCAAAACCAAGGTTTCGGAATCATATAAAAATTGTCATCTCATCTCCAACACACAAGTAATTTCGAAATTCTAATCAAATAAAGCAATTTAAATGGATGAGTAACCTTTACTCTGTAGAGGTTTATCTCTATATATCCTGTCTTACTCATACTTTCAAAAAATTTTCAAAGCCATTTTGACGTTCGAATAACTAGCAAGTGGTAGTGTAGTGTATTGTATTGTAGCGTAGTGTATTGTAGTGTTAATGACCAAATCCAATATGTATGTATCATGAGGTGAACAAGAAGTGATGAGAGAGAGGGGAAGGAAAAGTTTTTTTATTCTCTTGTGAATGAAGTGTTAGAACTGAATCTTGACTGTACTTGGGATATCCAAAGTAGTGGTGAAAGGTTTGCAAGACATTTTCTGTTTTCCTTTTTTTGCTATTTTGCTGTCTTACCTCTTGGTAGGCATACATACGGAAGACAACAATATGTACGTTCAGTACTTGGAAAAAGCAAGAAAAGAAGAAATGGCATTGAAGATTACGTCCTGCCAGAATCGAACCTCGGAAAGGCATCTGTAACGGATACAGTTCTCCGTTATATATGGGCCTTGCTGCTAGTTGTACAAGCGCGATACTAAACAGCTTTTTGTTTTTGACACAGAACGATAGCGCAGACAAAACAGAAAAAAACAAAACAAAAACTGATCCAGAGACGCACTGCCGTATATTCAATTGCTTCGGAAACTAGTTCCCAACCAGCTGAGCTACAGAAGGTCATTTTAATGATGTCGCGAGTGTACACCCGAAGCGAGCGATTCTTCTGCGCATGTTTCTGACTAGACATTAGCATCCTGTCCGTCTACATATAGCTATATATATATATATATTAAAGCAGTAGTTCCCAAAGGGAACTACGTCGTCCATCGACATGTCGTGAAGGAACGAACGGTTAACAATGTTAGTTCATGACAAAATTTAAATACTTACTTAGCCTGGCTAGCACTCTCCCTGTACTTGATTCTTGAGTTATCTGCATATTGACACTACCTCTCTTTATATATCAATTGAAATCTATTCTATTCTTCCCATCTGAAATATGGTAAGGTGAAAAAAAAATAATATTCCATCGCATCGCACCGCATTGCATCGCAATTTCCATTTTGTTGGCCCAATTCCATTCGGATTTGATTTGAGTTCGAAATTGGTTCTTCCTGCTTTATTATTCCATGATCGTTAAACTTCCATTGTCACTTTTCAATGCTTAGTCCACAGGAATTTCACTTATACCAGAAGTAATGCTGGGATAGCTAGTAATTAGCAATATAGGATAAAAAAATTTTTCTTTTCATCTCTCATTCTCTCTTTCAGTTCCAACTGGGATCCCATTATCTGCAAGTTGAAATTTGATATGAAATAAAATTTCTCTAATCCAGTTAGTTTAGTTTTCATGGTCCTTGAAAGTTGCATTGCATTACTTGTAATTATTGCAAGGTTTTATCCCGTATATGGTTTAAGTTTTTTTGTCTTCTTACTGTATGTACTCTTCTAGTGTCTGTCTCTCGTCCTGTCTTGTCTTGTCTCTGGTCTAGGAATAAATTTTCACTTGAGCTTACTCTCTATAATATCCCTGTCAATTTCCATTTTATTTTATTACTCATACCAGCATTGATTTTGATTTAAAGTCTTTATACTGATAGATTATTTGTATATTTCGTTGACTGATTTTAATTTAATTGTCATTATACCTAGTTCAATATAGATATATATATATATAGGAGAGATATTTTGAATCATAATCTATCGAGATAGGTAGGGTCTTTCAAAGTAAGAATTTGATTGGTTTTAAAGAAATGTCAAAGTTATCAAGTTTTATAAACAGGAAAGCAATGTTCCATCGAGATAAAGATACGGGTGTCTCATCAAATGATGATTCTATTGGAAATAATAGCACCATGAAAGAAAACAACGAAGTTATAGAATTGATAAATACTAATTCTTTCAAGGATTCAAGTGATAAACCACCTATAACACTTCGTAAATCGAAATTAAGTGAAATAGGTTCGTTACATAGTGGTTCAAATCTACACCAACATGGCACTACAAGTTTACATGATGATGAAGAATCTGATACTGAGGAAGCTCAATATCAGGATACGAGAGTTAAAAGAGCTTTGAAACAAAGACATATTGGTATGATTGCTCTAGGGGGAACTATTGGTACAGGTTTATTCGTCGGTATTGCTACTCCTTTATCAAATGCTGGTCCTGTAGGTTCTTTAATTGCGTACATTTTCATGGGTTCTGTCGTTTACTTTGTTACTCAATCATTGGGTGAAATGGCTACATTTATCCCTGTCACTTCTTCGATTACTGTCTTCTCAAAAAGGTTTTTATCTCCAGCATTTGGTGTAGCAAACGGTTATATGTACTGGTTTAATTGGGCTATTACTTATGCCGTCGAAATATCTGTTATTGGTCAAGTTATTCAATACTGGACTAAAGCTGTTCCGTTGGCTGCATGGATTGGGATCTTTTGGGTAATTGTCACTTTAATGAATTTCTTTCCAGTTAAAGTTTATGGTGAATTTGAATTTTGGATTGCATCTATTAAAGTTTTAGCTATTATGGGTTACCTAATCTATGCTTTGATTATTGTCTGTGGTGGTTCCCATCAAGGTCCAATTGGTTTTCGTTACTGGAGAAACCCAGGTCCTTGGGGTCCAGGTATCATTTCTGATAAAACTGGTGAAGCAAGATTCTTAGGTTGGGTCTCATCTTTGATCAATGCTGCTTTCACATATCAAGGTACTGAATTAGTCGGTATCACTGCTGGTGAAGCTGCAAACCCAAGAAAATCTGTACCAAGAGCTATTAATAAGGTTGTCTTTAGAATTGCTCTTTTCTACATTATGTCTTTATTTTTCATTGGTTTGTTAGTTCCATTCAATGATGATCGTTTAGCTAATGATTCTGCAGTTATTGCATCTTCTCCTTTTGTTATCTCTATTCAAAATGCTGGTACAAGGGCTTTACCAGATATCTTCAACGCTGTTGTCTTGTTGACCATTATTTCAGCTGCAAACTCAAATGTTTACGTTGGTTCTCGTGTCCTATATGCATTAGCATTGACTGGTAACGCTCCAAAGATTTTTTCATACGTCACTAAATATGGTGTTCCATATATGGGTGTTATCTGTACAGCGGCTTTAGGTTTATTGGCCTTCTTGGTTGTCAACAACAATGCCAACACTGCTTTCAACTGGCTGATCAACATTTCCACATTAGCTGGGTTATGTGCATGGTTGTTCATTTCCTTATCTCACATCAGATTCATGCAAGCTTTGAAATACCGTGGTATATCCCGTGATGACCTGCCATTCAAGGCCAAGTTGATGCCATGGGGTGCATACTACGCATCATTTTTTGTTACTGTTATTATTTTCATCCAAGGTTTCCAAGCATTCACACCAAAATTCGATGTTTCTACATTTTTCACCTCTTACATTTCGCTAATACTGCTTGCAGTTTTATTCTCTGGGTGCCAGTTATACTACAGATGTAGATTTATATGGAAAGTAGAGGATATCGATATCGACAGTGATAGAAGAGAAATTGAAGCTATCATATGGGAAGAAGACGAACCAAAGAACTTGTGGGAGAAATTCTGGGCTTGGGTTGCTTAGAGTACGTCTACCTCATACCCATATTCCTCCACATCAGCATTCGCATATTATACTACATCTACGTCGTTCACTATACAAAACATCACATCCATGAAATATTCATATTTCAGTTTGAAGAAAAGTATTCGATAACCAAAGATTTTTTTATATCATCCAGTTATAATCGTTCTAGTATTATTTTTTTCCCCTATCCCTGAATCAGTCTGCATAAGTTAATTCTAGTTCCATCAGACTCAATTAAAGACTGACCAAGTGTTTCAATAAATAAAAAATTAATTTAAAGACAATGGCTGTCCTTCGACTCAAATAAAAAAAGAAAGCCGTGATCAGTTCCAACAGGAATTGAACACTTCAAGTATCTTTCACCCTGTATTTCTGCATTGTTATATATATATATATGTCTATATATATAATATCTATAAATATATATTAATTCATATTTTATTTTATTTTTACTTAATATGTCGCCGTCTCTTCGCCAATTCTTGATAGTTTCAACCAGAACAAACGGGAAATCCCAATGCACCAACAATTGAACATTCCAATCCTAAATCTACCCACTTCAAAGGTCTATATCTTGAATACAATTCCACTTTCTTTATATATTCATATATGATGTCATCTTGTTAGGTGTGGGTATCTCTTATATCCATTACGATATATCCGCATTGTCTATCATGTCTAACGAACATTATTAAAATTTCCGAATCGAACTGAACTAAATTTGGTTTACGTTGATTGAAAAAATGGATCGAATAATTAATCAATTAAAACCACAACGTCACTTTTAAGGATCAAGAGGGTTAAAGAATTGGATAAAGATATAGTTCAAGGGTTCTTCAAGTTCCATTAAGGTTGAATAGTTGTTGATTACCAGATTTTGTATTTGGAGGGGGAATATTTTTTGAGATATCTGGTATTAATTTGGTTAAATAATTCTTTGGACTAATATCCGAGAGAGGGAATAATAACCGTTAAAGAAAAGAAATTGTGATTGATTCAGATCAGTAGGAAAGAATTCGATAAGAATAAGCAGGTTTGATTTTCGATTGAATTTTGTGTGCATTTAATTTAATTTCAATTTCGAGAATAGAAGAAGGAAGAGACAACCTTTTTGCCAAGATTTTCTGAGATACTTTCTTTTTTGTCGACTTTTAATTCATTTTCATTTCATTGTACATTTTTAATTCTAATTCTAATTCTAATTCTAATCTTTTATTGCATTACTGGAGGTTCCGAGGAGTTCTGAATATACTTACTATTGGCCTCTATCGTTATTTTTTAAAAATTTACTTTTACAAATTGTTATCCGATCCCCATAGTTATAACCTGGATTCAGATTTGGAAAGGAACTAACAGCTTAATTTAGACACGATGACTAGTACTACCAATGCCACTCCAATGGTCAGTAATGACGGATTAGTGATTCAAGAAAATCAACATATCTTGGAATTTTCAAATACTAGTGAATTCAGCGTTTATGATTGTATTAGATTGATCTCTAGTCATTCAGATAATATCGGTATTCATCATTTCTTATGCCAAAAACTATTGACATTTCCTCATAGCGAATTACAGTTTTATATACCTCAATTGGTCCAGATTCTGCTGACCATAGAAACAGATTCTATGGCTTTAGAAGATTTATTGATTAAACTAAGAAATGAGAATCCTCATTTTGCATTGTTAACTTTTTGGCAATTGCAAGCATTATTGACAGATTTATCCTCTGACCCAGAATCATACGGATTCCAAGTAGCAAGAAGAGTATTAAATGAACAACAACATGCTTTGTTCAATTCGAGTGCTACAGACAAAGATGACGATGACGAAGAAACAAATAAGAGAGTTAAAATGAACGAAAATTTAGCACCAGCTTTAATGCATAGTTCAATGATATTTGCATCAATGGCATCTCCAGCTTTGGCTGAATTGACACAACCTATCATTCAATCTCAAGGTAGAAGACAAAAAGCTTACGTCTTCAAATTAGCTAAGAGTGCAATGAAGGACTTTACCAAAAATATTAATTTAAAATCTTCAATTTTGAATAAAAAATCAAAATCGGCCAGAAAAGTTTCAAGTAAAAGAATTGAATCTTTATCAGGTCCATCTTCCCCAAGAGTAGATATTGTACCACCACCTACTTTCGAAGATCAATTATTTAAAAAACCTAAAGAAGTAGAAACTAACCTAAATTTCGATATTGTAGATAATATTGGTGAACAAGTTTTCAGAGAAAAAATATCTAACTCAATTAAATTACCAAAAAGAAGATCCAAATTTATTGATGAATCCTTCCTGCAAAAGGAATTTGGCAATTTGTCTTCAAGTAATCCATCAGAAGATAAAATTTCAAAAATCAGTACCCAAAAATCATGTGATTTGGAAAACTATGATGATAATAGTGATATCGAAGATACAATCGCAAATTATGATAATTATGTAAGCTCAATGCCAAACTTACATGAATTTGAAAGACCTTCATCGCTCAATGGAAATAATAGACTAAATGCATTACGAAAGAACGGTAAAAATCCAAACGGTTTACTATTAAGAACATCCTCAACTTCAAACCTACGTTCAGTTTCGAAAGTATCCGAAGTACCTCAGGAGATAGATATTTCAAAACTTTCTACTAAAAAGAAAATTAAACTTCTGAAGGCAAATTATTTTAGATATGAAACTCAATTTGCTATAGCCTTGGAAACAATATCTCAAAGATTATCTCAAGTTCCTACTGACGCTAGACTAAGTGCTTTGAGAGCAGAGTTATCTTTGTTAAATAGAGATTTGCCAGCAGAAGTTGACATTCCCACTTTACTACCGCCTAATAAGAAAGGTAAGCTGCATAAATTATGTACAATTACTGCAAGTGAAGCACAAGTTTTAAATTCTGCAGAAAAAGTTCCATACTTACTGTTGATTGAATACTTAAGAAATGAATTTGATTTTGATCCAACTAGCGAGGAAAATCAGGAAATATTAAAAAAGAAAGGTAATGTTTCTAGTTTTAGTTTTGATTTGAATATCATAGGTAAAGGTGATTTAAATGAAGATACAATCATTTTGAAACCGATTAACGATTCACAAACTAATCTTGCTGAGAATAGGATTGTGTCTGAATTCTCTGAATATTCTACAGCTGGTGCTCAATCGGATTACGGAAATGTTGGTCAAAAAGAAATTGATCTAAGTGATATCTCTATGATTCGTGTTAAGAATCAAACTGATGCAGAGGCTTACAGAGAATCTCTTGTTTTACAATCAACTTCTAAAGTTCCTAAACTTCCGGATAATTTAGAAAATAGAAACCCAGAATTAAATTTCGCATTGAACTTAGATGAGGTTGTAGTACAAGGTAAAGATAACAAACGTGGTCATAATAAGTATGAAACCGATGAACTGGCTGATCAAATGCGTATTTCAGCATTGATGTTAGCCCAACTAGATAAATCTCCACATGAATTATCTGATGCAGCAAATCAAATTAGAGCCAAAATTATTGCATCGATGAAGGAAGGTCAAGATAAATTTGGATACAAAGATTTAGAAGCAATTCATGGTATGGCAGGTGAACGTAAATTAGAAAACGATTTGATGACGGGTGGTATTGATACCTCATATTTAGGTGAAGATTGGGCTACTAAAAAGGAAAGAATTCGTAAAACTTCTCAGTTTGGTCACTTAGAAAACTGGGATCTATGTTCCGTTATTGCTAAAACTGGTGACGATTTAAGACAAGAAGCCTTTGCGACTCAAATCATTCAAGCCATGGCAAATATTTGGACTAAAGAAAAAGTTGGAGTTTGGGTTAAAAGAATGAAAATTTTAATAACAAGTGCCAATACTGGTCTTGTGGAAACAATTACCAATGCTGTTTCTGTACATAGTATTAAGAAGTCATTAACTAAAAAAATGATAGATAATGGTGAATTGGATGAAAATGGTGGAATAGCTACCCTTAAGGACCACTATTCTCGTGCATTTGGTGATGTAAATGGATTTAAGTTTAGAAGAGCGCAAGATAATTTTGCATGTTCATTAGCTGCTTATTCAGTCATATGTTATCTATTACAAATCAAGGATAGACATAATGGTAATATTATGATTGATAACGAGGGCCACGTCTGTCATATCGATTTTGGTTTCATGCTTTCAAATTCACCAGGTTCTGTTGGTTTTGAATCTGCACCATTCAAACTTACCTATGAATACGCTGACTTATTAGGAGGTGTTGAAGGTGAGCCATACAAGAAGTTTGTTAGATTAACAAAGGATTCATTCAAGGCATTGAGAAAATATGCGGATCAAATAGTATCGATGTGTGAAATCATGCAAAAGGATAACATGCAACCATGTTTCAATGCAGGTGACCAGACAAGTGTACAATTAAGACAAAGATTCCATCTAGAACTTTCAGATGCTGAATGTGACGACTTTGTAGAAAACTTTTTAGTTGCAAAATCTCTGGGAAGTATTTACACAAGACTGTATGATCAATTCCAACTGATAACACAAGGTATTTACAGTTAGAAATTTATTTTCAAACAATTGCCCTTCATTTTATCTGTTTTCTTATATTATTTTTTATTTTGCATATTACAGACGGTTTATTACATTTACTTTCTCTGTTAACATTAGAATTGATCCTACCTAATTCATCATTGAATGAGGAAATTAACAATCATTAATCCCCCCAATTTAATACATAAATTATATTATATAATTAAAAATATTTTTTTAAAACATACCACATTTTAATTCAAGGTTGATCCCCATTGCAAACAAATCAGGAAATGAGTTCTTTTAGAGAGAGAGAGAGTGTGTGTGCGTGTGACAGATGGATATATAACTTCAATGGCTTACTTTGGTAGTTCAGTAGATCAGAATCTCTTCAAAGATCATCATACCTTGTATATCACGTGATAATATCATTCATCACCAAAATCACGTGCTTCTCCTTTAATCGGGATATATAAAAGAGGAATTTACCAAGAGCATAGTTACTCACCATATAGCTATAAGAAGAAGTGAAGGAAAAGGGTATCAATAAGGTTTAGGCTGGTCAATAGTTGCTATTTGCTATATCCACACTGAGATCTACGTTGGTATTATCATTATATAACTAAATTAAGGTTATTTCTGAACTCATTTAAATAAGATTGTACATTTTATTTTTAACTTCAGATTAACACGATTGAAACGTGTACTTTTACAGGATTACTCCTTATTATCAAAGAAGAAGTCTTCAATATTAGGTTCATAATTCAGGCTCATTTTATTTAAAATTTCCTGCCAGTAATGTTGCAGTTTAATAAGGTCCAGACTACAGGTCTGTTATCGAAAAGACTTCCAGTATTAGTAAGATTTCAAAGTACTTCTATTAAAAATAACGAAAATGAAAAATTGAGGAAAGATTCAGTTTTACACGGTGATAATGCTATTATCTCTGACAATTTTGAAGTGACTTCCAAGACAAAGCTTCGAATACTGCTAACGATGACTTGGAGTTATTAGAAAAGGGTATAAAAAAAACTGATGAATTGACCTCAAATTTCACCAACTATATGTACAAGTTCAGTAGATTACCACCTAATTACGGTTCTAATCAATTTATAACTGTCGAAAAGGAACTCCAAGCTGAACTTGATGGCATTGTGAACTCGTTTAAAGCACCTGTCAAGTATGCCTTTGGCTATGGTTCAGGAGTTTTCCAACAGTCAGGTTATAGTAAAGAAAATGATAAACCACAGATTGATATGATCTTTGGTGTTTCACATCCTTCTCATTTCCATTCTTTAAATTTAAGACAAAATCCTCACCATTATTCCACTTTACGTTATTTTGGAACCAAATTTATTTCCAAATTCCAAGAAGTTGGTGCAGGTTTATATTTTAATCCATATGCTGATATTAATGGCCATGAGGTCAAATATGGTGTAATTTCAATGGAAAATTTATTGAAGGATTTGGCTACCTGGGATTCCTTTTACGTTGCTGGTCGTATGCAGAAACCGGTTAAAATATTAAAAAATGATTTAAGGGTCCAATATTGGAATCAACTAAATCTAAAAGCTGCTGCTACAATCGCCAAACATGCTGTATTGAAGAAGAATGCTGGAAAATTTGATGAAATGTCTTTTTACAAAGAAATTGCAGGCTTGAGTTATTTGGGTGATATTAGATATGTTTTAGGTGGTGAAAATCCTAATAAAGTTAATAATATTGTTCAAAAAAACTTATCAAATTTCAAATTATATTATGAACCTATTTATAAAGATGTTGTTGTTAACAATTCAACATATTTACCAAAGGGTTATGCTGTTGATACAGCACATAATATATTACATAGGAGGATTAGTTCCTCCAGCGTATTGCAAACCGCAAAGGGTGTCTTAACTGCAGGTGTTACTAAATCAATAAAATATGCATGGGCTAAAAAGTTGAAATCTTTCAAGAATTAGACTTTTTCTTTTATAAATTTATTTCGGTGGATAATAACTTTCATATATTCTACATTTATTATTAAATTACTTTTATTTTTCTTTTCCCTCTTTACTAGGCAGACGTCTTGCATATTGAAGATTTAAGATAATTTTCTTGTACATATACTTATATATTGAATTTCTGATAAACTTATTTGGGTCCTTGAAGAGTGCCGAAAAACGTATATCTATTATGGGTTATACTTCGTTGGTTGCTTTCAACGTTTTAGTGCGGCAAAACGTTTCTTCAATTCTTCAAATTTATCCTCTTCAGTATTTTTTTTAATTGGTGCAGTTGAATGTATTAGTTTCACATCTTTCTTCATTTCATCAGGGATTTTAAAATCTTGTTTTACAGTTTCACTGTTCGTTCTGGGTTTCCTAATTGTAATTGGATGTGATTCATCATTTACTAAAGTTTCTTCATCATTCTCTCCCGCAACAATGGGTTTGTCATTACTATCATTAGAGATTTCATCACCTTCATCGAGTGCTGCTTTTTCATCAATGACCGATTCTTCTAACGTCTTGTATGGGATTTCATAAGTGTTTGCAATTTCTCTTAGATATAACTCAACCAAATCTTCAGTTGGTAATTTTGGTGAACATTTTTTTACAACTTTTTCTGGTACTCCTAGATGGTCATCTATAATTATTTTTATAAAATCAGGGCCAAATTTCATAGCAATTAGGTCCCTTAGTTGACTTAATTCCTTAACTTCTGGTACATGTAACGTAGAATAAACCAAAGATCTTATCGCCTCATCTATACCATCTTCAATGTGTTTTTCAATCATCTGTGCCTCATTTTCAATCCCATTAACTATCATAACTCTTGCATGTAATAATTCACAATATAATTCCAATATCTCTAATAGTTCAATATGAATATCATCATTAATTAAAGATTCAACTCTATAATGAGCCTTATGCTCTTTCCCATTAACCAATAATTGTGCAACATCCCTTCGACCTTGTTTGGCTAACGCCTGTTGCTTCTCCTCTGCATACCTGAACCTTTGTATGCACATCTTAAGACATGTTTTCAATTTAACCTTTAAACATACCAGCAATTTTTGAATTTGTTAGTAAATTTGATATTAATGAAAAAGGGGAAACATATTAAACGTTTAAAGAAGAATAATACATACATTATATGAAACTTGTGGAGGCATTTGTTATCAGTATATTGAACTATTTATCTAATCCTTTAATATCTGCTTTCTTAAATTATACTTTCTTCTTTGTATTTTGTTAAGTCACTATTCTTATAAACTATTTCAAGATATTTTTTAAAGGGTTGGTTTTGATTGAAAGCCTTTAATTTGTACTAGACGATAAGAAAGATGATGATGATGATGGATAGAAAATATATATTAATACAACAACTATTATTAATTAAGTTTACCTACATGATGGTAGGTGGAAGGTATGAATGTAGTTATAGTTACGAAATTTAAATGTTCAAATATTTTTTCATTAGATGATCTGCTAGTTTATTATTCCCACTTTCTTGATAAATTATAATACAATTATAAGCAGCGTGTTTTTTCAACTTATCGTCATCATAAGCCTCGAGAACCTTATGATAATATTGAACAGCGATGGAGACCAATCCTAGTAGATGGAATGCACGTCCTATGTTATAGTCAGCTTCTTGTTTCTCTAAATCTGAATAATTTTTCATACGGATATCATAGTATTTATATAGATATCTCAGACCGTGAAGGATTTGGAAATGTCTATTTGCAGTTAATCTTTGCATAGAACGATGGAGATGCGAGAGCCCTGATAACAAATTCATCATTGGATCATTTGGAATATCTTTTTCTAACCAGTTCAAATATTGCAAAGCAGATAGAAAACCTCTGCTAGAGTATAATAGTATCGCATAAATATAATATAGATAGGGTGAACTTTTCTTTTCAGGATTTTCAACTACTTTATTTGTTATCGATGCTTGACCGTTAACATGCGTATTATAACGACAACTATCAAACGCTTTTAATTGTCTTAAAAAGAATTTTTGTTGCACTGTAGAAGTTAAAATTTCAAAAGATGTTTGATTTCTTGCTAAACTGTACATGAAAACTTGTAAAACTTTTCTATTGAACTGGAATTGATTTAATAACCCTCTTAAATTCTCTGTCAATTCTTCCTCGTCCTCAGTTTTTAAGACAATTGCTAATTTTACAAATCTCATCATTTTTACTCTATCAGGATCTTGAAAAAAAACATTAACTTCTTGTGCGGTATCGATCACACTTAGACCATCTTCTATGCTTTGATACTTGGAGATTGTTAAGGCTAAATCCATAAATAATTCAAACCATTGATCATACGACAGACCTCTTAATTCAGTAGTAGACGTTAATATAACTCTTTCTTCCATAAATGGGAAACCATCTAACAGATTTTCACCTTCAGAAAGCTTGGATAACCTTTCTATTTTATAATCAATAATTCTGTTAAATTTTCTTGCTCTTCTAATAATACCAACAAACTTTTTAGAACGACTTTTAATAAAAAAATTCTTGACACTAGAAAATATATCAATCAAGTCAGAAACAATGTCAATCCATGATGTGACTTGCTTCTCATCACCTGTTTCAATTTTTTGCCTTATCTGTATTTGTTTATTGTACATATCAGTTACTTTGGTGGTAATTTTTCTCTCACGTTCAACTCTTTCTCTTTCTGCATCTTGTGGTGTTTTCTTCTTTTTAAAGTTTGATTGTCTAAACATGCTGTCTTCTAATAAAGGTTTCGAAGAAACATCTTCATTTGTTTTATTGGTTTCATCTTTTTTTTGGGAAACTTGTTTCGCAATACTCAAAATTTCTTCATCTTGACGTTTCCTTAATTCCACAGCCTCTAGGAACCACTTATGAAACTCTTCTCTTTCACCTAATTGATAATATACCTCTGCTAAGTTTAGAATATCATCGATGTCAGTCGGATCTTGCGTAATTAATTTTAAATAATATTCTTTTGCTAATTCGTACTCTTCAACTTCTTTAAAACATTTACATAATGGTCGGTACATTTCATTATTTTGATATTCAGGTAGCATCATCAATGGTCTAAAGAAATCAATTGATTCCTTATACTTTTCTGCTTTTGCTAGAGCCACTGCAACTTCAAAATACAAATCTGTAATTTCAACAAAATCTTCATCATATAAAAATTGGAAATGATTCATTGCTTCTAATAATTGATCATTTCCCAATCTTAAGAGACCAAGTCTGATTCTAATATCAATTGGTAAACTATATGATTTTGACTTTTCAGCGTCAGATAATGCGTCAAATCTACCATTATTCAGTCTTCTACTGTCAAATTCGGAATCGTCGGTTACATCATCCCAAAATGTCTGAAGTTCACGACGTTGGATCCACCTTGCACATTTTTTAATCAATTTTATTCCTGACAGTCCTGAAGAAGATGATTTTAAGAAAAGTTCTGTTAAAATATTTAATGCAGACCAATCAAAATTAATACACTTGTATTTTCTTTTAATTTTTTTCCAATTTATATCAGGATATAATAATTTGTCTTCTAATAATTCTTCGTCAAAATACTCTCCTCTTTCTTCATCCTCCTCATTTCCGATTTCTTCTTCTTCCTCATAATCTTGATTGGAGGATTCTTCATCTGAAGATTCCAAAGCGCTTTCAGAGGCGGCAATGATAGCCTTTCTTCTTTTCACATTTTGTTGAAAGATTTTGGTGTATAAATCTATAGCTTCATTGATTCTATTATATTCAACATATAATACTGCCAATTCACGTAAAATATTTGGGTCATAAGGGTTATGTACGTAAAGTTTTTGAAAACCTTCCAAAGCTCTACCAATCTGACCAATATCTTTATAAAGCACAGCTCTACGATATACAGCTTCAGTGTCATCATGGTGTATATTTATTACTCTAGAATAACAGTAAATAGCTTGTCTTGCATGACCCAAATCTGCAGATAAAGCTGCGACAACTCTCCAAAATTCCCAATCTGAAGAGTTTAAATGAGCGGCGATAAACCAAGAATTACAACAGTCATTTAGACGTCCTTGAATTTGATAAATATCACCCAGGGTTTCGTAAGCTGCAAAATTTCTTGGATCTTTTTTAATAATTTCATTAAATAGACGTTCTGCTACTACTAGATCGTTTCTAACAAAGGCTTCATTAGCTTCAGATATCAATTGAGCTACTTCAGGGTCAATAACACGTTCTCTGCGTGGTTTTGGTCCTTTTTTGGTCTTTTCAGATTTCTTACCCTTTGATTTCTTCTTTTTCTTGGTCTTAAAATTGTTTGCTTCTCTAATTGCATCCATGAAATCTTCTTCATCATCATCGTCGGAAACCTCACCTAGATCAGAGAATTCTTGCAATAAAGCATCCACATCTCCTTCATCACTACTATCACTAAACAATAAGTTATCATCCTCATTCATATTATCTTCATCATCACCAATCATCAATTTCAAGTCTTCAACATTACCGTAAAGATGTTCGTCATCTCCACTAGACATTACAACGTCTTCATCCTTATCAGACATTGTTCTGGACTATTCACGCACCCTTGGATCACCTTGAGGTATTTATATCTTGGCTACAGCTAATACAAGTTTCTTTATTATGAGACATCCTTTATATTATTTATTTGTTCGTATCCAAAATATATTGATTAATACATTTGATGGGTTAAACAACATTTCCGAATGTACTAAATCACGTGACTATACTTATTTGTGAGATGAATTGGATGTTATGAGAACCGATATATATTAAAGAAGAAATCATTTTAGTTACCCAATATCAACTCAAGGTGTTAGTATTGTATATTATTATACTCTGATCCAATTTTATTAACAGATGAAGAGCCAAACAGCTTTATTAAAATCTCAAAATTTTTTACAATTAATAAATCCCTAAATATCATGTGATTTAATACTATCTTCCATGTAGATTATCTCGTAATAATCAAATAAAGAGTAAATATTTACTTCTCCTTTTCTAATTTCTATAGCTGCAATCCACAAATAATATCCCAAGTAGAATTTTGGTTAATAAAAAGCCATATAACATGATGGAACTGTTTTTAACGTTGTTCATATTAATCGAGGCGGAAAATACCCAGAAATATCAGGATGTTTAATCTAAATTTTATTAAATATGATTAATTGATTTTCAGATCAGTGTATTATAATGATTGTGACATTTCTATATTGCCAGATGGAACTGTAGATTTTTGTGCTTTATTTATTTGACTTGGTTATGAATTGAAAGTCTCTTGTTGTTTGGTGAAGAGGAAGAATAAGAACAAGATGTGTCGTTTATATACTAAATGAAAATAAAATTGGATTAAGTTTTTGTGTCATTTTGTGTTATTTTTGTGTTTTTGCCATTTTTGTGTCACTAAAATTATTAAATTTGATAATTTCTTTTTATCGTTTTTTATCTATTTTTTTGAGACAGAATACGAATCGAGTTGGTCATGTGATACAGTAGTCACATGATCAATATATCACGTGGTTCATGTTTTTATATTTTTTCCCTGTTATACATTTGACCTTTTATAGGATATCGTATCAAAAGTTAAAGGTATAATTAATAATGTACAATAAACTTATATAAGAATATATGAACTAAACTATGACAAGGTTCAATCTATTCATCTAAGGTTTTTAGGTAAATCGAGTACAGACAAGTGCAAAATATTCTTTGGCTCTTAATATATCACTAATGTTTTCAGGGTTTGGTTCCTATGATGGGAACCAGTTTGCTAGTATTCCTCAAAAATTCGAATCATTCTTCAGATGTTATCCAATATCGATGATGAACGATAGAATCAGAAAAGATGATGCCAATTATGGGGGTAAGATTTTTTTACCACCAAGTGCATTGAATAAATTGACCATGTTGAATATTAGATATCCAATGTTATTTGAATTAATGGCAAATGAAAATGGTAAAATTACACATGGTGGTGTCTTAGAATTTATAGCAGAGGAGGGTAGAACTTATTTACCTAATTGGATGATGGAAACTTTAGATGTAAAGCCTGGTTCTTTGTTGAAAATATCAACTATTGATATACCATTGGGTAGTTATGTTAATATAGAGCCACAATCTGTAGATTTCTTAGATATCTCAGATCCAAAAGCTGTACTAGAGAATGTTTTACGTAATTTCTCTACGTTGACCATTAACGATATTATTGAAATAAGCTATAATAACAAAATATACAGAATCAAAATTTTAGAGGTTAAACCTGAATCTCCTTCAAAGGGTATATGTGTTATAGAGACAGATTTAATTACAGATTTTGCACCTCCGGTAGGTTATGTAGAACCTGATTATAGAAGTGAGGCTGCTAAGAATGAAGTTAAAAAGGATAATGCAAAAATCGATCCTTCAAATATTTCTCAAGGTTCAATGTCAAAAAGAATAGATTATCACGGTATAGTGAATAAATCGAATTTATCTACTACTTTTGGTGGACAAGGTCAAAAACTATCAGGTATGGCTTCGAAAAAGAAATCTTCCACTGATTTAAAAAATATAGAGATTTCATTGGAAGGTATTCCATTAAAGTTAGACTTATCAGACGGTCAATTGTTTTTTGGATTCCCAATTGTATTACCTAAAAAAGAAGATGATAAGGACAACGAAACTTCAAGCACAAATTTCTCTGGTCAAGGTCAATCGTTGAGGAAGAGTAATAAAAGGAAAGGTAAAAGTAATTTAGAAAATGTGAAAACTAAATCACCTAAAAGCCCAGAAGTGATCGAAATAGATTAATTACTTAATTAAAGTATTGCATTTTTCATTTGTATTACAATATATATATAATTATATATCCATGAATGATACCGTCTACTCAAAAAATATAAAAAAAATTATCTTTATAATATTAATTCATTAAATATTTCATGTAAAGGGGTAAAAACTATAACTGTTCATCATTATTTTATCATAAAAATTACTTTTAATAAATTCAATTTATTTATCTTTGTTACTCTTACCTGATTTACGACTCAATATTCTCTTTAGTGCAAGAGGCAAGTCGTCATCAGAACTTTGTTCTGTATCGTAGAAACTCGAATCTGCTTCACCGAGAGTTTTTCTCTGCGAGAGAGGTTGAAGATTTGAAGAATAATCACTAGATGATCCAATAGAGAATGCTCTTTGCCTAAATGGTTTTGGAAGACCATCCTTTCCTCGAGTCAATTTATGAGAAGCAATCCTAGCGAGGTCTACGGTAGACGGTCCAGCATCACCATAATCTGCTGTAGGTTTGTTATATGCTATCGGTTGATTTTCAAGATCTGAAAAATCTGTATTAGATAGACTTCCAGAAGTAAAGGAATTACTTGATAAATCATGAGTTTCATTTTCTTCAATAATTTCTTCCTGAATTGGTTCACTTGGTGAGAAAGTTGGAGGAGAAGGAGTATGGTTATCGGATGGAATATTGCCTGCAATAAACGTATCAAAACCAGTAACCGCAGCAGCAGCCCAATCTGTATATAATGGGCGTGATAAAAATCCATATTTAAATTCATTAACGCCAACCAATATCTTTGTTAAATCCTGTAATTCTTCAATATATTCAATAATTTCTTCAATAGCTGCACTAGATGCATTCCAACTTAAGAACTTCTCTTTTAATAATTGTTCATGAGGCGACAATAGTTCCAATCCAGCTGCTAAGGGTTTTCTAGAGTTTATTACAATACCTTCGTCATCAGAATCAGAAATTGAATCCGTATCGCTTTCGGTATCATGATCAAACCTATTTGGAACAACGTGAGGTTTTAGGCTATTGATTTGAGTACGGTATTTGTTCCACAGTGCTTGTCTAACTTTGTTAACTAGTCTTCTGTGAGAAATTCTGGCGCTAGGAAGAAATTGAGGCAGAGGTGTTTTATTTATAAAGGCTTCTTGAAGAGCTCTCATCAAACAGGAAACATTCGCAACAACTTGTCTACGGTAAGGAAATACAGCATAATTCAATTCATCAATTACTCCACTACCATAATCTAACCTTAATAAAGCTACATTATCCATACGTTCGATGATTTGTTTCTGTAAGAATATAACTTGAGTGAATATTATTTCTAATTCAACATACTTCCCTTTTAATCTAGGTTCTTGTCTTGTTAGGCCTTTGTATGCCTCTGCTCTTGCTAATGCTGCTTTCGCAGTGCGTGAAATCTTAGAAAACTGTTTATAACGATCGTTCAAATCAATTGGAGATACCTTTTCTCCTTCTAACCCAAAAGCATATAATGTTTCCATTCTTGATATACAACCGCACACAAATGATATTTCTTCATTAAGCTGCTCTCTAGCAGTAATTGGGAAAATAACTAGTTGAACCAATAAAGCAATTACACCACCATAGCCTACCGCAAGACATCTTTTGGCAAAGTTGACCAAAATACCACCTGGGGCTGAACCTGGATAAACTGCTGCTAAAATAACAATATATATACTAATGATTTGGATAATTGCAGCTTTGACGTATGGTGTTCCTAAAAGAAAATAAAAACCAGGAGCAGACCCGAAGCATGTAATAACAGTTTCTAAGTAAGGATTGGTTTGATTGACAGCCGATACGTAAGAAACATACGCCCATGCAGAACCAATAATAACACCAACTGCACGTAAAAAGAATACCCAAAATGTACCTCCCACTGATGGCTCTAAACATAAAATACACACGAAACCTATCCAGGCACCACGATATTGATTATACCAATCTCTAGTTTTAGGGATAAACATTGGAAATGATGACAATAATAAAGCAATTGCAACTTGAATAGAAAATCTGAAATGAGCTTTTGATCTCTTGTAGAATTTATTACCCCACACTAAAAATGCAGTAAAATAATACGATGGAATCAAATACAAAGGTTGCCCGACTTTCTTGCAGAGGCTATCCATATCCAAATCATTATTTGATATTGGTAACTCTTGTACATTTGATCTTTGGGGCTTCAATACTTCATCAATTTTTTGAGCTAATAGTTCATCTTCTTCAGCTTCAGGTCTCTTTGTAATCGGATAAGGATTTGCTATTGATGATGTCAATGTACCTCTTAAACCTTCATCTTCTGTAACTGAAGAACCCTTTGTATAAGTACTAGTTATCCAAGTCTTTAAAGAATCAAAATTTCTTAAGAAGTTTATCCATAACGTTTTTCCACGAATCCAACCTTTACTTTCTTGCTTTACCCGAAAGTCATATATATCTTTAGAAGACTTCATAACTTCTATTATATTCTTTGTAACCTGTTGAAAGTTCATTAAAAATGACGATAGAAGAAACATCTCATCACTTGGATCCAATAGATTAATATCCAAACGGATTAATTCATTTCTATAACCAAGGTTAAAATTCAATAATGACGTCTCCAAAGATTGAATTCTTTCTTCAAATTGGAAATCCTTTGGGAAATCTTTTTTGTTTTTATATTCAGGGAATGAACCATTTGTAAACATTGAACAAGTATGTACATTTTTTAAATTGACATCGTAAGCTTTAGCCAATACCAACTTGATTGTATAAATACTTTCACTTAATGTCTTATGCAAATCGTAGACAAGTGGACGGATTCTCTCTAAGATTTTAAATAACTTTTCAGCATCTGCATATTCAATTTCCTTTTCAGTATTCCTATTCAATGGATTAGTTTTTCCATCTCTTTGCTCCTTACCTAATAAAATAAATTCCAATTGACATGAATTTATAATCCCTTTTATTGATTTTGACAATGTATCATACGTATCCATTACAGGTGATAATTGACCTGGTGATACGTAAGAATAACTTGCTTCGTAGACACATTCTTCATAAACTAATTGACTAGTGCTTATTTTTTTGTCAATTGTATTTTTCATATTTAACAGTTTTCCTAATGATGCAGGTTCTTTTGTATATTTCGAGCTGTCGCCATTAAGATTAATAGTCAGAAAGAAGTTAATGGCATGATCAACAGCTTTATGAACTTCATTCCATGTTTCAACGGTGGCATTACCTAGATAAGAGCTACCAAACTCTGGGAATAACACAAGATTCCAAAAGATCGACATGGCAATTCCTAAATAAAAGGGAGTAGTATATGATTTCGACAATTGAGCAGGTGTTACTTTTAAAGGCTCCAGAAATGTGAAATGTACCACTAAAAAAAGAGGGAAGACTATACCAAAATAATGATGATTGACAGATCTCATCCAACCATGAAATAAAAGCATAATAGTTTCAAAAACTGCAAGGATAGCCAAAGCAGCCTCGTAACTTTTATAATGAGTGGCATAGTGTTCATTGTCAGTTAACTTATTCCAACTTGAACCTAAACAACGCTGGGCCAGGAATCGTCCCAATAAAGCATAAGCCAAACCAAAGATTAAACCAGTAATACAATAAATAGCACCTTGAATAGTACCACTGACTCTCCTGCCTGGATGAACCATAACTGAAATTAATGGTAACATTGGTGGAACACTACCTAAACGATTCCTTATCTGGGGGATCAATACAAATATAAATGCAACAGTAGAGTTTACTGTCGACTTAAATATCCTTTGAGCTAAAACCCTATCGCAGGGGAAATAATGCTGGAACAGCTTGATCAACCTCCATAAAAGATTATTTCTATTACCAACTTTTTTAGCAGCCATTGTTTAATTAATATGTCATTTAAATCGACATCCAATATTGCTGTTCTTGCTGTTATTATCGTTGATGTTGTAGATATTCAATTAAAAGTGAATGATTATATCTTGGATCCAAACTGGGAACCCTCAATCCCCAATTAATACCAAACACAGCTATATATATAGTTAATTGTACTGTCATAAGAAGGTATCTTCTCATCAACTTATAAACAATTAACCATCTGATAAGTTGATGATCCCATTGTCTAAATATCAAATAGTTTGATATTCGGCTTGACTTCTGATAAGATGATGATGACGATATTGATAAAATGGATGCTATATAAAGCATCAAAATTAAGTTCAGTATGAGCTGATGTATCAGATATATGCTATGCCTTGAGGATATTTAAGTTTATAAATATGTATCTAAGTTTAAAATGTAGTGATATACCGGTTACTTTAGTAGATATGGTGATGAAGAAGGAGCATATTGTGTGAGGGGAAGGAAAAAAATGGGAAAGGAAGTGATCTTGAGATAACTCATCCCATCAAGGGATGAGTATACTTTTGATATCAGTTAGATTATTCTATGTTGACATAATCTACTTCGTAGATGAGTTCATCGTGAGAGCCTTTTAAATCGTATTCGCTTAAACCAATGTTACCACCAAATTTTACGAATCTATCGTATTGTCTTTGGCGAATAGATTCCACTTTCTCCACCAAATCAGGCCAGTACACTTTATGATTGTATTTGAAATCCAATCTACCGTTGTACAATGCCTCTAATTGAGAAGGTTCGATATGCTTATCGAATGGTTCGTCAAAGATAGTTTTCTCCCTTGTATTTGGATCTAAGAATGGATATACCATTTTTAAAAAAGCCCAAGCATACCATGGAATGTTGGTCAATAGACATTTACCTAATCTTTCAGGGAAATAATCTTGCATTACTTTTAAACACAACTTAGTGATTGATAAAGGTGGTGATTTATCAGAGATGATTCCTGGTTCTTTGTAACCTTTCAAATCGATCAATACGGTCAATTTCTCTACACCTTGGGGAGTCAATGTCACTGCTGCTTCCATCATGTATATCAATTGCTGAACCTGTCTGAACGAAGGTTCTGTATTCTGTCTACCATTTTTCATATAGAAAATAGGTCTCCTATTTCTATCAAACCCCAACAGAACCTCCTTCCCAGTTTCATTCTCAATGGCAACCTTGGCACCAGTCAATGGATCCTCATCATTCTCATAAGTGATCCCAACCTCTCTTCTCCAAGACATAGTCTCTTCTAAATTTTTAATAGTATTTTCACGATCCCATTTGGCAGCTCGTAAAAATCTTAAAATACATTCCCTAGTCAACCAAAACTTTTCCCATGAACTCAAACATCGACGATTCACCTTATCCTTAGTACTCAATGGCAATTCAAACTCGTCATCTTGGAAATGTTCTAATACTTTTCTATAAACACCATACTGAGCCTCACTAATATTACCAATCGGAGATGCCTTACCATACTGCTCTGGAGGCTCAACAATAACCTGATCAATAGGAATCAGATCTGCTTTCGAAGATGCAGATACTGGCGACTGATCTCGTTGTTTCCTACTAAATAAACCCATCTTATTAACAATTCCAACTGTTATTAAGTGATTAGTCGTCCACTATAATTCAATAACTCTTGAAACTCAACGTTTGCCAAACCTTTTAAAAAAATAACACAAATTTTGAACATCCTAAAACATAACCTCGAAACCAACATCATCAACGTGTCAATTCTTCATCTAAACCTCTTTATATACCTTTTACAAGTCCTTTGTTCAGTTGGTGGTTCCTATTGTTAGTGTAAGTAAAAGAATCTTGTTGGGATCGCATACGAAGGAAAGGGTCTTTCTCTACATTATGTAACTGATATTTAAAGCTCATCGATGAGGTATAAATAACAAATACACGATGTAATGGATAATTTGTAGGGATATTAGTTAATCTGATGTTATAAAAGGGTGATCAGTCAAGGTTGATTGTATTTGAATGTATCAGATCTTTTAAATTTTGGTTCAAATCATTTTTTTGGTTAAAATTTGAGTAATAATGTATTGGAATTCTTGGTGAAATGTCAGAGATTATAGAATCATTCCAAGTTGAATTGTTATTGTAGAATTGTTTAAATAGTGCTTGTGCTTGTGATGGTGTCTCTAGAATGACATATGCTATTATTTTTTCATCTTGTTCGTAATTATTTCTTGAAGAGTAGTATAGATCAATGATTTTATGATTACTATTACTGCTAAAAAGTTTCTCGTTAAAAAACCTGATTAAATTGGATTCATCAGGTTGTCTGAAAGGCAGTTTATTAACTAATTCTACTCTTAATGTCGAAGAATCTGGATAATTGTTGCGTTTGTTGTTTATCTCCAAGTCTTTCCAATTACCATAAGGTAATTTAAAATGTTTCATCTTTCTTAAAGTCCTTCCATAGTCTTGAATCTGTGATATATCGTTTGTATCATGACGATAATGTGGTTTCCCCTTAAGACTATGTTTTGATTCTGATTCCTCCAACTTCTCTATAAAATTTTGTCTTTTGGCATCATGACCTTTATATAAATGAATTATATACCATTTGTCATACTGTTCTCTTAATGAACTATCACACAGAATTTGGTTTGCTAGTGATATATCATGGAAAATGCTATCAATGTCAACGTTCGAAATGTTCTTATCAGGATGATACTTTAAGGCTAATCGTCTATATTCTTTCCTGATTTCTGTCAAGGTGATTTCATTTGGTTGTCGTCTATTTCCAACCAAATCAATTTCTAATGCTTTGTAAAGATCAATTCTATCTTGAAAGACACTTTTTAATTCTGAGGATGACATCTGATGGGGTTGATACGCTGTTTACTGATACTGTTCAAGACCAATAGATCAGTTCTTTGATATCATCTATTTATCTTATATTAATACATCGATTTTAAGTAGGGCGAATTATAATAAAGTTATTAGTGTAATGTTTCATTATGAACCAATGAAGTCTATTGAAATTTATACATCAGATTATATATATATATATTTATGTGTGTATATATATCTATGTATGTATATGCCTATATCAAAGTATACTATTGTTTTGTTTATGTGTTTTCAAACTTTGAAGAATAGTTCAATTGTTCAAAGAACAGCAATTGTTGATAAACTCTGTTGATTAACTTATCAGCCACATCAATACAGATTGCCAGACGAAACCGTAGAAAAACAAGAAATAATTGCATTTCTTAACTGTAGATTTCTTGATATTGACCATGTCATCGTTTGGGTTACTGAACATATTGAATTTGACAGCTCTTAATAAGAAAACACCAAATGCGATGAACAAATAAACTTTAAGAATCAATGACAGATAAAATGGCAAAGCTGGGACGAATAAGACCAAAGTCAAAGGCACGAATTTGTAGCCTACATAACATAGCAACTCTGTTATTGAAGTGGTGGGAGAATTAGTTGAAACTAGTAAGTACAATCCCAATTTTAAAATGATTAAATCTAATGCAAGGAAGGCTACTGTTGATGATAATTTATAATATAAATTTTCAGGATTGAAGGAACCACTTAAACCTTGTTGAGTGTTCCATATCAAAATGTAAGTAACCAACCCCATTACAGGGATATACATATCAGGGGAGTTAATGTCATCCTTTGGAGGCATGAATGAAACGGTTCCAGCACCGCTTGATTGGCTTTCAGGTATACGTTGCCAATTGTTTTTGTTCATAAATGGGAACAAGACTAACAAAATCTTCTGAAGAACATAAGAAGTAGAAACTTGGAAATAATGAGAAACTGAAGATGATCCAGAAGCTGCTTTCGACACAGTTTCTTGAAATTGACTGAAATTTTGTTGTCCAATAAAATTAGAAAATGCACTTTGACCTAGTTGGAAAGCCATAGATTGACGAGGGTCTTGAAAACCATAACCTTCAGCTCCAGCACCACCATTCTGTTGAGCACCCTGGCTCATATCTGGACCTTGTTGATGATTCACAAATCCACCTCTACCTTGAAACTGTTGTTGTTGCTGTTGTTGTTGTTGTTGTTGAAACTGTGCATTACCAGCAAAACCTGCGCCGTTTGCCTGTGAATCATTACCTCCGTAACCATAAGGATTGTATGACATTTTGAAACGACCACTGAAATAACCTAAATCCACACTCTGAGAGGTTAAATACCGACTAGAACTCTTGCTTTCTTTATATTGATCTCTTGATTGTAGTGTGTTTATCAAGTTGAACTTCTGCTTCTTATAGCCAAAATGTCAAATTTTAATATACGGATATCCGGGTAACCAATGTAATATATATCTAAAGGCACTATATAACCATACAAACGGTAAGTAACCACTTCATTGAGGATCAGTTAACCGCATAACGGTATACCAATACAAGTGGCTATAAATATATGTATGCCATTTGATGTTGGTACTATTAGTAATTACTATGTATAGAGAAGAATTGCAAGATCAAGTTCAAGATCAGAAATTACTATAAAAAACAATATATCACGTGATGCGACGCGTGACACGTAAAATAATTTAAATTTAAATCTAAATCGACTTTTCCACAATTGACGAGATTTAAGAAGAGTTCATCGTTAGAACAAACACCTAAATTGTTGGCAAATATAGTATTTTGGAATCTTGAATTGGTCACTAAGGTTGTGCGAAACAGTTCCTGGCTTATTGTTTTTATTTCTAATTTGAAATCTGAGTTTGATTTGGTCCAAGACGAGAGATTTATTAGTTCAAGACAACATCCTTCTACTGAACGAATTACAAATATTAAGATCATGTCATTTGGTGGGAACAAATTCAAAGGTTCTACTACAGCTAGGTTTGTCAGAAATCCAGGTGGTTCATCTTCTAATAACTATGCCTTGACTGCACAGCAGTTATTACAATCTTCAAAAGTCGATGAGATTGATACTATGATGGGGTTTGAAAGATATATACCGCCTCAGTTCAGTGGGTCTGTTGATCCTAATAAACTGAATCAAGTTCCAGGAAGAGTAGGATGGATGATCAATATGCATCCAACTGTAATATCTGAAGATACTCTTCATGGTACACACGAGGGCTCAAGTAATGGCGGTAACATTGGGATTGCCGGGGTAGACTTCTATTTCTTAGATGAAGAAGGTGGCAGTTTTAAATCTTCTATTACTTTCAATCCATATTTCTTTGTTACTTGTACTGATGACACTAGAATTAATGATGTAGAAGAATTTTTGAAAAAATATTTAGAGAGTTGTTTAAAAAGTGTTGATATAATATACAAAGATGATTTAGATATGGATAATCATTTAGTAGGTTTAAAAAAGACATTGATTAAGCTTTCATTTATAAATTCGAATCAACTATTCGAGGCAAGAAAACTTTTAAGACCAATTTTGGCAGATAACGAAAACAATAAATTACAAAGAGATCTATATAACAAGAACCTTAATAATCAAGGAAAAAATGTAGATGCAAAACAATTAATACACGATATAAGAGAATATGATGTGCCTTACCATGTACGTGTCTCAATTGATAAAGATGTAAGGGTAGGTAAATGGTATAAAGTAACCGCGGCTGGATTTATAGAGTATACAGAGAAAGTGGCCTTTGCTGATCCTGTGGTATTAGCATTTGATATTGAAACTACCAAAGCTCCATTGAAATTTCCTGTTTCTTCAGTTGATCAAATTATGATGATTTCGTATATGATTGATGGTGAAGGTTATTTAATTACAAATAGAGAAATTATATCTGAAGATATTGACGATTTTGAATATACTCCAAAACCAGAATATCAAGGTATATTTACTATTTTTAATGAAGTTGATGAATTAGCATTATTACAAAGATTTTTTGAGCATATAAGAGATGTTAGGCCCACCGTTATTTCAACATTTAACGGTGATTTTTTCGATTGGCCCTTCGTAGAGACAAGGTCTAAAATTCATGGTCTGGATATGTTTGAAGAGATAGGTTTTGCTCCTGATTCAGAAGGTGAATATAAATCGTCATATTGTGTGCATATGGATTGTTATCGTTGGGTGAAACGTGACTCTTATCTACCACAAGGTTCCCAGGGTTTGAAAGCCGTTACACAATCTAAATTGGGTTATAATCCTATTGAATTAGATCCCGAATTAATGACACCTTATGCATATGAAAAACCACAATACTTGTCTGAGTATTCTGTTTCTGATGCTGTTGCAACATATTACCTATATATGAAATATGTTCATCCATTTATTTTTTCACTTTGTACTATTATTCCTTTGAATCCTGATGAAGTTCTAAGAAAAGGTACTGGTACATTATGTGAAATGTTACTAATGGTTCAAGCATATCAAAAGAATATTGTTTTACCAAATAAACATACTGATCCAATTGAAAGGTTTTATGATGGTCATTTATTAGAATCTGAAACTTATGTCGGTGGTCATGTTGAATCTTTAGAGGCTGGTGTATTTAGAAGTGATATTAAAAATAAATTTAAGATTGATCCAGAAGTTGTCGATGATGTATTGAATGACCTTACTGATGCATTGAAATTTGCCGTTGAAGTTGAAAATAATGCAGATTTATCAAAAGTCACAAACTTTGATGAAATTAAAAATGACATTACGACCAAGTTATTAGATATGAAAAACAATTTAGATAGAGATGAATTGCCATTGATTTATCATGTTGATGTTGCATCAATGTACCCAAATATTATGACTACAAATAGGTTACAGCCAGACAGTATGAAGACAGAAAGAGACTGTGCAAGTTGTGATTTTAATAGACCGGGAAAAAACTGTGATAGAAGATTAAAATGGGCTTGGAGAGGTAACTTCTTTCCTTCAAAAATGGACGAATATAATATGGTGAAGAGAGCACTACAGAACGAAACCTTTAAAAATAAGAATAAATTCTCAAAAAAACCCTTCTTAACTTTTGATGAATTAAGTTATACGGATCAAGTGACACATATTAAGAAACGTTTGACCGATTATTCTAAAAAGGTTTATCATAGAACTAAAGTTGCAGAAGTTGTAGAAAGAGAAGCTATTGTTTGTCAAAGAGAAAATCCATTTTACGTTAATACTGTTAGATCATTCCGTGATAGAAGATATGAATTCAAAGGTTTGGCCAAAACTTGGAAACAAAATATGTCAAAAATTGACAAATCAGATAAGCACGCAAAAGAAGAAGCTAAAAAAATGATTGTGCTTTATGATTCCTTACAATTAGCCCATAAAGTTATTCTAAATTCATTCTATGGTTATGTAATGAGAAAGGGTTCTCGTTGGTACTCTATGGAAATGGCCGGGATTACTTGTTTAACTGGTGCCACCATTATTCAAATGGCGAGATCTGTTGTAGAAGGTGTTGGTAGACCATTAGAATTAGATACAGATGGTATTTGGTGTATTCTTCCTAAATCTTTCCCGGAAAACTACTTTTTTGAGTTGGAAAATGGTAAAAAGTTATTTATGTCATATCCATGTACAATGTTGAATTATAAGGTTCATCAAAAATTTACTAATGATCAATACCAAGAATTAATCGATCCAATTAGGCACAAGTACAAAACACACAATGATAATTCTATTTTCTTTGAAGTTGATGGTCCTTACAAAGCAATGGTTTTACCAACTTCCAAAGAAGAAGGTAAAGGTATCAAGAAAAGATATGCTGTTTTTAACCATGATGGCTCTCTAGCAGAGTTAAAAGGTTTTGAACTTAAGAGACGTGGTGAATTGCAATTAATTAAGAATTTCCAAGGTGATATTTTTAAAGTTTTCCTTGATGGTGATTCCTTAGAGAGTTGTTATAAGGCTGTTGCGGATGTTGCCAACAGATGGTTAGATGTTTTAGATACAAAAGGTACTATGTTAGAAGACGAAGATTTGATTGAATTGATTTGTGAAAATAGAAGTATGTCAAAAACATTGAAGGAATATGAAGGACAAAAATCCACTTCTATTACAACGGCCAAAAGATTGGGTGAATTCTTGGGTAACGAAATTGTAAAAGATAAAGGTTTGCAATGTAAATATATTATTAGTAGTAAACCTGTCAATGCACCAGTTACTGAAAGAGCAATCCCTGTAGCCATTTTTTCTGCAGATATCCAAGTCAAAAGATCCTTTTTAAGACGTTGGTTGATGGATCCTACTTTAGAAGATTTTGATCCAAGAACTATAATTGACTGGGATTATTACCGTGAGAGAGTTGCTTCTGTCGTACAAAAGATTATTACTATTCCTGCCGCATTACAGGATGTTTCAAATCCAGTACCTAGAGTTGAACACCCAGAATGGTTACAAAAGAAGATTGCAAAGAAGAATGATAAATCAAAACAAAGTTCTTTGAATAAGTTTTTTACTAAAACCTCAGAACTTCCATCTAATAGAAAAGTTAATGATATCGAAGATATGTTCAATTCAGAAGCCGATGGTATCAAACCGAAGGTAGCCAAAGTTTCAACTAAGAAATCGATTGCTAAAAGAAGAAGAGAACAGAAAACTGCAGAAGAAGAATCTCTTGTTTTACCAACTGAGATGCCATCAATGGAAGAAGATTATGTGGCGTGGCTTAAATATCAGAAGATCAAATGGAAAATCCAAAGAAGAGATCGTAATCGTAGAGCACAGTTATTTGGTAATTCTTCGACCTCGGCAGATAGAAGTATGTTAGGTAGCCTTATTAGACAACAAGCAGAAACATATGCAAATTCTGTTTGGGAAGTTATTCAATATAAACCTTCAGGCCAACCAGGTGAATTAGATGTGTTTGTGAACATTAACGGCAAAATCCAACTTCTAAAGTTTAAGGTTCCTAAAACAATTTACATGAAATTTAAGAATGAAACATTACCATTGAGTAAAATAAAATCATGTATAGCAGAAAAGTCTAATTATCTATTGCCAAATAACCATGTTTTAAACTATAGTAGAGATGGTTCATTATTCAAGTTAACTCTTCCTGAAGCAGAATATTTAAACGAAAGAGAAGATTCAACAAGTATATTAAATGATGAAGGTGTTTTGGGTATATTTGAAAGTACAATATCTTCTAGCGAAAGAGCCATCATGGAATTGGGTTCTTCTGTTCTATTTTCATCAAATGCAATGGGTTCCTTAGGTAAAGGTTTGCAAAAAGGTTTCGATATGAAAAATCTATCTATGACAGACAATGATAAATACCTTTCTAAATTTTCTTATACAATTAGTTACTTGGTTCATTTCACGACAGATATTGGATACGAATTTTTCTGCTTATACAAATCATGGGGAAACATGGCAGATATTTTTGTATTAAAGCCTTCAAACCAAGCACAAGAATTATCAGCAAGTTCAATTGAAAGTATGTTTAAGGAAACATATGCCATGAAAGAGGATAAATTAGATAAACTGTCACACATAATCGATTTCTCAGAGGGTGTCAAATTTGAAGTCCAAAATTTCAGAGACATTACAAAATTATATCGTAAATTATCTAACAGCATAACTAAAATGAAGGATGAAAAAGGTCTGCAATTTATTATGTTGATTCAATCACCTTTTATAAATAAGATCATGAACACAGTACGTGTGATTAATCAAATACCCACTATTCACTTGGGAATGAAGGAACTTTCTTTACCTCAACTGAATTGGCAAAGTGTTTTGGCGAGAAAAATATGTAGCCATATATTGTTATGTGGACAATGGTTATCTCATTTGGTCGAACTATCAAGATATAGTAATATCCCAATAGGTAATCTTCAATTGAATAATATTGGATATATCATTGATATTTTATACGCTAGAAAGCTTAAATCTGAATCCATCGTTTTATGGTGGAATGAAAATTCTCCATTAGCAGATATTGGTGGGATTCAAAAGGAATTTGATTTGAATTCTAGTTGGATAATGAATAATTTAGATTTCCCTGAGATAAATAACCCAGACGTCTATGATAACGTGACATTGGAAGTATCAATCAACAATCTAACTGTTAACACAGTGTTGACATCGGCTCTTATCAATGATGCTGAAGGTAGTGATTTGGCAGATGTAGGATTCTCAAATAATACAGAATCAGGTGAAACCTCGAGTTCTCTTTTCATTCAGGACTCCTTCTCGAGTACCTCATTAATTGTGTTAAGAAATTTATTGAAAACTTGGTGGGATCATGCGCTCAAGGAAAATTCCACTGCAGATCTATTAGTGAACTCATTTGTTTCATGGGTTCAAAATTCAGATTCAAAATTATTTGATGGTTCACTAAGATACCACGTTTATAATTTAACGAAGAAATCGCTATTACAGTTAATGAATGAATTCACATCACTTGGCTCCACTGTTGTTTACGCAGACAGAAATAAGCTATTAGTAAAGACTTCTAAACAATCACCAGCTAATTGTTACGCTTATGGTCAATATATTATTAAAGCCATTAGATCAAGTACTACTTTCACATACTTAGATTTGAATATTGAAAGATATTGGGATTTGTTAATATGGATGGATAAATTTAACTTTGGAGGGTTAGCTTGTGTTAAAATTGAAAATACTGAGAAGCAAGAATTAAGTGCATATTCACAATGGCAAATTAAAAACTTCTTACCCTCGATTTACCAATCTGAATTCGATGATTGGATGTTAATTATATTAGATTCGATGTACAAGTCTAAGGAAAAATATCTGGAAACCAATGCAGGAACTCAAAGATTAACACAATTGCCACCTCAGAGAAACCAAGAAATAGAAGATGATGAAGTGACTTCATTAAATCATTTTACAGACCTGTTTAATAAGCCTCTATTAAAAAGAATGCAAAAATTATTCAGAAATCAACAAGAATTCATTTTGGATCCTCAATATTCTCAAGATTATGCATTTCCATTACTCCCAGGGTCTCATTTACAAATGAAAAATCCTTTATTAGAATTAGTGAAATATTTATGTCATGTCATGTTATTATCTTCAAAGACTATTTTAGAAGTAAGAGAATTAAGAAAGGAGTTGTTGAAGATTTTTGAAGTTAGAGAATTTGATAAATCTGGTGAATTCCAAAATCCAAGCAACAACTTGACAATATCCGGATTCCTATGTGAAAATTGTTTTTTTATTTCTGATATTGATTTCTGTAGAGCTGATTCAAGCACTATATTCAATTGTGATAGATGTCAAAAGGCATTGAACAAGGAAACACTTGAAGAACATTTAATCCAAAAATTATGTTCTGAAGTAGAAGCTTACATCGTCCAAGACTCACGTTGTAGTAAATGTCATAAAATTAAAGAAGATTACATGAGTGAACATTGTTCTTGTTCAGGAAGATGGGAATGCATTATTCCTCAATCAAGAATGTTAAAATCTCTAAAAGTATTCGGTCAAGTGGCATCATACTACAAATTGGAAGGATTGACTAGTTCTATAATGGAAGTAGGAGTGTAGTTGAGATGCATTTACAATTTATTATTATTTATAGATACATATCTGTATATATATACATATAGTTACGTTCATAATCACGTGACTGTTTTCAATTCATATAGCATTTAAATATTGAAGATATAAATCGCATCTTCGATCAAACTAAAGATCATACTTTATGAGTGAGAAGTGGTTACTTAAGAATTGATTTCCATTTAGTTGTAACGGTTCTCTAATCCAAGAAGATATCCAATTGGCATTTGCTATAGGTGGCTAAATATTATACTCTTTGAGAAAACCATGAGTGGGTTGCTTCCAGATGTGCCATACCGTGATTATCAGGTTAACGCTATATACTCATTTCTTCAACATGATCCTGAGTTGACCTTTTCAAATATTGTATTACAGGGTGCTACTGGTACTGGTAAAACTTATATTATGAAGAAATTTTTTGAATATAATCCTGAGTTTATTTCAGTTTGGCTACATCCTATAGAGTTGGTTTCTTGGAAGCCATTAATGCAGGCTATCTTAAGGTCAACACAACAGAAGCTTAAACAATTGTATCCAGATATTGAAGCACAGGAATATGATCCATTAGATGTCGAAGACCCATATCAGCTTCTGACATTGTTGGAGAGTGTTCTTGAAGAATACTCAAAAGTTGATATGAAATCTAATTTAATTATAATATTTGATGGTTTGGATAAATTGCAAGATCTCGATGCAAGCGTCCTATTTAAGTTAATGAAATTCCTTGAACTACTCCCAGATGAATATAACATTCAGTTGAAATTTGTGTATCTAATACAAGATTCTTCAATTCTTGATAGATACGCCTCATGTTTATTACCTACAATTGTATTCCCAAGATATACAGTCGATGAAGTAACAGAAATTCTGATTCTAACAAGAACAAATGATTTAATCAATTCCGATGCATTTAGGAACTGTATTTTGACACAAGTAATTGACAACTGTGATGATGATCAATTCTGTAAAGTTGCCATGAATTTTATTACTCTTATCATACAAGCCTTCCATCCGTATACAGGTAATGATATTGATACCCTAAATGATTTGATAGACTTTAAGTGGGACCAATACATTGAACAAATTACCAAAGAAAATATTTTGGACCCAGTTGCACTTTATCGTAGCACAAGTAAGATCTTTATTTCAACTGAAGATAATTTAGGTGATGATGATAATGACGAGGACGTTGGAGCAGATGAAGAAAATAATGGTAAGGAGGTTTTCCAAACCTATGAGCTATCGACTATTTCAAAATATTTATTGATTGCCGCATATATTTGTTCATATCTTGAAGCTCGTTATGACAGTAGTGTATTTTCCAAGAAGAGCAATATAAAATCAGGCAGAATCTCATATGGTAGAAGAAAGAAGAAAGAGGTTAACCCTAGATATTTGGCACCTTCTATATTTTCATTAGAAAGATTATTTGCAGTTTTTCAAGCAATTTATCCAGTAGAATTTAAAACAGAAAGTGGTACCTTAAGCTCACTTCGAGAAGATAAACTAATCAAGGCAAACATGGAGGTATTCCAAAATTTGGCGGAACTACATTCGTTGAAATTAGTAGCCACTGCAGTTACCAAAAATATTGATTTCTTATCTCCTAAAGTTAAATGGAAAGTTAACGTTCCATGGGAAATTATCAATGAAATATCAGAATCAGTTAAATTTGATTTAGGTTTGTATTTTAGTAATTTACATGATTGATTAGTGGAGAAACACAACTGATCATCACACTGCATGCATGAGTAAATCTGATTGGAGATCAGTAGATCTAACTTTATCGACTAATCTTCATTATGGATTTATGACATTGTAACATTAGTTACCGCTATTTTAGGATACTCTTTTATGTAAATAATAATAAGTATTAATTACAGTATAATTAAATATAATTGACTATTCTGAACTGCTGATTGTATATACTTGTAACTAGGTGAAACTTGTTCCAAATTAAATATTGGTTTGGATCATGTGTTTTCTATTATTCCAATGGTCAGTATCATTATTGTCAATATCTATTAGAAGAGATAAGTTAAATGAAAAGAACCAGAAGCAATCAAGATACAATACAAAAGAGAGTTTAAATGTAACAATGGTTGATAAATTGGACCATATAGTGTGCTATATGAGGTTAGATAAGTTAGATCTTCTAGGTATTTTGATTTAAGATATGTCTGGTGAGGTTGTTTCATCAATAACTGATGATTCATCAAGAATGAAGAGAAAGTATGAGGAAGCCAACGACAATGGTGAACAAAGGTCAAGAAGGGAACCTTCTATCCTGGGATTGGATAAATTAGAAAGTCAATTGGGTGAAGATTTAGGAACTGATACCGATTCATCTTTGGGTAAGAGTTCTGATGAGGAATCGTTAGGTACCAGCGATGATGAAGAGCAGGCCAATGTCGATGAAAATGGCAATAGTAATGCCAAATCTAAGAAACAACGATCCATGGATACCAATCAATTCAATGTTGAAAATAACATTGATGAGGAAACTAGTACTGTGAATGATGTCTATGATAATAGCAACACAGGGTATCAAATTGAAGCCTTTAACATTAATGAAGAATCAAAGAATGGAACCTTTGATAAAGATGGAAATTATGTAGAATTAAAAGAGGAAGGGGACATTACTGATCGAGAGGACATGTGGATTGATGACTGTGAAGATGTTAATAAAGCTAGAAATGCAAAAACTCTGGAAGAAATACGATCGAGGGAAAGGCAGAGGACTTTATTAAAGCAAAAAAGAAGATATACATTAGATGATACATTACTACATCTGAAATACTTTATAGATAAAGAGGATACTGTGTTGGATACTTTGAATAGATTCAGTAAACTACGAAACAAGAAAGATCCTAGTAAAGATGAACATGCATTAAAGACTAGAAATATATATATTGTCAATGCAATCGAATTCCTAACAGATTTAATAGAATTGCTAGAGAATAAAAGCGTTGAAAATGTCTATGAACTAACACGTTCTGATATCGATAAACTAATCCTTGAAGAGATTATATCGAAAGATGATTTGATCGATGATTACAAATCTAAAATATGGAACTTTAAATGGTTGACAAATTTATCAAAAGAACCGTCAAAGGACTGTTATTCAAACTATGAAATGCAATATTGGAAATCAACTTATTTTAAAGGTAATGTCATTGTTAAACATTATAAGGATTCCGATGATGTTAAGAATTGGGTCCATATCGATTGTATAACCTTTATGTAATATCAGTCAATAAATGCAAATGATGGGGAAAAAGATTACCAATCTTGCATTTGATCAGAAGTAGTGACTTCACTTGATCCACTTGAATCAGCTACAAATCCACGAATCTCACCACCTAATAATTTACAGATATTCTCAACCTTTTCAAATATTAGAGCATTTTGAGATGAATTCTTAAATTGTCTTTGGGATGATAATAGAATTATTCTAAATTTATTCTTAACTTTAACCATAGTAGATTCATATTGCTCTACATTCTTTGGGGAGTTATCTAATTTAATTGTCGATATTAATTCTTGTACTTGATTGATATTTTTCAATAAAGAATTATTCTCTTGACAACTTCTCTCCAGCACTTTGCAGATACCTTTTATCTGACCAACCAGAAGAAATCTTTGAAATCCTGTCTGTAGACCATATTGCTTTCCTTCTATGAAGTTATGTTTCAAATTCTCATTTTGACCTTCTTGGTAACCTTCTTGATAGAACTGTTCTTCTAAGTTCAATAGCTCATCCATATCAGCAGTAGCAGCCATTATAATCAACAAAGGTTCTTATTAATAACTATATCCAACACCAAACCCAACTGAGAGGATATATCAGTTCTCTATTATTTCTGCTTTCTCGTTTATATACAGTTGTTATGAGTTCTTATGAAGCTAGGATCGATTAATAAGCTGGTAAAAAGGTCTAAATTAAATGATGAGCTTTTAAGATTAAAGAATAAAAAGTGGTTAAAGGACTTATTTATTAAATATATATATAGAGATCAGACGTTATTACATAAAGGGCATGAAATTGGCATATTGTTATAAACATTACTAAAATATTTACTAATTGCAGCAAAATTGAATATTGAAAGAACCAAATTAAAGGTATTATTTTTTTTTTACCATCTTAGTATACTAATTGTTGAATTACAATGTTCTACCAGATTTAACTTCTTTACCAGTTTTCTTAATCTTTTCTAATACAGTTTCATATGGTAAACTAGAGTGTACATCGACAGTTTGGTTCTCTAATGATATATCAATATTACTAACATCAGGTTCCAAGCGTGTTAATGCCTTGTTAACTGCGTTGGAACAGCCAGAACATGTCATAACAACTTCAAACTGGTAATGATTATCATTAGACATTGTTGAATATATTATATGTATACCTTTCTGGTCTTTACCATACCTTTCAACAAATTGAAACTAATATCAAAGTGTACCTTAATTGATTTTTAACCTTACTGAAACTTTATTCACCTTGGTATTTTTATATAGCGATAAATTTTTCCCCGGTGCATAGTCAAGTAATAGTCAATAACAATAGCAATTTGCACCTCTTCTTGGACAGACAAGATGCATCAATGCCAGTAAGAACCATTTAAATAACTTGTCTGTGTTGTTAAGATACTTTGTCCTATATGTATTTTTTATCTTGTTCCTGTTTTTGTCTTGTTTTGTTTTGTTTAATCTAGGGTTTCTTTCCTGATTTCGTTAATATCATCGATTGCATTTCTTCTCAATGGTGTATCAGCAAATAGTAAAACTATCCATTGAACGATTTCTTCAGTTGAGAATAGGTAGAAGTCACCATCATAAAACATTTGCATGATATCCTTTAGATGCAATGGTAATAATTTCCCAATAATTATGAATTTTTCCCTAATTTCTCTATATTTTGGTGATGTTTCGATGCTTGGGACTTCAGATGCATTTAGCACCAAGGAGATGAATTCAGATAAGTTATTGGAGTTCTTTTCAGATATAATCTTCCAATTGAGAATATTTGAAGTTATACAATTATTGAATAGGAAATTTAGGAACTTTAAAATAAATTTCTCTGAATCTGGATTCCCAATTGATATCAATGGATTTATTATATCGCATTGTATGAATGGAACGAGATCTTTGATTTGGGATCTCCATCTTATATCCTTCTCATCTCTTTCTAAATTCCCTAAACTATTTTGAATTATCGAATTCACATATTTTTCTTTCAATGCAATTTGATTTTCCATTAATCTATAATTTAATTCATTCAATCTATCCAATGAATTATTTTCGGTTGTAATATATCTAATATCAATGTACAATTGGTATATGTTATTGGGGAAATTGCGAATAGCAATCGCCATGAATAAGGTTTGTAATAAATTAAACTTGTAGGTCTTATATTGAGGATCAACATTACCGTCACCAAGCTCTTTACAGCTAATTTCAAAATCATTTACTATCATTTTAAATAGGCTTGGTAGTTGAGTAATATGCAATTTTTGGGAAGCTGAATTAGTTTTTTCATCAACCTCATCAATATCAATATCCCACTCTTCATCCCAACCGTCGTCAACATTGCTCCCTGATTGAAATGAAACTTTTGACGCAGCTCTGGATCTCCTTTTGACATCGGTATTGTCACCTTCTGTATCCCATGAGTCTTCTGCACCATCCCATCCCCAATCATCTTGTTCCTCAGAAACTTTAGAATTTCTAGAGGCTCTAGAACTTCTTCTTGATCTTGTTTGACTTATTTTCAGATGAGTAGATTCGGTTTTATTGGTAGTTTTAAATGATTCGATCTCAGTCAGCTTTGACCATTGTTTAGTATCATCAACGAAGATGTTTCTAATTCTGTTCACCTGTTCTTCAAAAATTTTATCTAATAGTAGATTATTATAAATTTGTTTATCATTCAATAACTCTTCTGTTTCATTTCCAGAATAGTTCCATACTCCGTTGGTTGCATTTGATAACGACAATAATTTATCATTTAACTCTAAAATTAAATTTTTGATTGAAGTTGATTGTTCTTGAAGAATTGAAGATATATTTTCCTTGATTAATTTATGGGACTCTTTTGCAATTGAAGGACCAATTCTGCTGGATAGTATCACCACATCTCTCTTTGAAATACAAGATAATAAATAATCTGCTAATTTTCCAAATCCGACAAGTTTCTCAGTTAGCAAATCCAAATCTTTACTTCTTGAGTCTACTAGTGATAATTTTTTCGAGTCTTCATCATATGTGAAAATACCTTTGTCATTGAAGATATTTTCTTTTACATCATGAATGATGCTATCAAATAGTATATAACTTTTTACAATAGTCGATAACCTTTCTCTTACGATTTCTTGTAAATCACCCATTACCATGTCCTTAATCAACCAATGTTCGAAATCCAAAACGTTCTGAGGAAAGATATCTCTATTCACAAACTCCAATAAAGTTTCATAATCAAACTTCACCTTATCCTTCCCATAAACAATTTCATCCTTATGAGAGATAGTATGCTCTTTAAAATTCCAAAAATGATTTGAAATTAGATCGAACAATTTATCTACCAATTGAACATGTAGGGAATCTACATAAGTGGCAACAGATTGTTGTAATCTAATATTTTGTCTTACTAAAGTATCATTTTCCTTTAATTTTTTCCTTAAATTCTGCAAAGAATAATAACAATTTTCCAATTCCAAATATTCCATATTTGCTTTAAATTCCAAGATAAGACTTGGAATAGTTTTCAAACTATTCAACACATGCAATTCCTCAGTGAGAGAAGCATCCAGTTTCAATAAACCTTCTAGGTCAATTTTTTCAGTAATTTCAACATCATCATTTAAGCTTAACAATGGATCATTTCTCAACAGTTGTAATAACCGTTCCTTATCGGCAACAAAGCTAGCAACAGGATTTGTAACAGACATAGTCTCAATACCCACTTTTCTAGTACTCTAAACTCGACGTCAAAGACCTCCAAATCGTATATTGTCTAGTCAGTTATTGAAATACTTGGGCTTGATGCTTTGGTATTATTCGAATATCTTGGATGTTTTATACTTAATTACTGATATTACATCTAGAATCATTAATAACGACATACTTAAGAGAAGAAATTGATCAGGAACAAGAGAATTATAGAATATTAAGCGTTTCGACGATAATAACGACAACAGCAACTGAATAAGTCAGTTAAAATTGATGAATGTTGGATAGGAAATGTTATCGATCATGAATTGATCTGAGTGAGCTGAGAAAAGTTGTCATCATAAACAGTGTTGTTGACGTGTTTCGTCGTTGAATTGAGATGAGTCCCTAGAGACTTCATTTACTATTAATAACTATATAGAATTAGAGGAGAAAAAAAAATAAATAAAAATAAAATGTTCAACTGCCGATGAGATTCGACGGTTCAAATGGTTTCTAAATTTGTAATTTGTAAACTTACAAAATTAACAAATACTACAACCATGGCCATCTCTGATCCCATAGACACTTATTTGTCTGTATACTCTTGTATTCTATCTTTCAATAACGAAAAAATACTTCTTATTTTAAAAGAAGTAGTTACGAGAATGAAAATAAAATTTGAAATAGATCGAAAAACCAATCGCTTTATATACTTTTAACAATTTTGTTACCCGGACGTCGCTTATTTTGAATAAAATCTGGATAGGGTCAGATCATTCTAGTATAAGTATGCAAGAGGCAATAACCTTAATTTATAGCCTAGAATACGGAAAGAGGAACTATACAGTAAGACATTTGTGATTGTTATTTTGTATTAATGATGGTATTTCTATATATGTAATATCAAAGTGTTCGTTTCAGCTCGAAATCTGAATATCAGGTTTCTATACTATAATAGCAGTGATGACAACCGTTCAAGTTCCTCACGGCAGTCGATACAATACTTATTCAATTTGGTATCATTGGTGACCATATTAGGAATCTTGTCGGTTATCGAGTCACATCTGCTTATTTCATGTTCTAAAAACTCTTTGTATTCATCGTGAACTAATTCTCTCTCCATATTTTGAAGTAATCTTAATTCTACTAATATTTGATTTCTTTTGTATGCAATATCATTTCTTGATTTTATAAATTGCTCATCGTGTCTGCCATTGTTTGCATTGTATTTCGCCATTGCTAAAGCATCATTCTCACCTAGAAGGTCAATGTTTACTAATGAGATGGTTCTTTGCATTTCTGGTAGGTTATTCCCGTACATGTATTTATCAAATATTTTGTTGGCTCTTTTCATTGACCAATATATGACATTCGTTTTACCAGATATTATCATATTGAAAATAATTGATACAAATAATCCCAATAGCAGTTTCTTATTCAATTGGGAAATGCTACGTCCAATTAATCTTGTTGACCCTAACATAATTCTAATAAGTATGAAAACAATATTGGCAACTCTGTAAACTGTTAGTTTTAACATCACCTTTAGCAATATCGAGAAGGTGTATTCCGCAAGATAATCATTCTTGGTAATAACGTAGTCATGTTCATTTATTGCTTTCTCGCGAATTGTAAGTTTTGGTTCAATCATACCACATAATTTAGAAGCTTTAATAACTTTACCATATTTACCAATTCTCTCCAAATAATATTTGATTACCTTTTTCATTAAAACAAATTCATTAAAGGTGAAAGTCAGGATCCATTGTTTCAATAAAGCTTCATGTAGATGTATATATGATTCCGGTTCCCCGTTTTTAGTTTTGACAAATTCCAACTTATAATAGATATTTAACAAAGATCTTGTTGTTGACATGTGTAACTTACTAGCAATTTCGTGTTCAGGGTCATACGGTTCAGTGATAATGTATTTAACAGACAATTTTAATGGACGACAAAGCGGGAACTTTAAAAACACAGGATCTTGATTGATCTCATAGTATCTATTCTCAATAACACTTACAATTCTTTGAGTAATTGTTCTCTCATTAGATTTTCCAAGCACTCTCTTATTTTCGAGATTTAGATAATTTCCTGTCAATTCTAATTGAAACTTTATATCTCTCGCTATTTGTTTACTACCATCTTCTTGGACTTCCTCATACCATCTACGATCTAGATTGCTGATTGCAGTTTTTTGGGCCAAAAATAATGAAACAGGGAACGAATCAGAATTATCACCAAATAGGATATGGGTTAAACCTTTACTTGCAATTTCATAATTATTACTATAATTTACTGTATATTCGGTTTGAACGTTCCTCCTCATCAATAACATTTTCAAACCCTTTTCACTCATTGTCCAAAAGGTATTTTCAACTGGTATTGGTTTGGTACCTTTGGCAAAATTCTTCTTGTCAGCAATTTCTGCCATTACTGCAAATTTTTCTTTAGCTGATTGTTCCTGTAATTCCTCTTCGATCAATTTTAATTTCTTCCATAGATCTTCACTTCTCTTTGGATTAGAAGACTTGTCGTTTTCTAATAGGTAAGAAAACTTAGCTTCTATTATTTTTGGATCTGTAAAATGAACGTAAATACTAATATGTGGACCATTTTTCTGATAGATGTGTAACAAGTTTGGTGTATTTTGATCCAATTCTACAGATTTTATGTCTTTCATTTTATGTCTAACTAAGCAGACGAACCCCATTGTATTCATATAACAGAATATAGCATCCGCGGTAGCATAAATAGTGGCAGAAAATCTTTGTTTTTTATTCGGACACCAAAATGATGCAAATTTGAATAATAGTAATGTCTTAGGATACTTTAGAACTCTATGATCTACTGAAAAAAATATACTCCTAAATTGAATGTCATTAACTTTCATATCATTAGAATAAAATGCTGGATAGTCAACAACTGTGGAGCTTTTTTCATTAATGGCCTCTAAAATAGTATTACTATCCAAAACTGAGTAAGCACTCCAGTTAGTTGTACCCCAAATGTTCGCCAAAGTTGCACTAGGTAACCAATTTGAATGTTGATAGAAATGTGAAAAAACTGCTAACTGTGTCATCTTTGTTACAATTGGTGTGGCCTCCATTTGGAAATGAAATAATTTATCATTATCAAATGTCAACGCTGTTTGCGCAGGTTCGAAACCAGGACGGCACCTATTTCTTGAGATTGGAATAGGTGAGTGTTATTGGACTGTTGATCAGGGTGGGACATGGTTGTACTGGAGTGATAGTGGATATATTAACTGAGATCTAAGGTATAAGTACAATTATACGTTAGTTGTTTATTCAAGCTCTTGGTTTTTTATAAATTCTAAATATAGTATACAAAATATAAAATATAATTTAGTTCATAAAGTGAACATTAGAAAAGAGAAAATATTTTCTAGAAACTTGAAATCTGGTCTGCTTATATACCTTTTGAAAACTAACAGTTACCCTGAATGTGTTCCTGTCAGCAAAGTATATCTTTCAGACATAGGGTTAGATCTGGATAACTTAAGATTGTCATCTACTGATTCCCAGAATCCAACAGCCCCCCGGAAGCTTTAGATGCAAGCTTTCCATAATAAATTAATTCTGTATGTTAATTTATTAAGTAGTTAAATTTGAGACTAATTCATCTCTTAAGGTTTCAAATTGGGATTTAGCTAAAATTTTAGTTAGGATATCAGCCTGTTGGTCTTTTGTATTAACATATTCCAAATCAACAATATCCTGTTCCACTGCATGTCTGATTTTGTGATATCTCAGTGCGAGTATGTTTAGTTCTTGGATGCATTACTGGATTCTTCCTAACCAAATGC